CGTAATATTCAACATATGAATACAACCCGAAAAACGTAGAACCTCATCGAAATTGATCATAAAATTGTTTTGGTTATAATATAGTCTCTAAAATATGTCTCGAGAACAAATCGAAAACACCAGCAAAATGTTTAAAGATATTTTTAAATTTTCGGTCCGATAGCGTCGCAAACGATATGACATCTCAAAACAAAACACTAAAGCCGAAGTTGACCAATAAAAAATATACGTAACTGTTATGATTTCCAAAAAAAGCGGTTACCAAATAATTATATTAAATAATGATTGGGACGAGATCCCAAGCGATGGTAAGCTCATCTCGAGGGCTAGCCGCAACGAGCGCGCGGCAATAAAATAAGGCTATGGCGAGAGAGAGGGGGCGAGTGCGAGACGTTGGGGGGCGCGCCCGTCGCCTGTAATAGCGTCGCAAATCACAGGCAACAGCGGTTAACGGTCGCTTTAATACGCTTTAATAGTATGTTGATTCGGGCATGTGAAAGCAATGTCGAATGGAAGAATGATAGAATATGTATAAAATAAAATATGTCGATACAAAGGACAACCAAAACTAACCTCATGATTAAACAGACAATGTGCTGTTCTCAGGGAGGAGTCAAAATTGTGTAGAACTTTCTGCTTACGTTCTGTATGCCTATCCCGAAAGAGACCTGGCGTGAATATGATATATAAAGAAATACTTAAAAAGCAACTGTACAAAAAAGAACTATTAGGGAAAACAAATAATTATAATATATTTCGGAAAACTTTAGCAATATATTTATATTTTAATATAGCATATTTTGCCAAGGTAGAAAACGGTATCCTACTCGATGTAATGTTTATTAATTTATTTATAGTTTATCATATTTCTTGATGATATCGCGGATCGCTTGAATCATGTGCCGCATTGCAACAAAAAAATCATCATTAAAGTGTTGGAGGCGCGGCGGCGGCGGCGGCGGCGGCGCGGTGCGCGCAGCGTCCGAGGCTGCAGCCTCACTGTGTCCTAAACGATTCAGCCGAGTTTTTATCACTTACCTACCAATCCATATACAGTTTATTTATTCGGACCGCTAAAAGCTTCCCCATTAAAGTACACGTATTAACAACTACACAAGTACACTACTATTCAACAAGTCAACGAGAAAAAATCTCAGTTTTTTTAGAAAATTTTGATAATTCATGATTATCATATTTATTTTGGTACCATTCTCGCAATTAAGACTAATCTTTAACGAGACACATTTATTAGAAAACCGTCAAGAGTATACAATGTATTCATATAAAAAAACCGAACATAAGTAGGTGTATATACCTAAATAACTTAACTCTTCTCTTACTTCGAAAGTCGGATAAAAATAAAAATTAACATAACGAAACAAAAATCACTCTTGGTAAAATTGCTCATTTATTTGTAAATATGAAAGTTTATCAAGATTTGGATTCTTAGCACACCTTCGCGTCCCAATGGATTTACGAATTTGTATTAGGTTTAATAGATATATGGACCATTTCCTAAATTAAAATATGTGACCTTATTATCTCAATTCAAGCAGGCAATGCTGCGAGATATAACTAGTACGTAATAATGAAGACAATATTTCACAACGAATATCAAAAAACATTAGGAAATACTACACCAGCGCATTATACCATTCCTAATCAAGACGCCATTCTCACGCACGATATCGCTTCAAATTGACGACCTTCTCGTTTTTTAAAGACCATTTGCTTAATATATTCAGAAACAGGCCGTTGGAACAGATAACATATCTATAATTTATAGATTAGGTAGTGGATACAACAGATTGTAGTAAATGAATTTACTGGTGAGCCGAGACTAAGGCGGATTTTACGAGCATGTATTAAGTTCGAATAGGTAGGAATATCTTGAGTTGACTTGCATACGAGTGTATTAACTTATTGTATTCAAATAATTGTTTAATGTATTAAAACATGTGATTAAAATACACTCTAAATACTTTTATATAGTTATAAACAAAATATTTAATTAAAATAATAAATAATATATATTCATAATTAGTTACTCCCAGCTTTTTCCGTGATTATTAGCTTTCTTTCTTTTACTTTCTTTAAAAATATTTTTATAGGATAATGAGTAAAATAGAAAAAAAAAATAACTGACTGCTTAGCTCTCTGTGGAAAATATTATTACGTTACATAGTTGTACAGTGCATGATTCCTATTTTGCGATTTATTTTTATTTTCATAAATTGTAAAGTAAAAGAATAATTCTTGCCAACTAGTTGGAGCCTTCTACCACTTCAAGACATAAAAGTTCTAAGGAGAACTTTCTAAATAAACTTCGAATTATGATCTCAAACAATGATTCAAATAATAAAATTTTCCGTGAGGAAGAAGTACTTTTTTACCTAAATTTAAAAAATAAAATAAAAAATAAAAAAAAAGATTGTTACTACAAACATTATAAGGATAGTAGTTTAATAGTAAATTTCTGGAAACTTTCCAAGTATCAAAACTCAATTCTTCACATTTATAACTAGTTGTGAAACAATAGTGCGTGACGAGCAAAAACACACACTGATTTGTGTTCAATATCTATTATAACTATTGATCAAAATGTAAGATATAATTATCTGTAGTGTGCCACAGCCGGCATTATCTAAATAAATACGAGAATACGCATCCATTTGAATAGAAGCTGCTCGTGAAACTCGTCTGGGCTGGTAAACAGACGTAACTAATTTTACTACACTACGTAGACGTACATCGTCAACGTCATACGATTTGAATGACACGCACATGGTTACTTTTTGCGGAGCGATTCGATTTGTTACATTACGGTTGATTTGCTGGTGTACACGTTTGTAAAGTGGTGATTTCAAAAAACATATAATCAAAATAATACCTGACATATCCATATAAAAAAAGGTTTGTCAATAGAGATAACCATTGAACCTAAGAGCATTATTTTCTAGGTAACATAACATACGTAGAATATACCACAAGGAAAATCATACATCATAAATTGTAGAGCGTTTCGACCAAACAGTTCCGTTAAAAGCCACAAAATATGTTATTATCTCAAAATACCTATACTAAATAACATTAACGTTGAAACGATACGTTTCAAAACTCGAGAACGTTTTATGATGATAGCGAACCAATATATAAGTTTTATAATGGGCGACTACATCACACCATTGAAATGCGATCGAATGGTGTGTGCGGGCTGGTCGGTGTCCCTAGACAAAGAATATATATATTGATATCGCCAGTAGAAGTGTTCAAACCAAATATATAGATTTGACGCAGAACGTAAAATCTCCTTTATATTATGAAACTGGTTTAAATTTTGAATTTTAATTTTGGAAGTTTCATTGTAGTTTCATGATACTAGAAAACATTACGAATAGCCGTTTACATGTGAATCTACTGAAGTTTTATTGTCCAAAACTTGCTACATACCATATTTGTAGTGTAAATTGGATTTAAGCTTTTAAAGTTAACTTAAATAGCCATATGACATTTTCATATAAATTGACCATTCCTACTATTAGCGGTATTGCTAAAAGAATTAATTTACTTTGTCTAGAGGACCTGGGCGTCTGGCAACGAGCGAGCCGGGTGGACGCGGCGTTGTTGCCGGCGTAAGGCTCAGTCCGCGGGCACAGCTCTCGCGGCAAGTTCAAGGTGACCGCGTCGCTCCGCCCACATGCGCCGCACTCCTAACGCGCACAACCGTTACACTACCAGTGGACCACCGATCCCCACAAATACCTCATTCCTTAAACACACTGGTAAACCCACAAATAATCCATTCCTTTAATGACAATAGTCTGCAGTTCTTTCTAGATAAAAATTACTGAATTTCAGACGCTACCCACTAATGACTACATACGAATCGTCTAACCCCAAAAATCAATTCCATCCAACTAGTTGCATTTAAACCTGGTTATTTTCGTATGGTATGATGACGAAATAAGAATAATGTGTTACTACCATTCATCCTAATAATATCATAAGAAGCGACTTCGGTAACAAAGCACAATACGAGTAAAAACCAGTGCAAAAGAAGCAAACAATAGTAAATACATCACCCAACTTTAAGTTCCGACAATATAGTACCTATCCTAAACATGATGGAAGATAAACAACAACATATAAAAAATATGCTTAAGGATGTCCGTGGTGTTTTTAACCTGTCTGGGTGAGATGAGGGTGATAAAGAGTAAGGTCCATTTCTGATTGCGATTAGATTGAATCTATCCAACAAATCTATCTTCAACCGACGGATCAGTTGATAATTATTAGTCAAATGGACAAAGTTCGGAAAACTACGATAAATGTTTTTAACCAAAATACAACGAAGCATAAAAACGAAAAGACATATTAAACCACTGCTTGTTGCGTATCATTATAATAATAAAGTTTTTATTAATCCATTTATCTAAAATCGGCAAACCGTATTGACATTAGAACTGTCACATAGCTCAAGAACCAGTAGGTAAGGTTATCCAGTACCGACTTATCAAAACAAAAAGGAATACGTTGTTATATGTAGATGGATACCAATGACTCAAAATGTAAATGGAATAATGATTATTGTTATATAATTTAGTATACACTGTGAATGAAAACATTTAAATGATAAAAACACCATGTAATATATAATAATTGTTTCAATCCAAATTATTCCTGATTCACTATATACATATTATTCGTTAAAATATTGGTATTTCCGACATTTATCTACACCAAAGTGGAATTTTCCACTATACGAGTACGTATATAAAATCCGCAGACACCTGGCAACGACACTTAAAGCCAATAGTCCATAAATTATGAATTAATAAAATGCGAAACACCGATATTTTTAAACTTAATATCCTTAAAGGCGACGCGAATAAGTATATGAATAATATACATCAAATATATATTAACATGTTTTTACCTAATATATATATATATATATATATATATGATAAAATAATTTTAATAAGATAGGACATCGTTACCTGGATATTGGAATGACCTGCCCGAGCTCATCAACAACATGGTCAGCGATCACGACGACCGCCTGTCCTGGGGGTCCCACCACAACGGACACGCCACCATCGACTAGTTGCCCCCCTCCGCTGACTAACTGCCCATCATCCAATTGTCCACTAATCATCTCCACCCTCTTTTGATCTGGTGTCGTCGTATATATTACTGTCTGTTTGTCATCTTCATATATAAGATCTATCGGTGTCTTCTCGTCAATGGACTCCATACCCTGATCATATACATCCGGCTGTACAGGTACTTTGTTATCGGGGGCATACGCAGCTAGCTCATGAGGTGAATGGCGGTAAGTGTGTGCGTCCGGGGGATAGCCGTCATCTGAATCCATCTCCACTTTGTGTGGGTAGTAGTCGTGAGCAGGCTGAACGGGTGTCATGGTGGCGAGTACGGCATGCGCGGGCGCCGGTGACCGCGGCGCTGAACTTGGCGAAGCGCCTGCTTTTGGGGTGCGCGCGCGGTCGTCGCACGCGGGCTGCGGCGACGCGGACATGACGCCGCGTTTCAGCGTTATCGGTGACGTCTTCGTGCGGGCGGAGGCTCCACACAGGAGCACCCCGCTCAACACTCGACTTCGCCGACTTGTATATCTGAAACAGTTGTTTTGTATCTTCGGTTTACTTCTATTTATCTTAATTAATTTAAAATCGTTTATATTAAATTCGAATACAGTATTAAATCTATGAATTGATGTGCTCGTTTGTTATAGTAAAAACTTACAAAATGTAAACTAAATACAAACAGTAATGGAAATTATATCTACTAATAACTAAGTAACCTCATCAATGATGTATTTAACAATATTAAATAGATTTAGCTAACGACATTATTGCTCTACGTGCATAGTACCCATGCACAAACTCACACAAATACACCAAGGACGACGCAGTAACAGCTGATTTAAGTCCAGTTAGAAAAGAACGAGTATAAAGTGGCACCTGATCGGCGAGAAGTGGCCGAACTTGTTCAGGAGCAACCCTGCCACGGCGCCCAGAGACGAACCACTGAACGGCATAAACTGGTAACTTTTGTATTCACGTGCCTGTCAAACCAGTCCCAAAAATACATAGATAGGAAAACGCGAGTATGAATGTGGTTTCAAATATAACTAGAATAAATATACAAATTGATATTTAATGTCTAATCCATTCATTCATTCAATCCAAGCGCTTCAGTGTTAATTTAGTAAACACTACCAACTATAGTGAAAATAAATGCTCAATTAATGTATTGTGTATTACCTAATAACGAGGTAGGCTTCAATACATCGATATATTTAAATGGAAAATGTACAAATTGTATATCAAGAGGAAAATATATAATACTGCTAAAAGTAACTTTAGATGGCGACGCAGGCATCCGTTCTCAATCCATAAAAAAACAAAATGAACTTGCATTATTGCTTCAGAAGCCATACTGAGAGACCGCTTTTCGATCCATTGCTACGGAGGCTGTCTCTAAAGAGGAACAAAGATAGAAGATGCTAAATAACATAAGCTCAAGTGAGAGATACACCAGTAACTCAACTTCTTACATTAGTCCTGTGTACATTCAAGAATTTCATGTTGTGAATACTGTAACGACGTATGTCTGTCTGTATTGAAATAGAGGTAGGATGTTTTAATCTGCAAGGAAATCACTATAGTTACATAGTATTTATAATAAAATACTTGAAAGGTATCTAAAAGTGTACACGGATACACACTCGTGGTTCCTTAAATAAAATTTCTGAACTGTTAACATCCAATTAGATTGTGCTTTGTCCAAGAATATGTTGCTACTTTTGAATTGCAATACTCGTATAAGTCCCCGTAGACTTCAAAATTTAATACAACACAATTTGTGCCTTTTGAGAAAAAAATAACTTGAATTAGTAATAGAATTTTAAGTAAAAATTATTATGATTTGACTAACAATGAGATAAGACTACGCAAATATAACAAATGTCCTTCTGCAGATACTGAATTCATAATATATTTCATCATTAAAGAATGCAGATGACATCTTTGTTAACTATAAGTCTGAAAGCACCATTCCTTCTTTCCAAGAGGAAAAAATAAAATTACAAAAAGGCTCTGCTACAGAGCCATTAGTGTGCGCTCACACCGCACACATCGACATATGAAGCTTGCTGAACACATCGACACTGCTGGCACAACACGCAAAGAATAGCCTATGTGTGCTAAGACATTATAGTATGTGTTTAAAAGACACACATGTTTACAGTTCCCACATACATAACATTTCTGGTCGTTTTTCATTTTGCTTGAAGAAGAACACTAATCACATCAATACGGATAAAACATATTTATTATAATAGATACTGATTGGTGTTATGAGAAGTAAAATTAAACGTCAGAAATCTACAGCACGAAAAGACCTCTCCTCGAACACGGCTTTGCAGTCGTAACACAAACAATGTAAAAAGTTTCCTATTAGAGGAAACAAACGAGCACGTCATTCCACTAGCACTAAGGTCGGGGGCGGCCGGCGGCGGCGAGGGCGTCCTGGGGCAGACCGTCACGCACGCGCGTCAAACTAGTCTAATGACGTCACAGCCAGCCCGGCGAAATTACAAAACCGGCCGGGCGGCATAACCGACTGCGCCAGCAAGCAGCGCAGCGCAGTGGCGGACGCGCTGCCGGCCGACCCCGACGCGCCACCGGCGTTTCACATACCGTGGGCGGCGTCACGACGCTCTGCACGGCGCAGGCCAGTGCGCGGGCGCGGGTACTCGAGCACGCAGCGAGCGGCGCTACGGAGCGCGGGCGCAGGTGCTCTGAGCGCAGCAGCCTCCGCGCGCCGGCGCCGCCGCCCTCCGCGCCTCCCCGCGTCGCCCGCGCCTTCTCTCACACGCACCAAAACGACGAATTTATCTTCCGTACATGCTGGCCCTCCTACCCGAGGACGTTGCCCAGGGTGTCTCAGCGTATTATAGAATTTTTTAACAAGTTCAATAAGTTCAGAAACAGATAATTATCGTAGATACTTAAACTACACACATTACCTACTTAACTTTTATATTAAAAATAATAAATATACTTATCTTTTTGAAGTCGTATTTACTTGCCTTATAATAAATTATAACCTAACCAGGAGTTTTGTTTAAATAGGTAAGACTCAATAATGAATATTACTGATAACGTTTAATCTTCAGTCATCTCGCTTGACCTCATATATCTACCTAATTGAAGGAAAAAGATTGTGAAGTGTCTACATTAGTATTCGCATTTTTTATTAGCTTCGTTTGTTTCGGTTTTTTATTGAACATTGTATGCGCTGAGGTCATATAATAGCCATACTGGAGACCGACGGTGGCGGCGCGCGGCGTAGCCCGAGGCGACGAATGCCGCCGCCCGCGCCTCGACCGTCACCAAAAGCCACGAGAGGCGCGCTGCCGCCGCCGTCACCGCCACCGCCACCGCCACGCTCGCAGCCGCGCTAACGACAACGTCGCTCTGAGCAGCTGTTACAAAACAGCGACCCGCGACGCGATGGAATTGCCCAACTTTACGCAACTTCCCTTATTGGACTTGCAACAAGATATCGATTTTATATTATAACTAGCTGTTAATCCGGATTTATTCACGCAACCCCAATCCTGTAAAAAGCAATAAATTTATATTTCTTAGTGAAGTGCAGATGCTTCGCATTTTCTTTATGTTTCGCGTACTTCGAATAATATTTCTCTAAAAACCCCTTGACACACCTCTATGCACTATATCAAAGCCTATTCCATTAGGCTGTGCGTCTATAGAACTCGCTACAACCCCCTATACGAAGTGCCCAGTCCATAGCTAATATTCTTAATCTTCTGTAATATTTTACTAGGTTCGCCATATTTCCTGGTATGTACTATATATATATATATATATATATATATATATATATATATATATATATATATATATATATATATATGTGTGTGTGTGTGTGTGTATGTTTTCATATTTTTGTACAATGTAGGTTTTTGTATTTTATGCACGTAAACATTATTAATTCACTCTTGCACCACCTACCCCACTTCTATCTGTTCTCCTTTAATCAAAAGCTGTCTGTAAGAGATTGTCATAGTGATAAGATCGCCTTTTGTACCTTTATGTATATATTTTATCTGCACTTTATGCATTTCACTTGAATTTTCTAATTGTCATTATATATTTTTATGTTTTTAATTCAATAAAGAGTTAAATAAATAAAATCTAATATTACAGACTACATACATAAAATTACATTTCTTTAAAAATACAAGTCGAATAGCTTTTTATTAATGAAATAATTTTTTTAACTGGCTCAGATATTACAGACATTACGTTCTATTAATATGAGAAACGATGGATGAATTATTAACAATAGAGACTAATGGCCGCATTAATAGCAAATCCTATCAGGACGACCTCCACATGGTCTCCCTAAGAAAACCTCGTTGTTAATTGATGGAAAATTTATCAAAATCTGCTAATTGATTAGACTTCATCCTTACCTATAACCCCTTATTTAAATTACCGTTGACGTTTACCCTCATCGTTAGTCTGATATCAATCGGACAAGCTATATTTATTATTAGCAATGGAGACTAGATTCCTCATTATTAACAAAAGGGAAACAAAATGTGCTACTAGTTTGAAGTCTTTAAATTCCCCAAAGTTTTTAAACTAGTAGTCCATACCCCAATGTATCTATGCCATATTTAATACCACTCACCTCCTCTTGGCTGTTAGCGTCTTCCGATCCTTTCTGCTGCTTTTTTTGCACACCCAAAACTGACTAAATACAACAACAACAACCTTACAGGCCCTTTCTCTGTTAACCATGGCATTCATCACGGCCAGCAAAAAGAGATCCTTTCCAACTGCTACAGAAGACGCTGTTCTTTCGCAACATACACAACATAACCATACTTGTGATAGTCAATGTATAACAATATGTTTTAAAGCTAAAAAATTTCTTTAAGGTTACTGCTGATTGCTTGGGTACCTAGAAAGCTACCGCATTACTCTAAATAGCGATAAAAATGTGTTGACCAAGATATATGCCAGTCTTCTGGTCGCCATTCTACAAGCCGGTGTAATGACTATTTGAACAGACCTCCATATATACAGCAAATAATATACGTGGGATCTATATTTTTTGCCGAATTGAGATACTGTAGCGTTTCAAACTCCATGATCGATATGAGAACATTTGTACATTTTTATAATATTTTCCATAACCGATACAAGTCAATATGATAGTAACAAAAAAAAAATCTAAAATTACACAAAGCTAGTATCGATTAAAAAAAACCGGTCAAATATGAGTTGAACTCAAACGACTAGGTTCCATACATAAATATATAAGTATGAGATAAAATCATTTTTATACAAAATGGACATCTAATAATTATTGTTATTAATATTAGAATTCGTAGTATCTCATTTTGGGTAATAATTGTGGTTAAAAACTGTACCGCATAGCTTTGTTTTAGAGGTTTTTTGATGATTTCTCAATATTATCAAAAAAAAGTCCTAGTTAAAAACGTCATTATATTTTTTTATCGTAATTATTTCAGATTTTTCGCTTCAGATACATCGGAGATAAAGAAGGGGAAATGGTTTGTTTTGCTTACTCTTCCAATCATAACGAAAAAACTACGCATCATAAAAATAAATAAAAATCAGTTTTGAAATATGCAAATGACACCCCCATATAATACCCTTATTGGGCTAATAGGTCAATTTTGATACCAATGCTATGTAAAACTATTTCAAAACGGACGTACGATTGAACGAACAAATTCACACCATAAGAGTTCCTTTATCCTAGGCACTTTAGGCACGGAATCCTAAAAACCGGTCACATGCGAGTTGATATTTTTGTGCGAATCTACGTTTGCTGATGACATTTAATTCACAAATTTACAAATATACTAGGTTTATGCCGCGGCTTCAGCCACGTGAATCAATATATAAAGTATCCAATGTGCTAAGATATAACCTACGAGTGTCCTAAATATCATCATATTTTTGTATAAAAGAGTCATCATGTAGTAAAACATCCATCCATCCTTCGTTATATATTAATATTAATAGGATGAAAATGTAACTGTCGCAACGCAAAGCATGGGTATTATCCATTGAAAATACATATAGCTATCAATTTATTTAGCGTCTAATAAGGTATGTTAAAAGCAGTTTAAATTATATTACAAACTGATCATTTTCAACCAATGTCATAAACGTGCTATCAGCATTATACAATAAGTTACTCATTTATTTTTTATTCTATTTATTTTTATGTTTTATTTAAATTTCTAAATAACGTTTTGGTGGTGATAATATACATCATAAAGAAACTAAATTAATCTGAGCAAATACCTTAGAAACATCCTGCCACGTTGGTATGTATTTAGCTAGCAATGTTTACCACGTTATGTTGTCAAAAGACTAACTATCCAATATGATATAACAAGACTGATATATCTCGCAATAAGAAAACTAACTAATGATATATGTATCTCGTAAAATCCTCTGCAACGTTTGATTCTAATATGCTGAACAAAATATGAACATGTCGAGTACTATATTCCCAATGGTAATAATCAACAAGTAACTCTAACTACTCCATTAAGGATTGTACTCTATGCCTACGTAGTATTTTTTTATATTAAAAACAATATTTAAAATAGTAGGTATTAAAAAATAGATATAAAGTCGCTTACGCTTTTATCACCATGCTATCATATATGTACTCTAAAATACTTGTAAGTACCTATTGTCTAAAACATTCCCTCTAAAACATCCTAAGCTAATGCTAAGCAGACCACATCTGCTGTACTAACTGGAAATGTATATATTCTTCTCAAAAACTCTGTTATAGATAGATATTTAAAGAAGTTAATTTGTTTTGCCGCTAACTAAATAGTTCTAAATACTCTCTTTCGTTCAAATTGTTTCTTACATAGCAATCTAGTTTTTAAAGTCGGTTATTAAAGTAACAAATATAAATTTGTGAAAAAATAGACGTTATTTATGAATGTGGAGGAAGCGAAAGAGGTCTATTCTAAGCAAAGTATTTAGCGTTCCATGTTTCCTAAACCTCCTGAAATTAAATAAAATTTTAACACATGCGCCTTTTCAAAGGGTCAGTCCCCCCCCCCTCCTTAACTTGGAAAATAGTCTTAAATACATCAATTCATACAAATCGATCTCATCGATTTATCCGAAACTTTATAAATAAATAGGATTAGTAGTACGCTATCAAAATCCTGAATTCAAGTGAGCGCTATGATTCACTTATAAACTAGGTCCCAATTTTAATGGTTTTCTTTAGTCACTGCACTCGTTGACAAGCAGTAAATGAGTATAATTAAACTGCTTGGTGGTAACTGGTAACTAACAAGCTCAAAATTTAAACAACCTAAATCAGAGAATGGCTTTAAAAAAATTGTATACGTAGAAATCGCTATCCCGCTCTTGTTTTGCCACAAAGTATTTGTGCTTGCATGGCTGTGGTTCAATTTGTAGTGAGATATAGCAGTGCAATTACAAACTACAAGTACATAATATTTTAATTCTCAACGCAACGCGTATAGGTTACTACAGGCAGCATGTACTCTATGATGTCCCTTATAATTTTCATATATGTAAGCAAAAACCACTTTTCATTTATTTATTATAGAAAATAAATTACTCGCTACAGCAAACACAAGTTTAATATTATGGACAAAAAACGTAAAATAGAGGGAGACATTGTACAAGACTCGTTTGTTTGTACACCTCTGTCCTATTCATGTTTCTACCGTGAAGCAGTTCTGTTTGCATGGCTGTGTTTCGGTTTAAAGGGTGGGATATGGCAGTGAATTTACAAGGTATAATAAAATAACATATGAGTCCTCAGGAATAGCAACGCATGGGGGCTATCATGGGCGAAACAGTATACTCAGTTATGTCTATGATACTTCTCATATCTATAGGCGACGGTTACCAGTTTCCATCAAGTGGGCCCTCAACTTGATTGCCATTCTAAGTTTCGTAAAAAAAAACATAAATTAAAAAAAAACCTTATTCATGTATATTCAAGATACTCTTAACTTTCCTTTCCAAAGATATTTTTGAAACTCAAAAAAGTGCATGTGTAAGACTTATATTAAATATTGAGTTTATTTATTTAGATACTTTCTGTAAAAAATTGTTTTAGACCCTTGTAATTAATTCTAGCACACTTTAATCTAATTTTTAAATTAAGCCAAAGGATGCTCATTTTTTTCCCCGTACTTCCCCAATTCCTACTTAATGTCGGCAAAAATACTTTTCTCAACATTACACATCATACTAAAATAATGTTTCCTTCTTAATAGAAGACATAAATAATATACATTTATTCGTAATCGAATAAATGTATATTATTTATGTCTTGTACCTTTAAAATTTTTCTACCGGCTAATATTAGTTCTTATTCTATTCTAGAATATTGTTCTGTGCCCTTTAATCTTTTAATGTAATTTCATTTTTTAACTTTCCATTGATTAACGAAATTATTACGCCTTATGATGACCACAGCCAAATAAGTGTTACCTATGTTCCTGTGATAATTAAAGTAATCATCAACTCTAAAGTTTCATCAGTTTGCACTAAAGTGACCTAAAGACCTAAACAAAAGTTAAGAAAAGTACACAGGACATATATGGTAATCACTGATCTTGCTTCATTTCATCCATGTGAAATTGGTTAGTATCTCATGCATGCTCACCAATTCGGAGACTGTATAATCTCTCTTTCCATGATATCCGATCATAATTGTCATGTGTTTCATGCAAAATGCAGATATACAGATCTACATACTTATATACAGATTTGCATTAATGTAATTTATATCATGAACAGCACTCAAATATTTTATAACCATTGTAGGAGTGCATGAACTCATCCATTGCATTACTATTTCAGTTATAGACAATCTTAATACGAATCTCGGACATTGTAGCGAGCGGCTCAAGAGCGCGCATGCTTATTTAACTTCCAAGAATTGTTTAAATGACCGGTGAAAGCCACACAAACAGGTGTGTAATACATTATGGATATGGGTAGATATGGTACCATTTTACGAAACACTTTTAAATTAAGCCCGCCCTAAAGATACCTACCAGACTGATTTAACTATAACCTCAACTCGTGGCTTTATCTGCTACTTTTAGTTTTCCTTATCAATTATTCCATAATAACAATTCGAACCAATTTCTACTTTCTTATTACTATTATTAGGGTTTAAAATTATAAATATCTAAATGATATCGTTAACTTTTGTAAGCAGCAATAGATATGTTAGAAGTACCTACTATCTTTAATATCTGAATAAGATATTTTTTTTTTCTATTTAACCATAATTCAAATTCCAGCTAATATTTAAATTAGAGGCAACATATTCTATGATCAAGGTTTTACTTGGCTAGCAGAACACTTTTAAAATAACAAATCAGGAATATTTAAAAATCTTCAATTGTTTTTGAAAATCTACAGATAGTTGCGGCGTTATCATACATATGAACATGTAAAATATAAAAAAAATTATTTTATTTTTAAATATTTATTACCTTTAAAAATTGTATTTAGTCTTGAAAATATTTTGTACTGTTTATGGGTATTGAATATCGATTGATATCACAGTATTACAAAATTATTGCGCAGAAACAAGGAAGTCTGTAAATAACAACAATCTGTACCAACCTGTTTATAAATGTGCTGTTTTTTTTTTATATGTTAATTTTATTAAATTTAAAATTAAATAAATCGTTTGTTTTCAGTTTTCATTTAAAAATCTATAATTATCGACTTATCTAAAAAGATTCATTTCGAACATATTCCACCTAGGAAAAAGATGTGAGAGTTTGAGAAAATTTTGCAAATCAAATATATACTTAAAATAAATTATTAGACTCCCACAAGAAAGAAAAGTAAATAATAGTTTTATATAAAATTAATAACTATGTCATGTCAAGTAGATTAGCTTATTAATAGGTCTTAAAAAGGTACCTCTTGTGGTTTTTATTAAGGCTGACTTTATGACAACATCATCACGGTTAGAGTATGTCTGAATTACACTTCCTAACAACCAAACACTGGGAGCAGTATCCTCATCTTTAACTATTACAAAGTTATATATTTTTCCTAACATTCATCCATTTAGGGCGACTTTGTAACTCTGCTAAATATTGTTATTTTCATTGACGTCAAAATTGTTGCTTTGATCATGTTAGTCTCAGCTAAATCTGTTAAGGAGTTGCCTATCAAAAAATGACCTGTCTTAATAGCACAATTGCTTACTAAATACTAGAGGAACAAAATCTCAGATGCTTTACTGTATATCATCTCTCGGTCAAATGCATTTTGTTAGATAAACAGCATTTATATATTATATATATATATATATATATATATATATATATATATATATATATATATATATATATATATATATATATATATATATATATATATATATATATATATATATATATATATATATATATATATATTTTTTTTTAACGATATTAATGACCTATCAAATGCACTATGCTAACACGCGCAGACATCAAAATACAGATTGATGTGATTCCGTAAAAATCATCATCATCATATCAGCTTTTAGCCGTCCACTGCTAAACATAAGTCTCTACCTTGAGGGATGTTTGCCAGTAGTTGCCACACTTGGCAGGTAGATTGGCAATAGCAGTTAGGCTTTAGAAATGTTAGGCTTTAGAAGTGGCCTATTCTATGTCGGAACTACATGGCTTACTACACTTATAAATAATACATATAAATAAATAAAAATATTTATAACCTAACTAATACTTAATTATAAACATTTTTGTCATTTTTTATGACTCACCGTCCAATTCGGAATGCTCTTTCAACTGAGAAGAACGAGCTAGAAACAGTTGTTTTTTTTTTCAAATACATAAAAGTTGAGTTTACAAAAAAGAAAGTGAATTGATAAAATAAATCTTACAAACTTTATACTGATAAAAAGTACAATCAATCACATTATTCTTAAATAGACCAGTTCCTACTAAAAAGCACCCGTTCACGAGTATGACAGATGAGCCAGCTACCGTTGTGTTTAGCCATATTATAAGGAGTCTAACGAGTCGGCCCACCACGACGCCACCAGTTTGGGCACTATAGTGAGCACAATTTGTCTCAAGATACTTGATTGTTTAAAATATCGATACCAAAGAAAATGAATGAAGATGTCGGTAGGCACCACCCTGACGGACATATGTTAACCAAATAGGTAACAAGAGCCAAAATCAAAATACTCGTAATCGTCAAGCGTGTATAAAGATAAAAGATTGTTTTTTGTGAAGGAAACGAAAGATGTCTGCTTAAATCGAAGCATTTGGCGTTCCAGTGTTTCTGCCTACCCTAATGAGAAACAGGCGTGACAGATATGTATGTATATATTAAGAACAGTACCTTTCGTCATGATCATGGCAACATTGTCGCGTCGTGTCAATCTATGTCAAACGTGTCATGAAACATGTATTGTACAGGGTTCCCAACTTCAAAATGTTTCTCAGTTTAGGAGTAAAACAATTGAATTAGGATTTTAAGAAACACAATAACAAAGATTAATAATATTAACTTACCAAAATATATGCCATATTTCGGTAAGTTAATATTATTAATCACATTTACAGAAACAATTTTCAACGTTTCTGATTATTTAAAGTTTTTTGATTGCGGACTAAAACATTCATTATGCTATATTATTCTTATTAAGTCTAAATCACAATAATTTAAGATTATGATGCCTAAAAATGTAGCTGAAAAATTCCAGAAAAAAATATGAAGAACGTGCAAAGTTTTAATACATTAATATGCAACGTATACCATGATTAACGTTTTAGTTCACTAGCACAGCACTTTTTAAATAATCAATCAGAACTTTGAAAAATATTAAACTGTTTTGAAAATTAACACTTAACTGTGACATTGCTACATTTCGGTAAGCTAAAAATATGAATGCTCTTAAAGGTACTTCGACACACACACACGTAGTTTGAGGTAAATATTATTAGGTGTAAGCAACCCTGCCATCGTGGACTAATGCCATAATTGTCTCTTACTCTTTCTTTCTTATTCGAAATACCGTTCTTTGAGTACGGTTTATTTTTTAATATTCAACAAGTAATTTTTTCACACTTTGTGTGTTTCAATTAATTTGAAAACGCTAAAAAAGTTCAATTCCGTAAGTTTTGATTCAAATTATCAATTTTTACATTCTTCTTTTAATTTTTCTTCATACACCTAACCTCTAATCTCAATTTCTTAGTCTTTGAATATTTTTGTTTATTTGAGAGCATTCATTTTAATAAATTAAATACTAAACAATGTACTATATATTTCACTTGAAAGTTTGCCTGTAGACTCATAACTTTATTATGTACTTTGGAATGAATACGTGTCTTCTATAACATTGTACCAAGGCTAATAGATGTAAAACTTTAGAAACAAATTATTGAAAGATTTTTTTATTTCAGAAAATGTCTGCATTGGCTTATGAAAAAGTATGGTTAGACAAAACTATCTACAATGATGCAGAGCGGAATTATTACGAGTCCCTGTCAAAGGCTAGTAAAATTAACAATTAAACATTCATAAAATTTAAAAATTCTCCATCTATTAATTAATTAATATCAAGGTATAAATTACTACCCTAGAGTCCACCGAGCAAGCAAAATTTATATGGGCCTATATAAATACTGAAAGTGAAAATTCTTTTGATTCAATATCATAGTAGTTGATATATACTTAATGTAATAAAATAATAACAAAATACATAATTTTGTAGGTTCGAGTTACACCACTTGCATTAACTCAGTCTTCTTTGGCCAATGAAGTTGCAAAGGCTAGGCAGCACATCAAAAACTCTCTTGAATGTGTGAGTAAAATATTTTTTCTTTTATTTGCAATTCACACATTGTAGTTTTGGCTGTATTAACAGTAGACAGATATTTCCAAGAGTATAAATTGATGTGCTTAGTTAATGTTCAATTTATTATTACCACTGTCATAGTATACTAATAATTCTGATAATGTTTTAGATGGATAGTGTTGCTACTTTAGCTGGAGTTCCAAACACAGAATTGACCAATAAAGTGAAGTCCCTAGAAAAAGAAAATAGTGACCTTAAAAAAGCTATTGATGACTTACGCAACTTAGTGATCAGTCTACAAGCTCGAGTTGAAACATTGGAAGTGAACAACAGTTCAAAACCCACATTGACCTCTGCAGCTAAAGTAAGTATAAAAACAAATGACACTTTTATTTGTAGATGTGTTCTAATTTGTAATCTGTTAATATAAATTTGTCAATCTCTAGCCTCAACCACCACCAGCTGCAGCATCCCAAGATTCTGATGATGGTGTAGATCTGTTTGGATCTGATGATGAAGAAGAGAGTGCTGAGGCTACAAAACTAAGAGAGGAACGTCTAGCTGCATATAATGCAAAAAAAGCTAAAAGTATGTAATATATCATAACAGTAGTATAAGTAATTTACTTTTACTTGTCTTGCCTACAAAGAAAACATTATTAGTTCTTATTTTTTTACCTGATATTTACTAGAAATTTAATAATTCTTATGTTACGCTGATTATGATAACTTTATAATTTTTTATAGAAATCTTTTTTTGTTACAGAACCTGCACTAATTGCTAAATCTAACATAATTTTGGATGTAAAGCCCTGGGATGATGAAACAGACATGGCAGAAATAGAGAAGGCAGTCAGAAACATTGCCACAGATGGTCTACTATGGGGTGCAGCCAAACTAGTTCCATTGGCCTATGGTATACACAAGCTCCAAATTTCTTGTGTTGTAGAAGATGATAAGGTCTCTGTAGATTGGCTCACTGAGGAAATTGAAAAGATTCAAGATTATGTAAGTTATATTGTCCATTGAATACTTAATTTATTCTAACAATTATATATATAATAAATATCCCAGTAATAATAAATTGCTGTGATAATTACTAGTCCTTGGTCAATATCCATCTATTTATAATGTTGTTATATTGTAATGTTATATTATTTTTTGACATAATTATTTTATACTATGTACAATGACAAACATGTTAACTACTTATTTAATGAAAAAGGGCCATCCTACACTCATGGTAATTAGAAATTTTACTTGACTACTACCAATACTTAACATGCTTTCTGAAAGAAAATATATTGACTACAAAGTAATACATATATTGATCTTGTTCTATGTAAGACACTTAATCTATTAATAAAAACAAAGTTAGAAATTAATGAATTCTTCGAAATATGATTTTAATAACCAAAGTGGCAATATGTTAGCAAAAGTTTCAACCATTTCATCTGTAACACCCAATCCCAACTATAGCAGTCTGTTTCAATAGAACTTAATGAAAAGTCATAAATACTCTCTAAATAAAATTAGGATATTGGAATAATATAGTTAATATATGTTTTAAATACAAGTGATTTTGCCAATTTACATTATGTATATTCACAGTATACCTTGAATTTTTTTATATCGAGTATAATAGTATGTATATTTATTTACAGGTTCAAAGCATTGATATTGCTGCCTTCAACAAAGTTTAACAAAGAGTGAAAAAAATGTTACAGTTGAATAATAAAAATAATAGCAATAAATTCAGTCCCCTTTTATTTTACAATAGGAATTATAAGAATAAAGTCTAAATAAAAGTGGTGCTTACACACTTTCCTTTGTATAAATGAATTATGAATCCGTAAATACTACCAAAATGACGAAATATCCTTTTTCCTTCCCATTACATTCCATTGCCCATTAAGGCAACTCTTCATAGTTCTCATAAATTTATTCGCATTTAACCTCGGATACGAGAATCGGCAAAACACACGCTGTTATGCTCCCTCTGACTCGCACACATAGTTATCAACAGAAATTAAACGGATATCTGGCAAATTTTATTCCTAAAATCATCTTTAGTAAATAAATCTTTACGAAATAATAATAATATTACAGCTTATAAATACAATTACTTTTATAAAATGATAGAAGAACAAAAATTTGCAAAGTTCCTACAAATAGATTTAGATCCACAAATAAAAAACACCATTTCAATTTAAAAACGAAACTACTGAACCGTTTTTAATGAAATTTCTATGGACCAGTCTGCGTCATATCAAAAAATACTATGGCTCCATCAAAACTCCGTTGATTTTACCAATGTCAAAGATAGAAGAAACACTGCAATTTTATCGGTGATGTGATATGATTTCCTTGTAGTAAAACAATTGCATTGTGTCAAATTTATATACTTCTAGGACCGTAGGTACTAATCTTAATCTATGGAGTAGTTAATTTATATACTGTTCACCAACTTGGCGTCGAATTGACATCAAACTGTCAAAATTGTGACAGATAAGACGCTGTACCTATTAGTTTCTCTAATCTATGAACTGTACCTAATTTTTTTAAAGTTTAGAACACGTTTTAAGAATGTTTTCTTAGTTTAAACAGATTTCAATAAATATTTTTTTTTTGCAATAAATAAGTGTCTTGAACCGTTGCTCCTAGAACTTGGATATCCTTTTAGTAAATACCAAGAACATAATGTCAAAATGCAAAAAATGTGAAGCTCCTGGGACAATAGTCTTAAGGAAAAAAGACTTGTATTGTGATAGTTGTTTTTTAAATAACATCAACCATAAATTTCGTTCTGTAATTGGCAAAAATAAAATACTTTCTAAGAATGAAAATATTTTGTTGTGTTTATCGGGCGGAACAGCATCAACCACCTTAATGGATATGGTTCATTATGGAATATCATTAGATAGCCATAAAAAACTTAGAGTTAATCCATATGCTCTTCACATAATAGGCAAGCCTAGTTCAACTTTACAATTTTATTGATAAGTATTTTGTGTTTTTTACAAACTATAAATAAAATTTAATTTTCAGGGCCAGGAAATGAAGATAATGTGCAAGTAGCAAACTCAGTAATTAAATCATGTAAACATTATGGTTTTGATCTATATATCATACATATAGCAGAATATGTTCATGATTGTACTAGTCTCATAAAGAATGTTAATGCTATGCCAGAAACTGATAGTATTTCATCAAATACTTTCAATGAGATTCTAAATGGTATGCCGCCAACGGCACAAAATGATTTTATATTGAAAGTAAAGCAAAATTTATATGTCAAATGTGCTAAAGAGCTATCTTGTAAATTTATTTTTACTGCTGAAACAACAACAACATTAGCTATTAATTTGTTATCAAACTTAACAGTTGGACGAGGATCACAGGTTCAAAATGACATAGTAAGTAATTTTTTTTATATATATTAAATGTATTTTATACTTGTAAGATACTTCCAGCATTAATAAATTAAAAATATTTGCTAATAGTAGTCAACATATCTCAGTATATTAATTCTTAAAATCTAATCAATCTAAATATATGATTGAATTGAGTACTTGATTCTTAAAAAATAGAATTATTTGTTATTTATAATGCTGATAAAAAGTTAATTCATTACCTTATTTATCCTCAATGGCATACAATTTTTTTTTATGTAGTATTTAAAATTATTAAATAATTGTTTTATTTTTAATTAGTTTATATTTATTGTTGTTTACGATACTGTTGTAAGATATAGACCCTCCATAGGATATTGATCTCTACCTATCTTCCTCTCTCTCCTATATTATTCTATATTCCTCTGCTCTCTATCTTGAATAACCTTAAGCTCCTTCAAACATGCTATCAATTTAATCATCAGCTCATCATTAGTTAGGTCTTTAACTTTCCTTTTGATACTTTCTACCTCTTGGTATGTTATTATCCACATGTTATTAAGGCATGCAACATTTCCAGTTCATATCCACTCTAGTTTTCCAGATTGTATTAGATCAACTATTAAGTTTGTTTCATGTTGAATTTCTTCACTGCAATTTTATTGGTTTTTCTAATATTTTAAATGCTCATTTCTGTTATTTTTTGGCAAGTACTTATTTTTTTTAATTTCATTTTGTTAGTTAACATCCAAGTTTGACATCCAAACAACAGGTAGCAGGAAAAAGATAAAAATATCGGCTACTTTTTAACCTGGTCATATGCATGTGTATGGTTTGGTCATGGCTAAAAACTATATAGTCCGATATAAAAACTGTTGTCTAAGTGATGATGTATATCGTTAAAATATATTATGAATTTATTTAGTAATAGTAATACTTTTAAATAGATTGTAATTTCAACTAGTGTATTTATGTCATATTACATTCATAACTTAGATTATTGTTAATCAATTCAATTTTTCTAGGGCTTTTGTGATAAAAGAGATAAAGAAGTAACTATATTAAGACCAATGAAGGAAATTAGTAAAGAAGAATTAAACCAATACATTTCTATAAAAAAAATAATGCCTGTGCATAATTGTAATATGCTTGATAATAGTTTACAGTCAGTAATATCAACATTTGTAACTGATCTACAAGAGAATTTTCAATCAACTGTGTCATCAGTTTGTAAGACTGCAGACAAAATAGGTGTTCATGATGATAGCAAATATGATAGTAGATGTGTCCTTTGTAAAGTAAGTAGTTACCTAGTTCTTTTAAAAATCCTTATTATTTTATCAATTCTAATATAATAATCGAAGACATGAATGAATGAAGGTGAGATATGTCCCATATTTGAATTTTCAGTGGTTCATCTACAGTGGTGCACACTTTCATAACTTATTATTACACTCAATTACTATAACTTATAGTTGTTAGTATGCACATAATATCAGATTTTTACTAATATATGTATGGAATGGAATACATATAATAGCAAAAATTGTTACGTAAACATATTATAGTTAACATAGTAAATAAATTTTTATACTTACAGGATAATTAAATAATAAATCAATTAAATCAGTCATCAATGAAAATAAAATTGTTATAATGAAATGAATAATTTTTTTTCAGAATGTCTTCAATAATAGTGGATCCAAAATTTCTGCTCTTGAAGCAACTGTCTACTCTAGACTAGTTTCTTCAAAAAAAAGAGAAGATAATAATGAATTTCATGACAATAGTCTAATAGAGCAAACATCTTTATCAATGTTTCCTTACATTAACAAAAACCTGTGCTATGGCTGCAGTAGAATATACTCAGAAATGACTCTATGTGATTTACCTGATGTTGTAAAAGTTCATTTACAAATGTCAGACAAATCAAAATAGTTTATTAACAGTTTAGTGAACCCTTTTTTGTAATATGGAAGTTACAAGAATAATGCGCGTGCAAGATTCTTGGCAGAGGAACAACGACAATAGAATTACAAAATATGCAGGCGTTGCAGGTCAAAGGATAAATGAACCCGGCAGTAAATAAATCAAATACAATTATTGTGATGCTCTTACGCTATTATATTATTTATAACACCAGAAAACTTTTTTTTTATTAAGAACTAATTCACAATGACAGCCCACTTAAGCAGGTAGAATTGCAACCTACTGGGGGGAAAGGGATTGTTAGTAATGGAGACTGAGAATCCCATTGCTAGCAATATACCCAACCAGGTCGACCTCCACGCGGTTCTCCCTGGAAACTATCATGGTTAATTCCTGATGAATTCACCATGATGGGCTAACTGATCTGTTTTCATTCTCATCTATCACCCTTCATTGGTGCTCCGTTAGCGCAGGCGGGGTTACCATACCATTTTCACCCATCAAAAAAAAAATTGCAACCTACTTGTATAGTGATTGGTATCTAAACTGACATTTCACAAGACCCATCTAATGGAAGGTCCATTAGGTTTAATAACCACCTCTAAAGGTAATTGTTATACATGAGTAATAATAATAAATGGGGATCCATTGCTAGCAATATAAGATGCATTACTAACAATGTAGGGTACGTTACTAGCAATGTGAGATCAGTCGTCACACTCAACATAGTCCTTCTTGGAAACCATCGTGGTTCAATTGATGCACTAACAGCATAGGTGAGGTTACCATTGCATAGTTAATAATTTTCTATTTTACCCTGGTGATAAAACCGCAATCATCAAAAATTGCTTATATAAAGCGAAGAATGATAGGTGAGAACAAACAGCAGGTCAGTTAGCGTGTCGTGATGAGTACACTTGAAATTCAGCACGATAGTTTACAGGGGGACCATGTCGAGATATTGACTTGACAGGGTATATTACTAGCATTAGTATTGATAGCCTGCATTTCTAACAATCCCTTTCTCCTCCACGCAAGCGAGGTTCCCCTGAGTTTACCATTCCATTATGATAATGGAATGGTAAACTCAGGGACATAACTCAGACACGAGCCAAAAAAGTACATTTACTAAATTAACCCAACCAAGAGCGAAACCGAACCCTCATTTACGCAAAGTTACGTGTATATTACTACGCCACAATAGATAGTCAAAATAAGAATAGAGAAAGAAGACTACTTATCCTATCAACATATGCCGGTCGCGGGTACAAACTAAACTATAAAAAGGAAAGATTTGTTTGTAATGCATAAACTCTACCAATTTTAAAAATTCTTTCCCCTCTTTAGATAACTACATTATTAGTAACATGCTCTTAAAACATCATCAAAAACATAACTGCGGATACCAACCGGCCTGCCAACTGAGATGTTCAACAGTGAACAGTTAACGATTGATATAATGATGAGCATGCGCTGTATTTTTGTGTTTTTTTTTTTTAAAAACCATACAAATTCGAGGAGGTTCACTAGTAAGTAATACTCCCCTTATGAGGCTAATGTTTAACAGTGGACAGTTTACGTCTGAAATGATGATAAATACTCATAAGACAAAAGAAAATGTAAATATTAATAACTTTGTATTTTTTATAATTTATTCATAAACTATAAAAAGGAAAAAATCTTAATTTAGACAATATTTTTCGGGTGTAAATTCTCTTTTAAGGAAGTTCTACCACTATGAAACTGAACATCCCCAAATAAGTCGGTTGAAAAACAACAAAAAAAATTAAGCCTCCATAGGTTTGTATATATTAACACAATGCGTTCATTTGTCACGTTAAAATTGCTCAAAATTTGTCTTTTTTGAATTTTCGTTTTACTAAATTTGTCTTAATATATAGTAGGAACAAATGATTTTCAACCGAAAAGGAGGTACTCAATTCTGTTATTTTTTTTTTGTTGTTTACCTTCTTATGAACTTTATATAAATTGTCACAAATCAAATACAAGAGAGAAAAAACATGAATTAGTATATTTATCATTTAGTTGAATACAACTAAATGATATGTATACTAATTGTAAAGTAATAACTTTATTATGCAACCCGGAATGACAATCATCGGCTTTTTGGAAAATGGAACCTATCTGATGAAAAGTGATAACCATCGCCTATAGAGACGAACAATATTACAAAATATATTGACGTCCGTGTTATGAATAGCAACACACGAGTAGCCATGTTGCCATTCATAACTTGCCCATCCTTCAAACTAAAATACGATTGAAATAGAGGTGATTATGGAGGTAATATGGGAGATTAATAACAATGCATAGATATCCATTGTAATAAAAAATTTCAGTACAGAGTTTTCATAAAACTCTACTGAAATTTTTTATACCAAGAAAATAACAAACAAGCACACAATCTGGCGGATGAAAAATGGTCGCTGTAGCCTACGGACGCCGGCTACACCAGGAAAGTCACGTACACATCGTCGCCCCTAAAGGAATTTTAATACGCCCTTTATAAAAGAATCTCATACTGCAATGTTCTTCAAAAAATAAAGGGAACAGAAAATGCAATACAGATTTACAGTATTAGCAGTAAAATAATTTGTTTCAACAGGTTGCTAAATAACGCTCAAATAGAGATTAGCACTATTGTCGTTGGACAAAGGCCTCTGATTAACTTCCTCTCCTTTCAAATTTATTTGCAAAGTAGTATTAAAGAGAGGCTTCATCAAAAAGTCCGCTAGTTGATTCTTTTCATCAATTGTCAAGATTTCAAAACATAGTTCAATAAAATGGTGTCCAAGGCGAATATGCTAAAGGGGATTCATGAGCTAGTCTTATATTTGATTTACTGTCTAAAGATTCGTAATAACGTTCGATAAACACGTTATATTAAATCTATGATAATAACATTCTCTAAGAAATTCGGCAGGGAGCGCATTCCAAAGCCTGAGTGTTTACAGGAGGAAACCGCATTGTACGGCATCATATATTTTAACTCTCTATTAATTAAGAAATATAGTAGTCGCGGTCGCTATTTTACGTCACTGCACTTGTTCCAAGTCAAAATTACAATTTAGTTCAAAGCTAAACTTCAGCTGATACAAAGTAGAACCATCCTATGTTTATATACAATATAGTATACAAAATAGTCTGCCAGTCGCTTTCTACCCGACAATGAGACTAGAGAGTTAATTTTTTAATAATAATTAATTAACTGGCATTTAATAGTGCCAGTTGACTAAATCTAATCAGAAGAAAATATGGCTCTTTTTATCAAGGCTCTTACGATTAGTTGCATCTTATTAATTGCATTGCGTTCGATATATATAGACAAATAAATAATATTTGTATAGTTGACACCCCCGTCGCCATTAGAGCTGTTGCAGATATAGGACATGTAATTAAAAAAGTAGCAACACAGAAATAGCACTAATTTGTCAGAAATAAAGGGTTCATTACCTATGTACATTTTCCAAATATAAATAATCGAAAACATTTCCAGGCAAAAGTTAGTACTGTTTATTAAGAAAATTTTGATGCAACAACTTCGTGTTATCACACTAAAAATAAATTATAATCAATGAGGCTCCTCTTCAAACCGAAGATTCGATTGATTTTAGCTAGGTATATTATTATGTATAAAGACAGCTAACGTAACTTGCTAAAAATATACTAATAGAAACAATATTTAATCCGACATTGTCTAATAATAAGAAGTTACTGGTCTCCTTTATAAAATATGTAATAAAAGAAAACGATTACTTAATAATCTTAAAATTTTGTATTTATATCACACATATCTACATTTTACTTCTATTACATAAATACAAAATTTTAAATAGAGTACCAACGAAAAGCTGCTAACCAGTATTTGCAAATGGTATGCAGGTGTTACCAATATATTATACAAGTAATTACAATATCAATACCATAGGTTAATAAATGCAAAAGATCAAGTGCAATGAAACTCGAGATATCTTGTTTATGTCAATAATAAATATTGATTTTCATAAAAAAAATATTGTTCACCGAGACAAATTTAAACCCACCCACCACACCAGATACTCACAAAGTAACAGTTTCAGTACATGATCATGTCATGGACTTTTCAGCAGTTTATATCCAAGATAAACACTTTTAAAACAATGCATAAACCAGATTTACTAATATTAAACACTAAATTATATTGTCTTTCCAAATTATATTTTCATTCATCAGACATTGGAATTACATAAAGTTGTCAGTAGCACAGAGATGGTACTCTTCGCTGTGTTCCTAGTGTAGATATTTACACTGTCAGTGGGTTCTTGGTTGTTGGTGTTTATGTTACAAAGTCTCATCTGGAATCTTGTACAGGTATATATTCAATACATAGCAATACAGAGCATTACTGGGCCTTTGTAACAATTATTCTGCAGCACTTATTGGTCCTTGCAATGCATTAGGGGTTGGAGAATTAGAGGACACCATTCGACCCTGTTCTTTTACAATTGGATCTGAAACAAATATTGTTTATGTACCTATAAGTATAAATATATATTCTTACAAAAGTACATATGAATCTAACAAATATACATCACAAAGTTAAAATTATACAAAGAAAAAATACTAATACAACATATTTTATCAAATTATACAATTGCACCTAAATATTCAAAATATGAGTCAAACATTATATTCACATACATTCATATATAAGAAAATATCAGATAAAAAAGGATTCAAAGTGTTAGTATTATAAACAAATTCAAGATATGTGTAAGTCATCATGCAGAATCATTTAAGCTAATGTCTCACTAAACTCTACTTAAATGAGAATGAGTCATAAAATAATCGTATTACAACATTAACATAATTATTTATTATTATTATCTTATTCATTAACTGTCCATTGCTGAACATAGACCTTTCCCACAAGGAGGGTTTTGACAGTAGTTAGCATGCTTAGCAGGCGGATTGGCAACCACAATTATGGTTTAAGTGATGTTTTAAGAGGGGTGCTGCTGCTCAAGTAAAAAATTCCCTTAATCGCCCCTTATGACACCCATGGGAAAGGAAAGGGTGGCTTATTCTATACTGGAACCACAAAGAAATAACAAAAATTATATTACCCATTAATTATGCAATATGTATAATTTTACAATTATATATTTCAAATAATTTGCATGTTTTAGTATTAGCCACAAATAAGTTCTAGTAACAGATAAAATTATTAACTTACAGAAGTATGGATGATCCATTGCTTCACGAGCAGTATAACGCTCGTAATGATCATAACGCAACAAACGATCCAGGAAATCTAGTGCTTCAGGTGACACCAAATGTTGATTTTCAGAATGCACAAATCGTTCCCATCGTTTGCGTGAATGTCTGAAGAAAAAAACAATAAATTATAACATGCATAAAAGTTATAACATATTTATTTCACTTCTAGTGTAACATATAATTCTTTGTTTTACATAGCATTTTAGAAATATAAGATTAATAGCGACATGCAGAACGAAATAAATATTATAGTTACAGACCTGCCAAGAATATCATTAAACCGAGGATCCAACTCTATATGATATTTATCCAAATATTCAAATAGCTCTTCAGTGCCAAGCACTTTCGCAATACGCACAAGTTGATCATAATTGTCATGACCATGGAAGAATGGCTCCTTACGGAAGATCATCGATGCTAACATGCATCCTAATGACCACATATCTAAAGAATAATCATACATTTGATAATCCACCAATAATTCAGGACCCTGTAAAATAAATTAAATTTTCTTGAAAATTGTGAGGAAACTAATAGGTGTTTGTAACTTAAATAATTTGTATCATTCTATACTCAGCACCACAATTTTTTGAAAATTTTGTTAAAAAACAATGATTGCTTTTAAAACTTTAATAATTTGTATATATACTCAGTACATAAACAAAAATTTACAATGAAAATTATGTTTAAGTTTTATTGGAGATTACATTAAATTTTTACACATAACTTTTGTAATCATTGCTAATATTATAAGAGTGAAAATGGGTTCGTTTATTTCTATTTATTATTTCTTGGGTGCTGTAATTAATATATAACCTATTTTTTATCACAGTCAATCAATGTTGCAATAACTCAGATTATTACTAACTGAACCTTAAAATTATTATAATTTATAAAATCCCACATCATTCTGCAAATGTGTATTATTTACTACAAATTAAGAGGTACATATTTTTTTTTTATCCTGCTAAGTGTCCTTCAATATAATGGACCTAGTAGGCAATCAATTAGATAAAAAATAGAAATATTCAAGAGTAGCTTCCTAAATTGTAAAACCCTTCTCACCCTGTTTTGTACCTTAGAATCTAATTTGTAAAATATTTGTCATTTTAATAATTACTAATTTATATGCAAATGCATACAAGTCTAAAAAGAGTAGTTTTTGATCCAGTACCTATCTAAACTTCAATATTCTCATGTAACAAAATATATGCAACAACAACAGGTTTTACCATCAAAGATATTCTGTTGTTTGTATACTTTTAAATACAACCCGAAATGGCATACTGACAACCTTCCTGATGCAATTACTATCTTATAAAAACTAAAATCTAAGTTCTATGTCCAGGAGGGGACAGATAATGGCTGAAATGATGATGATAATGATGAAAGACTATGACCATAAACAGAATACATACATATATATCTCAACTTGCTGTTGTGTTATAACTAACACCAACAGTAAATTATATCCTTCTTTTGAATTACAACTGAGATCAAATTAAAATGTAAATTTACCTAAAATGATGTAATTATCATCATAACAATCATACCTTAAAGTATCTAGAAGCAACACGAACATTGTACTCTTGGCCTGGGTGGTAAAACTCTGCTAACCCCCAGTCAATGAGACGCAACTTTCTATTATCATGATCAATCATCACATTATGAGGCTTCACATCTCTATGCATGATGCCCATACTGTGGCAATAATCTAATGCTTTCAGAAGTTCATACAAATAATACCTGGAATTTATATTCAACTTATAAGAAGACTATAATTAAAAAGAAAAATATTTATATAAAATATAAACATAAATCTTTACCTTATATCATAATCTGAAAGAGTTTGATATAACTGTTTAAAATCAGTGTTATTGACATGTTCAAAAATTAGAGCAGGGGTACGAGACACAGGGTCTTTGACTACTGCTTGTAATGTTATTATATTTGTGCCTCCTCTTAGGTTTTCTAATATTTTTATTTCTCTTTTTATCTTCTTCTTTTTAACAGGCTGAAAAAACAGTAATTTATATATAGATTCAATGCAGCAGTTAATGCAATTAAAAATATGCTTAACAAAATCAAGTTTATCATATATTATGGAAACCTTTGTATGTATTATAAGCATGGAATTCTTACCTTCAATATTTTAACTACACACTTCTCATTATTTGTGATATTTATTGCCTCAAATACTTCACTGTATTTTCCGCGCCCGAGTTTACGAACCAACTGGTAGTCCTCTTGATTCCCCCAATCCACCACATAGCTTTCATAGTCCCAATACTCTCGTGGCTTTTGTGAGTTGACATCGGCATAGACCCGGGCTCTACTAGGCACTGCCATCGTACTATACCTCTGCCAACCTAAGGTTTTATCAGCGATACTCTTTCCGGAAATCGCATATGTCTTGAGTAATGATACTGTGAATAAAAATATTTTCCACGTCACTATACAACATTCACATCAAAATTTACACTTGAGCATATAACTTCAGGCGTTGTGACTTATCACAGTGTATCGATAGCGGTTAAGACTTCGAGTGTTCAATTAGTATTGAGATGTATAACCTAAAAAAGACATCCAGCTCAATAATTTCGTGCTACATCAGCTAAAATAGACAATAACCATTGCAACTGATTAATATAATCTCACACGCAATCTTTCGACGCATACACTAAATGTAACTATTCATAGGATCTGACGACATGAATCAAAATTTGAAAGTGTCTTCCGAGAGAAAAACGCACGCCATTACTCGTCAAATGATCGAATGTTTCAGCACGAAGTCATACCTAGCACATTACTGTAGTTAATCCTATTCTAAACGGCAAATATTTGCAGCATACATGAAAGTTCTTGAAAATTATCGATAAATGTGAAGTTAAAGCTACAAAATACACTTTTACACAACTAAACCGGCTCAAATTCAGCAAAATTCAAGATGGACGCCCACCCATTTATCCTACTACTACTTTGCCGCAACTTTACAAATCGAATACTCGTCTCCCGCCATTCTAATTCGATGTTAAAATCGAGTATAAAAATACTATTAAAATTCTTAAGTTTCAATTAGCAAACATTACGTGTTCCAGTTCTTACATTTTAACTTAATTACTTATTAATAATAATAATTTTATAATTAATTGTTTCAAACTAATTACCTAATTTACTAGACTTGTGATCGATGACCATTAGGTTATATAACCTGTTTATTACTAAACTGTAATAAGAGTTTAATTTATAATATAACTAATTCTTTATTTGTAAATTATTGTAATTAAACAAGTCACGAGTTCAATGGACTAACTAGAATTCATTTACATTTTTTGTTTTATAATCTTTATAAAAAAAACCATTAAAAATCATACAATTATAATGACAATAAATATTATGATTGTAGAAAATAATAATGTACCACAAAGACGGTACATAAATAAAATTATTATTTTTTTAAATTCAACGATGCTCAACGTGTCATTATATAAAATTGATAATAAATCGATTAAAAATCGAATATGATTAAATGTAATTTACGTTTCATTACACGCAATGTCAAAAAGTAGATAGCAATATAGATATATAAGATAGATAACAAAAGTCGGTTAACAAAAAAAAAATCAATTTAAAAAATATTAAAGAAATTTATTAAAAATGAGTAAATGTTAAAACATTACAACTATAAAGTTGTACATAAGTACGTTATGCTTCCGTGATAACTGGGAGCTATCTGTATCAAGTGGTATCAAGCACTGCAGTAGGTATCCCAAATTAAAAAATATTTCTTATAAACAGTTTGTAATAAGCAAAAATCGCATATTAGCTACTTACTGACTAAAATTTCATGTTCCGAACTTTCGTTGATGTTGCCTTAATAAAGCGATGTAGAAATTAAAATTACTATTGTTAATTAGCTTTTTCCCATAATTACTTGTCTATGATTTTATTAAATAAAGAAGATATAAAAAAATTTTGAAAAACATAATATTAAGATGTGTGAACGTACAATATAGTACGCTTTGATAGCAATATACCTACTTTATGGTGAATGAAGGAATATAGTATGTACTCTATTCTATAATGCATTTTATTCTTAATACGGTACATTAAATCTATGGTTTTATTAGTATTAACGCGATCTAATTCTTTTTGACAAGCAAATTGCCAACTTCACTACATGACTATGAAAAAACTCCATACCGTTCTTTTTTAATATTTGAGGCATAGGCAACATTGTTAAAATAGGTATTTATTAAGCAAATTCGGATAATTTTTTTTAAGAAATTTTGTAAAAATTAAATCCTTGGAGACATTTCTGGAGAAAAGTGAAATCTTTGCGAAATTTGGGTAATTTATTTTGGAAATTAATAGATAATAGTTTTAAACTTGTAAACTGTAAACAAATATATAAGGTACATAATTACAATAAAATATATGAATGAAGATTAGATTATATAGATATAATGTCTCCATAAGAATGCTTATAAAAAGCGCGTGAAATTATTTATACAATTGTGTATGTCACAGTGTTACCAGATTAGAAATTATTACTTTAGATTAGGGTAAATAGGTGAAGGTCATAACTTAAAACATTATTAGACTTATATAATACTTTTTCTTTCTTCTTCTATATTGCTGTAAAAATTAGTAAAATTTTGAAGTGAACATTGCAAATCTGTATTTGTGGATCCAAGTATACAATAATTATAGTCGGATATTGTCACTAAAAGTGACGGTTATTTTAATTTTCTTTTTTACTTGATTTTTTTTTAAATCAGATATCTTAGAATCCATTTCCACACAGAGATATCGATTTTGAATGAAAGCAGCTATTTTTATTAATTCTTACACCGGATCCATTCGTGTATTTAAAATATACACGAATCCTTAGACTTTGATTTTGAATGTAATCGGTCAAATAAAGTCTGCGTAATACTCTCTATGTACGTACCAACATAAATATTATATTTATATTATGTAAAAAATTTGCATAAAACACAAATAATAATTAAAATAATTCAATTCTTATTAAAAAAAATCACCTCATTTCGGGAATTATAATTCAATTATGGGGAATTTTTTCGGATACTTGCAACACTAAAAATAGCGCGAATTCTTTTAAAACAAATTTAAATATTTATAATAGTATTTATTCTTAAAATTTACGATATTTACTATATTAGTTCTATTTTTTTGTCTTATAATTATTGTTTATATTTAGTGCACAAAAACTAATTTTATTTATTAAATATAGATATATTGTGTGGTAAGTATATAGAACACTAATAAAAAACAGCTAATTTATCAATTAGCTGACAAAAAGTGGACCCGTTTTTGTGACTCGAGGCTCTATCTATATAATCTAAGGACTGAAGGTATATAACAGAGGATGGGATAAGAGAAGAAGAGGGAAAAATAAAAACAAAATACAGAATTACTTTTTATCGTCGTTAATTTTGTATATATGGCAAAAAGACTGATAAACGACTTAACTTTGTAATAGGGTAAAAATCCTGGAAATCCTATCAATTTGATAAAAAAAAATTCACAAATATTTGGGTAAGAATCTAAATTCGCACCTGGCGACCCTAATAATGTATACCACTAACGTTTTATCAAAATATAAAAATAAAATTGTCCATCAAAATAAGATATACTAAAACTTACACCACGTAAGGACACAGTGTAAGGAGTTTTTATAGAATAGAATAGAATAGAATGGAAATCATTTATTCAAATAAACTTACATTGAAGCACTTTTGAAAAGTCATTACATTTTTTTTTAATTTACCGCTCGTTCGGAAAGCTGTCTCATCACAAGAAGAACGAGCAAGAAACTTGCGTGATGCTCTTTTAAATAATTTTATTATTATTTTACATTTTTAAGTTTAATTGTGTGAATACAAACCACCAATTAGCACTAATTCAATTAAATACTCAAAAAAAAAAAAAAAATTGAATACATAACCAACTGGTTAAACAATTAATAAGAGGAAATCAGTCATAGTGATTAGAGCAGACCAGTCCCTACAAGCAGCACCCGTTCACGAGTATGACGGATGAGCCAGCCATCACTGCGCTCGACCATATTTTAGGGAGCCCAATGACCCGGCCCACCACGCCGCCACAAGTCTGGACATTTTAGTGAGCATGACTACTCAAAACACTAGACCACGTCAAAGCTACTCACAATTGCCATCTGATAGTTATAGTATTCACATTTTACATAAGAATGCATGCGGCAATTAATACAAAAAACCGCTACGCTTTCATATTTCTAAAATTAATCAATTAAATCAAGAAAGCAATGAGAAAATAAAATTATAACGTTGTATGCTAATAAACTAATTATTTACTTGATATGTTGTCATCTATGAATTCGTCTATCCTGTAATAGGCTTTCTTACATAAAAATTGTTTAATATAAGATTTGAATTGCCTCTCTGTCAGATTTAATGCAGATTCCGGCAGTTTATTATAAAATCTTATGCAATTACCATAGAATGAATTACTGATTTTGTGCAGACGGCATTTAGGTAAAATAAGCTTATTTATATTGCGTAAGTTTCTACTTGTACAGTCTTTGAGTTTTTTAAAACTCGCTAAGTTCTTCCGTGTATACATAATATTTTCATAAATGTATTGTGAAGTAACTGTGAGGATATTTGAGTCTTTAAAGCACTGACGTAATGACTCTCTCGAACCCATACCATAAATAGAACGTATGGCTCTCTTTTGTAAAACAAATATAGTATTTATATCGGCTGCTTTACCCCACAGCAGTATGCCATAAGACATTATGCTATGGAAATAACTAAAATATACAAGTTTAGCCGTCGCCACGTCTGTTAATTGCCTAATTCTTCTAATTGCATATGCAGCAGAACTGAGTCTACTGGCCAATTTTGAAATATGGGGCCCCCATTGTAATTTCGAGTCCACTGTTATACCTAAAAAAACTGTATCATTAACAAAATTTACTATTTCGTCATTAAGCAATAACTGTGTATTTATTAGTCTTACATTAGGAAGTGTAAATTTTATACACTTTGTTTTGCTGGAATTTAATAATAGGTTATTACATGTAAACCAATTTAATATTGCAGACATAGCACAATTTACATCGTCTAATTGATTACTTTGACGTCCAATTTTAAACACTAACGAAGTATCATCCGCAAACAGCACTATATCTGCAATTTTCTCTACCATAAAGGGAAGGTCATTTATGTAGATTAAAAAGAGAAAGGGGCCTAAGATTGACCCTTGTGGAACGCCCATCTTAATATTAGCTCCCTTAGATTTTACACCGTCAATATCTACAGTTTGAACCCCATCCTCTAAATAAGTTCTCATTAATTTTAGATCATTATCTCTTATACCATAATGTTCGAGCTTGTACAAAAGCGTTTTATGATCCACACAATCAAATGCCTTTGATAGGTCACAAAAAACTCCGAGTGCATCCTGTGACCTCTCCCAAGATTCGAAAATATGTGTCATTAGCGCAACACCTGCGTCAGTGGTAGACTTGCCGGCGGTGAAACCATATTGCTGACTGTGAAGCAGTCCGTTAACCCTGATACTGTAATTTATCACTTATATAAATTTATAATCATACCACATTCGTCGCTAGGGTTGTCACATTTATTTGTATCCGACTTCAAAACGAGGAAAATTTAATATGAAGTTATTTGTGATATTATATTGTACAGGAAAGTCTCAAGTTATAACATACAGTGTTCTTAAGAATGAGTACAGTGGTGGACTTATTCCATATAAAGTATTTCTTCCAGTCAACCTTTGAGTTATTATTATATCAGTTGTTAATTATCCGCTACCAATATTTGCCACACTTAGCAGGCAGGTTGGCAACCGCAACTAGGTTTTAGTGATGTTTTAGGATCGTCATGATTGAGAACTACACTCGAAGTTGTCGACGAATATTCATACCTGAGACCACTTGTCCGAGTTAAGTCCAACTTCGACCGAGAAGTCAATCAACGAATCCATCTCAGATGGGCAATGCTCGGGGTAACTATGCCATATCCCCACATCCAGAATACCTAAGTTTAAAGACAAAGGTCTTTAACCCGTGTATGTTGCTAGTGATGACTGCATGGAACCGAAACATGTTCCTACACGATTTCTCGTGTACAAAAGCTTCAAATTACTTAGTGAACTATGGATAGAGCTGTGCTCAGTTTCTTTACGTGATAGAATCAGAAATGAGTACATGAATAGGCAATGGTGACCCCGTATGGACAAACGCAGTATGAGGGTGACCTCCCTAGTAGACTAATAAAAAAGTTTAAACCCAACTAGATCAAATTGCCAATAAACATTGTCAACTTTGGCCAAACTAGATCGTACTTCAATCAGTACAACAAAATTTTGCAAAAATTGGACTAACTTGGCCAATCTATATCTATCTCGATTAAAGAGAAAATATCGTAGTCTAATTTGATTAAACTGTCCAAATTTAATCAGGCTCCACTGAACTTGATTGGACTTTAATAAACTGACCAAATTAGGCCTAAGCGGATCTAACCTGGCCAAAGGAACATACATGATTAAACTAACTAAAATATGGCCCAAGTTGACCAAACTTTGTCAACTTTGTCTAAACTTCATTAAATTGTACCAATTTAGTTAAGATTAATCCAATTAAAATAGACCTAAATTACTTAAACTCAGTCAAATTTAGTTAAATTCGGTCAAGTTCAGTCAAGTTTGGACAAATTTGTCCAGGTTTAGGTAAATTTAGCCAGTTTAAACAATTTTAGTCAAGTTTAATCAAATTTATTCAAGTTTGGTCAGATTGAGCTCAATTTGGTGAATTTTATCAAGTTTGGCTAAATTTGATCACTTTAATCAAGATTGGAATAGTTTGGCCAAGTTTAATCCAATCTTGGCTAGATTGGATAAGTGTGGTCAAATTTAGTAAGTTTGGTCGCGTCGAGGCAACTTTATTTTATATTAATCAAGTTTAGTCTAATTTGGTAAAGTTTGGTCAAGTTAATTCTCCTTCAACAGGAGGAGATAAAATCAAATTTGGCCAGTTTGTTTAATTTCCTTGAAAAATTGAATTTTAAATTTTAATTGAATTTAAAACTTGCATAAAATTGCTCAAAATTAAACATGTCAAAGTTGGATTATGTACAATTAACTTTAAAATTGTAGACAATGAGAACACATCATAATGTCAATTGTCTATATCAGTTGTTTATGTGATTCCTTCTTTCATCTTCTTGTGATGGCCCATGTAACAATAGTTGCTTATCTTGAGATCTCTAAATAGGTGTTTTTATTATTGATGATAATGTAATTATAACCCCGTCTGCCCCACCTGTTAAATTTCATTACTAATAGTCTTTTCCCTCAATAGATGTGTTACCTATGTATGTTAATAATCTACACTAATATTATAAAGAGGAAAGATTTGTATTTTTGTGTGTATGTATGTTTGTAATGAATAAACTTGAAAAATACTTTGCCGATTTCAAAAATTCTTTCGCTATTAGAAAGCTACATTCACCCTGAGTAACATAGGCTATATTTATTGCTAGAAATGATTAGGGATCCTTACAAAACCTTAGTAACGTAACTAAAGGTGTAAAAAATGCTATAAAATATCTTTCGTCGCATGCGCTGCGGAAATTATTGGTGAAAGAACAAAAGTATGTTCTACAATATTGAAGAAAATGTCAATAAAACTTCGCGATACTATATGTCCAACTATTATCGTTATGTCACAATAACCACTTCTTACTTTTTAAAAGTTTTATACTTTTGTTGAAATCTTTATCCAAATAAATCATATTATTTTCAAAACTATTTCAATATCTGTAGATTATTTTTTGAATTGTTGAAATCGGCTATTCCATTCAATAGATATTACGAATTTAATAAGTTATAGAAATAGAAAAAATAACGCTGTCGCGTTGTACATGTTATTCATACCTATTTATTAATCCTTATCCAAATAAATTATTTTGTATTTAAAATTCTTTCAATACCTGCAGAGTACTTTTTGAATTTTTCAAATCGTAAGTATATTCCATTCGAAAGATATTATGTTAAACAGTCAAATATAGAATTAGCGCCGCCCGCGCCATGTCGGTCACATGGCTAGCTAGTCAGGCATTGTAGCGGTGCAGGAGAGGGGCAGGTGGAAGCGGGTACATCTATGAAATAGTTAGCTAGGTAGGATCAGATAAAACTGTAAAATGTTGTAAAATTGTTCATCCGTGAGAAGCCGGGACGCGCCGCAAGTATATTTATAAAAAGCAGATTATTTAAGCCAAAATGCAAAAAGTATTGACATCCGTCATTTTTTGTGAAAATATAAAATTCACTTCTCTCTCTCTCTCTCTTCGTCCTCTTCATTACTGAAGGTCGTGTCCTTGAAAGGTGTCCGTTGTCTCTCTTATGATGTTATTCCATTATGCACGGTCTTCAGCTTCACGCAATAAAAAAATTCATGTCAAAAATGTCCAAAACAAAAAAAAAGTAGTTAATAAAATTTTACGAACGATTTTCCAATTCAAAGGTTCCATGAGTTATCCCTTTACAAATACCGAATGAATAAATGGCCCCGCCTCCTCCACACCACTCAAAAATTACCGTCTTGATCTCTTTATGGAACCACAGGTGAAACTTTTGTATGAATAGTTCTTTATACGGTGGTATAAGTATACAAATATTGGATACCAATGCATTTTCCACTTGCATGCATGCATTTTTTGCATATTAATAGACGGAGTTACCGTTACATTTATCCAATAAAAAAACAAATAAGTTTTATTTTAATTCCTGCTTTCATTTCACTTAACCCGTGCTGGAGTATACCGGTAGACCAGGCGGGGTAATCATTATATTATCGTTCATTAAAAAATTACCCGTAAGGGTTGATAATTCTAGGTGAATTCATCATAATAGGCAAGGTCGATTTTTATAAGCCTATTTAAGGAGATTTAAATTTAAAGGGGAAAGGATTGTTAGTAATGGAGTCTAATAGCACCACTGCTAACAACGCGGTTCCCCCCGAAACCATCATGGTTAATCCTTGTGGAATTCGTCACGATGAGCTAACTTACTTTCATCTTCACATATCATCTGTAACTGATGCCCCGCTAGCGTAGGCGGGGTTAACACTTCATTTTCACCCATTGAAAACTATCAAAATCAGTCCAACGGACCAGATACAGTGTGGTTTTGACTATTCCATTGTATGAAGTTTGGTAGCTAGTAAATTAGATATAACGAAAAAAAATCATATAGTTAGTGTTTGCCATTATAAAATGTTAGTACTTTGTTTATGTCAATTAAATTGCAATATATTAGGCACTAGATATTAGTCTTGTTATTAACTTGATGCTTAAAAAGTTATTAAAAATTAAATGCACTTACTCCACAAGTAAACAGCAATATTCATTTTCAAAATTTAGCGATATTAAAAACCACTCCTAAATTAGTATGTGTTTTGCTTCTTATCAGGACAGAATATCATTTTCCGGAAACAACAGGTGAGCATTTCACTTGGTGTAGAAATTAAAATAAAATTTCAAATTAATCTCACATATATTATATATAATAATATTAACACAGTTACTACGACCTGTATAGTTATATGTACAAGTGGGTATGATTGTAAGCATTTTAGGTATATCGTAAAACTGATGTAAAAAAGTGTAATATGAAAATTGGTTCATAAAAAACATAATAATATTATGTAACGTATATTTGAAACTGTACACTTCAATGATATTGTGTTTATAGAATAAATATTTATTTTAAATATTTTTTTACTCAAATAAACGTCTTTTATTTTCTATACAAAGTTAGATAATATGGGTAATATGTAAACCATTTCAATAAAAAAATAATCATTATGAAAATTAATTCAGAAATCTCGGAGAAAGTGATGAAAAATACAAATACATTCTCTTCTTGGAAATTGGTTAATAATAAATAATTATAGTGGTATAGCTAAGCAGATTGGCGGACAACTAAAAGCGAGGCGTTGTTAGAGCAGAGAGTGGCGGGGCGAGTAGTGGAGTCGACGGTAGCGGTGAGAGTGAAGCCCGAGCCGACGAGGTAGGATCCGGGCGCTGCACAGAGCGCGCTCATACGCAGCCGACGCGACGAGAACCTGTCGATGCTCACGCGAACACCCAGATCTTTACTCTCCTCACCCTCGGCGTCGGGGCCGTTATGAAGTGCGCCCGCCCACCCGAGTTCTCCAAAGGAGTCCCTGTTTTACAAAATTATTCTTTACAACAAGGACATATGACTGCGTTTCCATCAATATCTCGTATTATTATGATACATCTTATTAGTATAATAAAATTGTAATTAGACGATGTTGGTTTATACATATAAATGTACATTTAAGAATAATGAGGGAATAAATGAAAGTATAAAAAATTAAAATTTGGTATGCTTTAACTTTATAACTAAAGGCGTATATAAGGTTATTTTCTAGGAGGAAGGAGAATTGATTGACCCCTTATAAAAAGCAATATGTACTCTCAAACGCGTTTTTTCAAAATTGCGTTCAAATCGTGGTCACCAGAAAACCCTGGAGTAACCACGGCCTATCCGCCCTTCTTAAAAACGCCTGCATATACCCCAAATAATCTCTTTTGTTGGTTTTCCTATTTTTGAAATCTATACCAAAAAACTAGTCTATACTAATTTTATATACTTGTGTAGATCCGGGCTAGATCGCTAGTCCAGAAATAAGTAAATTACGATATCCTGTGTTATGAAGAAGCATTTGATAGTACATTTCAGCCACAATTCAGATAAGTTCGTTTCCTAAATTGGTCCGACTGGGAATCGAACCCGGGACTTTATTTAGGGAAAGCATCGTGGTCAGTGCAATAAGGAGGCCGTCAATAATTTATTTATTTATAAAACATTACTTCTGCTTGTGTAGATGTTACGACATCAAAATACACAATCATGTATTAGATATCGCATTACATGATATAAATAAAGTTTTATATTATATTTTAATGAAAACAGGGAGTTAACTACAAAAAATCAAATTATATGAAGTTGAAAATAATTATTTATCATTTAATCGCATAAAATTTTGGTAGGTTTCTTCCCTGACACATTAACTTTCAATGCGCTTGGTGATATATTGGCTGACTATTATTATATAATTTAGATTTTATATATAGAGCATCGAGCCTCAAAAACGGGTCAACTTTTTGCCAGCTAATTGTCAAATTAGCGGACTCATTTTTTTATCAATATTCTATATACTTACGCATAAAATGCATTTCTATAGAGATACTCTATATAATCTAAGTGATATACCTATATAACTCGCTTTTTGCCAATTCGTACGCATGTATTTCAGATGCAGGAAAACTAATGAAATTGACCAATTCTAGATGAAGTATCACGATAAAACATATAATAAATTTTAAGATGGACATCGTACGTACACGTACAGCCATCGTCTATACAATTTCATTATATTAGTAAGATGTCAATAATTTACAAATACTACTGACCAGCCCAACTGAGATTTCATTATGTGATTGTGAACACCTTTATTAACAAAATGTATAATAATATATCTTATATATTACAAACGAAGAGATGGTAAGGTATTGTCAATAATGGGGTTTTAAAACCCCATTATTAGCAATGTACACTTGCAGGTCAACCTCCCCGTAGTTCCGGCTGAAAACCGTAGAGTAACCATGAATTCTCTCAATGAACTAACTGACCTGCTTCATCCTCTCCTATCATCTCTGATTAGAGCCCCGCCAATGTATACTGATAGTACAGGCGGAGTTAGCACTCAATTTTTACCCATAAATAAAGTTTTAGCATGTTATGTACCTGCTTTGCTGTTGTGTCATATCTATAAATACGTTTACTGGAACTCCATAGCAATTGATGATATTTATAGTTATTGGAATTAGACATAGTTTCTTCTGATGAAAGTTGTGATCAATTAAATTTGTATGTTCCAGTTTGAATAATACTATATTATCTGTTCTAGTTTTCTTTTTAACATCTAGAAAATCAATTTTGCTGTTGTTCTCCTCGAGTTGCAGAGAAGGTATTTCTGGTTTTAGTATTTCTGTTTCCCATGACTGGGCCTTTGTAAAACATTCCAGCCACACGCAGTGCTGGCCGATAGCTGATCGTTGTTTGGCTTTGTCTACAGCTACCCATCTTATAACAAGCATGGATTGAATTAGACCAGATCTTTGATTGCCTGTATCTTCAAAATTCATTTCGAGAAGAGATGTTCTTGAGTCCGTAACAAATTTTGAATATGGAATGCTGTTAACATCTGCTACACTCTCTCTGTGATCTTTAGCAATCTTCAGACATGAATAATCTACCTTTCCCTCAGGCATTTCTCCTAAATTCCTTTGAGCTTTCAATATAGTATGAAGTTTCTCGTACGCAGTCAAAGGATCATCGCTGTCCTTTGCTGCGGTGATATCAGTCAATTTCCATTGTCTACTCAATAACGATGCTTCCAATATTTTTACAGCGATATTTTCATCTTTCTCACTAGTAACATTTTTAAACTCCACATTTAAATTCATGTTCTCAAATACTTCATTTTTCACCGTCCTTATACTGCGTAGAGGTATTACAGACACTTCAACCGCTTCCTGTAAAGAATTGTAAATGTTATTATAAATAAACAAAAATATTAAGTGTTTTAAGCAAGTAGTGTTTACAACCATGCCTACAGTTGTAATCACTTAGTGCTTAAGTAAATTGCAGACTTAAGTAAGATAGATTTAGGTCAGACATTTATTTACTAGTCTTTACTTGCTACAATGTGTGTGACTTAATTACATTTAACTATAATACATTCCAGAACAAATTAAATGAAGTCATAATCGAATATTGTTTTAATTGAAAACCATTCAAAGTTGATTAGATACGTAAGACTGCCTTTTAAGTCGTGTCGTTTGCCAACCTCTCGCGATTATTAAAAAAAACATATGGCATTATCATCTTTTTTAATTTAGAATTCGAAAACAAAACAATGTTCTCAGATTGGTCGAATAGTTTTATTGTATCGTCTATTCAACAGTGACAAGTCGGTTGTAAAAATGGAAATATCTAAGGAAAATTTGCGAAAGTAAATTTTCTTTAAAAGGGATTATCGCGACTTCAGTACTTTGAGGGCATCATTCCTGTGTTTAGTGATGCAGCACCATGTCTTAGGAATGTAAAACGGTGATATTAAGAATTTCAACGTGGGCACTCTAGCCTCAGTGACAAGCCACGTGAAGGTCGTCCAAAAACCGTTATGACGCAAGAGAATATCAAAGCCGTGTGGCAGCTAATCTTCAAAAATCGTCATGTGACATACCGTGAAATAGAGGCATCCGTGGGCATTTCAGGGACCACTGTCCAAAAACTCCCGCACGAAGAACTTGGCGTAAGAAAGTTGATCTCTCGTTGAATACCACATTTGCTTAGCGACGACCAAAAACACCCCGTGTTAATTGGTGTCGCAAAACTCTGCAGCGATTCAACCGAGGAGAGTCAAAGTATGTTTATGATATGATTATTAAGACGAGTCTAGGATATATGCTTAAGATCCAGATTCAGATCCAGACCCAGACAGTTGACTGCTGCTTAAGCAGTCAACTGTCTGGATCTTTCAGGATGGGCCAAAATCGACCAAAATAATACTCACGGAGCACTTGGAAAAAAAATGATTGCCACAAGCAAAGGGTGGTCACGTCGCCCCTATTGTAGTAGAAGATCGTAAGACGGTTACTTCTAACTGGTATTTTTGCTAAAAGTTGTTTGCTAAAAGTCATCACCGAATTTCGAAAAAAAAAATCAATACGTCGTATGACACTACACCATGACAATGCAAGTTCGCACACCGCCCACCTAACAAAGATGTTTTTGAGCACCCAAAATGTCGAAATTTTAGATATTCCGCCTTATAGCTCTGACTTAAGCACAAACGATTTTTTTACGTCCCTCAAAATTAAGTAAAGTATTTGTGGTCAACGTTTCAGCTCATCCGAAAAAGCTATTGATGCATACAATACGACCATTTTGACGACCCCCACTTCGGAGTGGAATAAATATTTAAAAAATTGGTTTGAACGCACGCAAAAGTGTATTAAATATCGCGGAGAATTCTTTGAAAAACAATAAATGGTAATAATCTGTTAGATTGTATATATTTATTTCAAATGACACAACTTAAAAGGCAGCCCTCGTAGCTATGAAAAGTTGACGAAATAAAAGTGATTTCAGAGAAAAAAAAACAGTATTTCTCAAAAAAAAAAGCTTATTTAGCAGCTAATTTTAAATAATAATTTTTAGTCAATCGGTCAGTCAGCTTACCCTACTGGTACTAGTAGGAATGTTAAGTTATAAATGTGAAAGTATGCATGTTTGTTATTTGTCACATTTATTTGTTGTTGCAATTTGCTGTGCAACAGTTTAAAATAATGTCTATATAAACTGATGTTAAACAAAATTAATAACATGAAATGTAGAGTATATGGCATACAGTGGCACTGACCGTGACCCGAAAGCGGAAAACGTGTCGCAGCAGACGATAGGGGCGCGTGCGATCTCCCGTCTCGTAATACGCCAGCAGCAGCAGTTCGGGCGCTGTGGACCGTGGCCGTAACAAAAGACGAGCGCGCGCCGCCGCGCCGCTGCGAACTGTGCTACCGCGTCCGCTACTACTACCGCTACCGCTATCGCTACTACCGCCACGAAGAGGCCGCGCGTGCTGCGCCGCTCGCGCCCGCCATGCCTGTACTCTACCCATCCGCTCCTCTGTTGCAACAAATAGAATAGTAATGGATCTCAACCGCTAGTATATTTGCGATTTCTTATTGATAATCTATACCAATAGTATGAAACCTGAAGAGTTTGTTTGAACATGGTCTCAAACTACCAATTAGATTTGAAAAAATATTTTTGCATTTGAAACCTAATTTGAGGAAATTATAGGCTATTGAACATCACAATATAACCTAGGGCAAAGCCGCGGGATACAACTAGTCGCATATAAATCCAAAATTTTATTAAACCCATTATTATGATATTATTTAAAATCCTGGTACTTTGTTTAACAAATAAATAATCAGTATAATAACAACGCATTTACCGCCCACTTGTGGGCACTTGTCTCTCCCTATAAGAGGAAGATGGTAGTTTACTAATATGGCGATAATCAAGCGGTTTCGTATTATTTCGGTTTTATGTATTATTGAGATTTTATTTTACAATTTCCTTCTCTTTAAAATAATGGCATTGTTATTATATAAACAAGAAATCTAAAAAGATATCATGAGGGCAACTGAAGATTTCGTCTAGTTATAATTCATTGATATTTTGAAAGAAGATTAAAAGTGGTGCACACCAAAAACTTTATTAAGAAATCAAAGATATAAATTAATATGTGTAATTTACCTGCATAAACTGGTTGTTCTTGGTATTTTTCTAAATAGAGCGCTTTAAAGTCGTCCTCTTGAATGTCATCGTTTATGAGAGTAATGCATTCAGGGTGAGAAACAGCTATGTGAATGTTTTTCATATCCACCGGACCGACATTTCTTAATTCCATATCAATAGCTCGAATTTCTCCACTTATTGCATCAGAAGGGGTCTCTGAGAATGTCATCTGTAATTAAAAAATATTCTTAATCACTCGTGAGGTAAGGAATATTTTTATGAAAAAAATACACACTAGCAGCACCAGAGAAATTGTCGACATATTGCTGACCTTTTAAGAAGGTATAAACTCTTTTTTACAGGTACTTTTATACATAACTTGTTTGAAAAAGTTATTTGAAATTATTATCATAAACGATACGTAACATGTATTAAAATCAGTAACATGTGTTTAATAATTACAAGCTATAATTTCCATTACGTTAGCATGATTGGAACATAAATTGACGAAGATAAAAAAAATCATATTTTATGATGATAGGTTGTGCTGTAAGACGCCAAGAGCTCTGTTAACTTACATCGACAAGTATAATTTAGATATTACCTGTAAACAAGGGGTCTCTGGAATAACATTTATATGGAGCCGTTTGTCGAACGAGTTTGTATCAGATAGTAGATTAACTTTTCCTGATATCATTACACTATTCCCATTTCCATTGCCTCCCTCTCCCGCATTTATTAACCTGTGATATTAATAAATGTGGCATGTCGTTAGCAAATAAAATGATAGTAAATTTTGAATGGTAAAATTCACAAGATTTTAGGGTAATCCCCGCAATCCTCTGAAGCAGTAATAAACAATAGAACTGTGGATGCCCTCATATGTGAGAAAATTTATTTTACTAGTTCCTTAACTTATTTATTCGGATCTTTACCGACCAGAATTAGTATAAGAGATATTCTACATACTAATCTTGTATATGGATATCTGTGTACACCTATTTTTAACTTATAAAGTGACAGCAGTATACATATAAATATCCTAATATAATAATAGTATATATAATATAATAGTATATATTATATGTAACAGTGAAAAATAAAAAGATTTTATCATTTTATTTAATTACAATTAGTATAAAAAATCCTAGATGAAATATCATTTACTAAACAACCACCTTAGAGGTTTGCAGTGATTTTCTTTAAAACAATATAGAAAAAACTTACTTGTATGCTAAACCGTGTATGCATAGTTGACCAACTTTCAAAGGAGTGACCGAAAATGTTAATACTTTTGTACATTCACCTTCAAGAAGAACTGACTTTATTTTCTGTCCATATATTATGTTACTCTCAAGTGCTTGACCAGCTGCCACAAATGGCTCGTTATTTAATACTTCTTCTTCGTGCCCCTCTGTGTCATTTGTAATTGGTACAAATTTCCATAATAATTCCGCATCTTTCAACAGTAGCGAAATTTTTAATGGGTTCCGTAAAGTTAATGATATCTGCAAAGGTTCTGTAACAAATTATAAATGTATTTAGCAAAACTATATAGAGTAAAACTATTCAAGGGTATTTCTAATTTATTTAGAATTGATATAATTTTAATAATTTTATCGAATATAAAATAAGGCTGGTAACTCATTGGCAATGTAACTGTCGTTACTCGTATTCCCAGTTTGCGATTATCACTTGCGATCTGGTGAGCAGCATTCTTATCTACTCCCTTTTGCATAATAAAAGAAACAATTCAAATACTAGAAATAATATTAAGTCAGATGTGGCTTTAAATGTCACTAGGATCCAATTATTAATAATTGTCTGGCATAATCTTGCATTTTTTCTTGATCAAAATATTTTTTTAACAGAATTTTATAAATTAATTAGTAACATTCGCGACCCCGTACAGGCAAACGCATTGTAAGATGACTCTCCACTAGATAGAGTGACGATCTCAAAAGCATTGTAGGGAGTCAGTGGATGCAGATGGCTCATGACCGTTCCTTATGGCAGTGTATGGGGGAAGCCTATATTCAGCAGTGGACAGATAATGACGATGATTCTATTCTAATTATCGTACCTCCTTGCGGCACGATAGGATTGGCGTCCGTGCTCTCTGTGTACAAGTCGACGGTGGGCTTGAATATCATGGGAACAGCTCCCTGCGCCACCTGGAGGAGCATCTCCTCGAGCTTGTACCAGTGCAGGTTGTGCGCGGAGTCGGCGCGGTGCAGCGCCAGCGAGGAGGCGGGCACGCGGCCCGGCGACGACAGCGGCGCCGGGCCCACGCACAGCAGCGCCGTGGCGCCGCGCTCCAGCAGCGGCAGCGGCAGCGGCGGCACCGCGTCGCGGAACTCCTCGCAACTCTCTATCCATTGCTAATAATTGGAATATTTAAAAAAATGAGTGGTGACAAGTTTCGCTTCCTGTAAGGCGCACTCGTGCATCACTGAGGTGTTTTTTTTAAATGAATGATAATGGTATGGTAATCCCGTCTGCGCTATCGGTATATACTGGCGGGGCACCAGTGATAGATGACTGATGAGGATGAAAGCAGGTCAGTTAGCCCATCCTGACGAATTCAACTAGAATTAGTCACAATAGTTTCCAGGGGAAAACACGCGGAGATCGACCTGACGGGGTATATTGCTGGTAATTGGGCTATTTGACCCTATTACTAACAATCCCTTCCCCCCATCACTGGGATGGTACGTTGAACAGATTTTCTTCCCCGAGAACAACTAAAATCTTCTAGATATAATATAGGTTATATTTGTTATTCAGTGTTTTGTCATTTTATTTCAAATTCAAAATTTAGGGGAAAAGATAAAACACTTAAAACAGGTTTATTTAATAGGTATTTGATGTTTTTATGAATAAACTAGTTGATACGATTAGATATCCATTCAAAAATTGTTTCTCTCCAGAGGGAGACTTTGTACAAAAGTCGATTGCGTGGGTACCTGTCCCATTCGTGTTTCTACCGTGAAGCAGTTGTGTTTGCATGGCTGTGTTTCGGTTTGAATGGTTGGATATGGCGTGAATTTACTGGGTACGGAGGAATAACACCTGAGTCCTCAGGAATGGCAACGCATAGGGGGTATCATGGGCGAAACAGTATACTCTGTTATGTCCATGCTACTGCTCATGTCTATAGGCGACGGTTACCACTTTCCCTCAGGTGGGCCGTCAGCTTGTTTGCCATTCTAAGTTGTATAAAAAAAAAACTAGTCGTTTTCATTGTAACGAAAAAATATTGCAGACAAATCAATCATAATTTATTAAAACAGACTAACTTTTTAGTCGAAAGTTGCGTATTTCAAATTGAATACAGATAATGCAATAATGAAATGACTAAATACAGTGCTAAGTACCTGGTGCGCCAACATGTACTCGCGCAGGAAGGCGTCCTGCTGGTGGGGCGGCTGCGGCGCATGCGCGGGGCCGGCGGGCGGCGCCAGCGGCCCGGCCAGCCACTGCACGGCGGCGCGAGGCCGCCGCAGCGCGCTCGCCAGCCGGCCCAGCGCGAACTGCACGTGGTCTGTCGCCAGCCGCCACCCGCTCCCTTCATACACCTGCATATCATACACAGCAATACGTACTCATTCATTATTACACCAATAATTCGGTCGGGAAATAAGGCAAAGAACGTTAAAAACACAACCAGAACACCTAGACTGAAAGCCCATTTAAAAAGTTCAATGTGTTCATACAAACTTTAAAATGCAATCTGTATAAAGATGAACTATCTAGTATCTATATTGTATAGGGGACAGGATAGGGATCGTTATTAACAGAGATTAGCAGCCCGGTTGTTAACAATATATTGTGTCAGGTCTACTTCCACACGGTTCTTCTGGATACTATTGTAGTTAACTCTTGATGAATTTATCACGATGGGTTAAATGCAAGCCAAGCCTCGTTTATAATAAAAATATATGTTAAGCAAGAGATATAGAAAAAAAAAAAAGATGCTGAAGTTAATTCTAAAACCAATCTATCTTAGAATAAAATTTCAATTTGAAATTAAGCAAACCTAAGGACTAGCGCCCATGGATAAATTTGTAACAGACCGAAGTAACAATTACTTAATTAGGTATTGTTAATGGATAAATAGTACATTATAACAGTGAGGGTCACACTACATTTCATTTATAGTAACTGTGCATACTGTTACCTGGTAAGCCTGTTTGTAACATCGATAGGCGTGTTTTTTTTGTCCAGCTTTTGAGAACCTGTGCCCAGACAGAACCATGTGGAAAGCATATTTTCTACACATGGCTTTAGAGCCGGGACCCGCCAAAAAACAAAGAGCTGCTTGTTCAAGTAACATAGCGCTCCGCAAGTCGCTGTCTTCTGACGTCATGCGAATTAACTGTTTAGCTGCTTCGCCATGAAGGCCTGCGTTACTTAAACATAACACAGACAACAATGTAGCTCTAACGGCATATTGGACCATTCTGTAAAAAAAATATAACCATATTAATTCTATGAATTATAATAGTGATGACTATATATTGTAAACTTGCATCGTAGTCATTTTATGAACGAGTTAGATTTTTATTATGACCAGAGGGCTTATTAGAAACTTTTAAAAGCCTGACAAACACAAGTTCGAGCCTTTAAACTTTAAACTGACCTATTTTTTTTATACTCTTAGTACCAATTTGCAAGGCAACTAAAATCTATAAAACAATCAGGTGATAAGCGCTCATAACTGGTCACCGGTATGTCTGTAATATTCATTACAGATTAATAAAATAATAGTCGTAATATTGGGAGCTTACAAATACAAAATTACGATAAATGTCTCGTTCATAAAATATTTAAAATACAAGACTCAAGCAATTTCTATCATTTATCATTCGACAAATTAATGATTGTAACTAAAATATTTCGTATTTATTCAAATTAAAAACAAACCTGCATGTATTTAAATAGGTTACAATGCTTTCTTCCATATAACCTTGAGTTTTGCGATTCGAATCTCCCGCCATGAAAGCACTAATTGCTGCCATTTCAAGTGCACCCGCATAACACAGCCACGCACTGTCAGCATAGAATTCCCGCTTTGCGGTATGGTAAGTATCAAACGCACGCTGCCACTGACCACACATAAACCACAAATCACCCAAACGGCGTAATTGAAGCTCTGGACAGTCATTTGAATATCTAGAAAATTATATTAAAATTATTTATTACAAATTAGAGAACACAAGTTGTTATTAACACATTTGTCATTAATTACAAAGAATTTAATGAGACTAAACATACATTACAGTATTATTGACTGTGGTATTTCCTCCTTTTCCTGTTCCAAACCATCTTTTTGTTGCAGAGAGCAATGATCGACTGACCCCCTTTCTATTTGCAACCTTAAATATTACAAGTAAACAAATTTATTTTTTTAGTAAATGCTAAGTATAAAAACTATGGCATAGACTTAAATAGAATAAAATTAGATTTTTTTTTCTAATTTCTTTATGCCAAAAGTTGTTTTATTGATAGTTAATAGTTTATAAAAAACGACCAAAAATTTTACGTCTATGATGTCATGATGAAAAAATAGATCCGGTTCAATGTCTTTATACATTGTTTTGCCTTCTACCGGATTTTTTTTATTAGAATAAAAACTTTCGTATCTCTCAAGTTGGAACAATGGAACAAACAATACACATTTAAATTTCATTAAAATCAGTTGAGTGGTTTCGGAGATTAGCGTGTACAAACATCAGGTTACAGGATGTTTATATCTATCCTTGCCATGATTATTTATTTGAGTGCACTAATTTTGAAGCAAATAATCGTGATAAGAGCGCGTCAGTTATGCATATCTCTGTATAGCATCATAACTACTGGTTTTGGAATACTAATTATTAATGTAATTATAATTGACTTTTTTATAAACCAAACAAAAAGTTTTACCGCTTCAGATAATTGAGATATTTGTTTCTCCAAATAAGGCAATAATGATTTAGAAGCATATTCTTGCAGGAATTTTTTAATCGCTTCAATATCGTTCGCGTTTAAAGCTGCTCCGTGAACTTCTGTTGTGTAGTCGGCGACTTTACCAGTTACACTGACACTTTCTGAGCTACCAGAAAATGAATGCGTCTGAAAATAAGATTTTTATTTTTACACATATATAGTTCTATATCGACGGCAATAATAGACTTAAAATAGAAGTAGAATTTCTACTAATATTGTATGAATAAAATGTGTACATTTCTAAAGATGACATAGGAGATGGATTCTAGAATGATGAGTCCTGACCGTTTTCGGTCACGGCGACCGCTTTGCCTCCTCTAATTTTATTTGTCTGTATTGAGGGTAAAATAGGACTCTATTTTCCGCGCTTAGCCTCTCATTTGGGCCGTTGTGCGTTTGCATTGAGGGTTATAAGATTATTTGTTGTTGGTGTTGGTGTGCTCGGGTTTGGCTTACATAGCCTTATCCTATGTATCATAGACAAATCAAACAGATAAATCAGCGGGATACAACTAAATATTAATAACACGATTAATAACTGTATATTTTTGTTACAAAAATTATTGTCATTACAGAAACCAATAACAATAAGTATAATTTGTAATAAGATAAATAAAACCATCAATAATAATAATCACATATCAAGTTAAAAATTCCTGACTAACTTTATATCTTTTGTTCATTCATCAACAAAATATGCTATTATATTTTTGGGCAGTAGGGCCAGCAGGATGAATTAATGATGAAGGTAATTCATTTATCTTCGTCATTACAATCTTTACACACACCCAAAAATCTAAAAGCAAAAAACAATTTAAAAATTAAAATTAGTAACATACTTGCAGACTGTTGGCGTTGTCATATACATCATTTTCAGTGGTTGTCAAAGGATGTAGTAATTCTTGATTTGTTGAAGATGTTATACTACTGGTATCATCAGCTGTCAAATTCAGGACATATTTATAAAAGTTTTCAATTATCATTTAAATATAAGTGAACAAAACTGACATACCTGTATTTGCTATATTAGATGATGTTATAACGGGTTGTGGTTCAAGAGGAGTAGTTGGCAAATTTGATAAAGAGACTGAATTATCTGCCTGCAACATTAAAAATATTAAATTATACTGGGTTAGATTGACTGCAAATAAAGCAGAGATATATCAAGAAAATGACTTATTAAATAGAAAATGTTGGATAAAAATTATCTATTTATTAATAGCCGTTAATGTACGCAGCTTGACTGATTTATTAAGCAGTTAAAAATATCTTAGCATAATATAATTAATATAATAAATAAAATATAATTAATGTCTAATTGTCAAGTATTCAAAACTATTTAATTTCTAAAATTATAAACTATTAGGAAGTTAATAGGAAAATTAATGAATTCTAGATGACACATGAAGATAAAACATACACCAGATTTTAAGTTAGACCTTCAGGAATAATATTATGAAAATCACATCCAATTTGGTGCAGTAGTTTTTGCGTGATGCCGAATTAAACATAAAAATTGTCAAAATCTCTAAAACTTATTGTATTGGCATCTACTGGTCTTATTAAGACTTCATATTATACATATATTTTTTAATATCTCCCATATATAGACATTGTCTAGTTACAGTTTTAATATAATAGTAAGATTTATTATAAAAAAAAAAATAGTGACTTACATCAAGAGTACGTTTTACGCAATTAGTCCAGTAATCTGTCGATAAGTGAGAGTCTGTAGTACTTTTTGAATTAATTGATAACAAAAAACAGTTATTGGCTCCAAATGTTTGTTTTAGCGTATCAAATGCAGTATCTGCCCTGTAAATAATTTAAGAGTAGCATTGTATTAACATATATTAATGTATATTAAATTACTCTAGTTTAATACAGCCATACTTCTCTTTAGTTACGCATGATACATCATGCAGTAGGAGGTAAGTTTTCAGAACTCCACTGTTGAACCACTTTGGCAATTTAGGCGGTGTAACATTTTGCAACTGGGCATACTGTTGATTTAGGGAATTAAAACAATCAATGATGTTTTCTTCTTGTGTAGTTCCCACTATAATGCATGCCAAATAATGTTTCGTGAATTCATGGTCTGATGGAAACTGAACTTCAAGATAAGTCTCCCTCCAAGCATCAAACCATGGCGTTAATTGAGGGACATCAAATTTACGGCCTTCTGTAATATAAAAACTAAATTATTATTTACAATGAACTATATAAACATTAAGTTATACTTATGATACATTAGGATAAACTCAGAAGTACTATTCCCTAAATTTAAATATATAATGGTTCTAAAGCAAATCTGGCATGCACTATATTAATATGAGATTTTTGAATAAAAATATCCCATAGCATACCTAAATCAAGTGATATAGTTTTCTCATTATAATTATGCAATGCAGCATTGTTTAGCTGCCGCCGTGCTTCCATTGGTTGTACTGGCTTCCAGTTTACATCTCTAATGATAATTTTCCAATTCTTTACAGAACATATACTTCCACCTGGATCACGAAACTGGCCTAGATATTAATTTTTATAGAGTATAATATATATTTTTACATTATTAATACTGGTTAACAAGCTATAATTAATAAAAAAGTAATGACTATCCTTAAAATATTATAAAATGTGAAAGTGATTTTGTTTATTATCAATTAGCCCCTTAAAAGCTTAATCAGTTACAATGAAATTGGTATACATAAACTATATGACATGAAAAAGATTATTGGCTTCATTTTAGCCCAGTCAGTGAATATATTCCAGCTATGCAGACCAAGTTGGTAACAACTAGTTATCTATAAATATGAAAATTATTACTCTTTGGTATACAGGTGTCTGTAAAAAATGTTGGCATTTTTTAAATTAATAAATAATTGGACAAAAATACTGCATAATATATAAGCAGAGGCAGATTATCCCTGAGACAAACTAGGCAAATATCTAGGAACGCGAGGTTATAAAGAAATTTTTAAACAAAAAATAAAATAAACAAAATTCATTGTGTCAGTTAGTATCTAAACATCTAGTTATATAATATAAAAAAATATTAATACAATTTACCCAAACCTTGGTATAGCCTTAAGAATGTGTTTCTACAGTAGTCAGCAATTACAGTAGTGAGTAGAGTTTTACATGTCTAAAGAGAGTGAAAAATGTTTCCTCTCAACTATGACAGATAGGTGTTTAAATTAGTTAGCAATACTTAACATTTAATCAAACTTATTGCTGTTTTTAAACAATAAAGATTTTATTGGCAATTTTACATGACAAAAACATAGATATAAAAACTTCTAATGTTTTTCTAACAATTGTCATTGAATGTGATTAATATAAATTTTTAAATAAATAAGTCATAGCTCCAGTCATTAATGTTTACTAATACTAGTACTAGTTAAAATTTATATATATATACCCTACTAGAGGCTTGTTGGCAAGGTACTTGCCTAAAGGTGCTCTCGATATTCAATCTAACTCTGAAAATAAGAGAGATTCTGGATTTCTTACCCTTTAAATAAAACTATCATATTAGCATTAGATAAGGTAGAAGAGTATAGCTCCTGTAATGCTACTTATGTACTCATATTAATATTAAATAAATTATCCAAAATTAAAATACTTAATGGTGATAAATGAGTAGGGAGAAAGGGATTTTTAGTAATACAGACTACTAGTACCATTGCTAGTTATATACCCTATCAAGTCAACCTCTACATGGTCTCTCCTTAAAACCATTGTGGTGATTTCTAAGTGTATTCATCACAATGGGCTAATTGACCTGCCTTTTCCTTCTCACCTATCATCCATTACTGGTGCCCCACCAGTATATACCATTAGCGCAGGCATTCCATACCATTATCATATATTAAAAAAAAAAAAATGGTGTTAAATATTACATAAGTGCCTATATGATAATTGGGAAATATCTATAACATTATTGAACATTGTTAACAACACTTCAATAAACAATTACTGATTATTTTATTTTTTACTTATCTTTCAATAAATACTTGCACATAGTACATCTTATATTATTTTTTCTGTGTCAGTTGCATGTATTAGTCAAATTCATAAATTATTTATTTATTTAAATCTTTATTGCACCAGAACATAAAAATATACAATGACAGTTAAACAATTCAAGTAAAATATAATAACATAAATCCCAGATTAAAATACATATACATAAAAGTACAAAAGGTGATCTTATCTCTAAGGCAATCTCTTACAGACGACCTTTGGTTAAAGAAGAAGAAATAGAAGTGGGAAGGATTTCTTGGGAGTAATTATTGCTATCACAATGATAAAATTTATCCTGAAAATAAGTTCCTTACCAACTTTACTATTTTAATAGTAGTGATTATAATAAAATGATTACTTGTGATTTATGTTACCCACTATTTAATCATTCCTAAATGATGAAATTAATGAATTACCTTCCCAGTCCAAGTTTGCGAAAGGTTGCAAAAGCTCTGCTAATGACAAATTGTTTTTCGATACTATATTATCTACTTTTGGACTACACAGTATTGCAATTATGGGCGAAAACGAGGATTGAATAAACTCTTGAGCTGTTTTTCCAGATTTATTCATGATATTTCATTTAAATAGTGAATACTGCACAAAATTATCCAGACGCCCTAATAACGTCTGTCAATTAAATGACCAACACTGTGACTAACAAACAAATGTCTAATTAAATTCTTTGTTTTCACAATGTGATTTTATAAATAAAATTAATTAATTAAACAGAATTTAATATCTTCAAATGGTTGTAAAGAATCAAAATGATCGAATATTCGATATGTCAAATTTGACACAAAACAAATTATCGCTACGTTATAAGAGTTGGCACCGATCTTATATCAACGGAACCTGTATAAAATTTCAAATGCATGTTACCTCATCGAAGTAATAACACAATAATAATTAAAAAAAGAAAGATAAAGAATATCTATATATACTTTTATACAGTATGTCGATATCGATAATGGCCATAAGAAATCTAACTATTTCATAATATAAAATTTCAGATTTTATGAAAAACATGGACAATGAAATAATTACCTATAATTAATTACTTTATTTCACTCTATTACAATTTAAAATATCTTTTTTTTACAGATAAGTAATGTATGGTATAGTAACCCCGCCTATGTTATTAGTATATGCTGGGAGAGTACCAATGAGGATTGATAGATGAGGATAAAAGCAGGTCAGTTAGCCCATCGTGACTAATTCCATAAAAAATAACCATGGAGATTTCCAGGAGAAACCGTGTCGAAGTCGACCCGATTAGGTATATTGTTAGCAATGAGTCTGTTATATACCATTGCTAACAATCCCTTTTCCCCAGTTGGAAGTATCGTACTAAGTCAAACAGCATCTAAAAAAAATATACGTACTAAATATAGTAAAATAGAAAAATGTCTATAGGGCGGATGGCATTCTCTATTAATCAACCACCACGCCTAGCAGAAAGAGCAAATGGCGATTTATCACAACTAAAACTACTATTATCAAACTCAAATATCAAACTAAAAAAACTGCTTCAAAATCTGTTGCGTAGTTTTAAAGATTTAAGTATATTAATATACTTTTTTTTATACAACTAAGAATGAACACGCTGACGGCCCTCCTGATGGAAAGTGGTAACCGTCGCCCATAGACGTGAGCAGTACCATGGATATAACAGAGTATACTGTTTCGCCTGTGATACCCCCTATGCGTTGCCATTCCTGAAGACTCAGGTGTTGTCATATACCCTGTAAATTCACACCATATACCACCCTTCAAACCGAAACATAGCCATGAAAACTATTAAAATAATAAAATAATATGTATATGTATGTATGTATGTATGTATTATAAGTAAGTATTTTATCTATGCATTTTTGCCATCTTATAGGTAGTTCATTCATACCTTTACTAAAAAAATCATGGGGGCGAGAATCAATAAACTCTTTGAAGGCGGTTTGGATTGCCACATCTGAGTTCAATCTTTTTTTTCTTGTAAGAAGTTGTCCAATTTCCGGAAAAAATGGTAATCTGTTGGAGCAAGGTCCGGGAAGTACGGTGAATGTTGCAGACATTCCAATTGTAGCTCATCTAACTTAGTGATTGTTGTGCAGTGTGTGGTCTTGCGTTGTCGTGAAGCAGCAGTGGCCTAGAGCAGTTAACCAATCTCGGTTGATTAACAGCTAGTTCTTCCTTCATGGTTTGCAGTTGCTGATAATAGATATCTGTAATGAACGACACCGGCGCTAGTCCATCAAACACTCACAAGTAACTTTTCCTGAGTCAATTTTCGTTTAGGGCGGCTTGGCTGAGTCTCCAGAGTTCAGACGTTGCGACGAGCGCTTCTGATTATCGTACAGTATCCACTTTTCATTACAAGTAATTATTCGATTTAAAATCCCTTCATTATTGTGTCGGTTGAACAAAGTAACATAATAGTCGACGCGTGTTTGCAAGTTCGATTCACTCAATTCATGAGGTACCCATCGTTTAAGTGTTTTTACTTTCCCGATTTGCTTCAAGTGGATTAATACAGTTTTATCACTTACTCCGAAGCCTGCAGCTATCTCTAAAGTACTTTGTAGTGGATCCGCTTCCACAATAGCCTTTAATTCTTCATTTTGCACTTTGGTACCGATATTTCATGTTTTCCATTGTGCGGTAATAAGCGATGCCAAAGAAAAAAATAATGAGGAAAAAACAAATGAATGACTATTTTTAAGACTCAAATGTACCAGCTTAATGAAATTATAAATTTGAATTTGGAATTCTTAACCAAAGAGGAGATATTCCAGATGAAAATGGTCAGTACGACAAAACGCTAATTTCATATGTAAGGACCTAATATGAAATATTTTAATTAAAAAAAAAGCTATTTTTAAATAATTTGAAAATAACTCCCATTGTCATTGCACCTATTTAAGATGGCCATGACCCGCCATGATGAAATTTTTTACAGTTTGTTAACATAATTTCATAGAAATAATCATTCAAACAAGAATGTTGCAATTATTGCAGGCCTGAAATTTGACATAGAATGAATGACTTGACGTATCGTAATTTTAAAGCCAAAGATATGTTAGGAACCCTTCAATAACAAATTATAAGAAACTATTTTATTGACACGTTATTTATGATGACGAAAAAAAAAATCCAGAACGGATATCAAGACCTTCCAATCTTGGTAAACACTGTATGTAGAGTAATTGTGGGCACAATGCTTTACGAAAATGAGATTTCGAGAAACCATCTAATCAAACTATCCGATTTTGGATCGAGTTTGTATGTTTTGAGTTGTGCTCCCCTAATATTAATTACCTAACACAGAATAAACTAGCTTGAGTACAAGGCAATTGGCATAATTATATGGCATTTATTACTATATTAGTCACAGACACTTCATTTTGTCAGTACCAGTTGTTTGCATGGCTGTTTCGAATTGAAGGGTTTTTTTTTTTTAATGGGTGATAATGGAATGGTAACCCCGCCTGCGCTATCGATATACGCTGGTGGGGCACCAGTGAGAGATGATAGGTGACGATGAAAGCAGGTCAGTTAGCCCACCATAATGAATTCGACAAGAATTAACCACAATGGTTTCCAGGGGGAACCGAGTGGAAGTCGACCTCATTACTAACATTCCCTAGTTTGAAGGGCTGGATATGACAGTGAATTTAAAGTGTATAGAGGAATAACACCCGAGTTCTCGGGAATGGCAATGCATGGAGGTATCATGGGCGAAACAGTATATGTTCTCTGTTATGTCCATGGTACTGCTCATGTTGCCACTTTCCATCAGGTGTGCCGTTAGCTTGTCTGCCAATTTAAGTTGCATAAAAAAAACACCATTAGAAGAGGTTACGAAACTTTATTACAATCGGCACCAGTACTAAAATGGTGCTTTAAATGCTTCTGGACAGGAAAAAAGGGGGGGTTTCCAATAATTGAATTTAACAGCTCCATCCCCCTGGAAACCATCGTGATAAATTCTTGTGGAATTTGTAACTATGTGTTGACCTTCTTTCATCCCCACTCATCATCTTTTAATGGCGCCACACCAAATATAGTGTAGGCAGTATCCCCATTCCATTATCACTCATGAAAAAAATTCCTGATATGCTGGATATCGCAGACATAAATCAAGTTACCACATAAATATATAAATAAAATAAAAAATATGAAAATGTCCTTGTATTTGTATTTAATGAAAAATTCATTTTACAAAATTCAGATATACCTAATAAACCAATTACAAATAGAATTTAATGATACGAAAATTAGTCGTAAATGCATTACATAAAAAATAATTCTATTTTGTCGCACTAATATATTTAATTATAAACGATAAAATATAATTTCTAAAAAAATAAAGAAAAGTTTATAAAACAAAAATTGCTAGGAATCACACTTCCTAATATTAATATATTACATTTTTTATTGACCAAATCACTTGCTCTCTTTTGGCGCTTTTGGTAGGCACTCCTGATTGTCTCACAAATCTGTCTTATTTCATGTAAATTAGAAGCTATTTTACAATGCCTTGGATCATTAAATATTTTTTTCTCAAACATGCTTGAAAATGTGAGCATTATTTTGACAATCTTCTTTGAGATAAATCAAAATTGCCGTACTGGTCAGATACATGCGGGCAGCGGCCGGCAAAAGTTGTATGAAAATCCATATCTGTCGTGTTTTGCGGCCAGATAAATTACTATGTAAACTCATATCTGTCCTGTAATTTAAAAATGGAATGACCGTTTACTTCGAAACATGGCTACCCAGGAGGTAACTAATAAAAGGCTTTATTTAAATTTCGAACTGGCTTGCAAATAGAAAGCTGTTTATTGAAAAAAAAACAAAGGAACATTATGGCGCGTGAAAAATTATTATTGTTCGTTATTCGTCATTGAACTTAAAAAGTAAAATTGTGTTTTTGATTTCCGCGCATTGTTTGAGAAAAGTACTATACAAGCCTTGGCCACAACTAGGCATTGATGGACTCACGTATATGTGCCTCGACTATGCCTCGGCCCACATTTGCACGTTCGTCCATATATACCTCAGTTGCTGGCCGCTCCAGTAATGTACTATAATGTGACTCATTGGTCATATTTATTATTCAGTCCGATATTGATATTTAAAAATTTAACATTTCTATTTTTTATACATTTTTATGTTGACTGCATAATTGCAATATAAATCCAAAATGCTGTGTCCTGCTCAATAGCAGGACAACAATTTGTCTATACCTTTTAAAGATTCGTTGTATTATTTAGATATTATTATAATGATAAATCATCGGGTATGCCAATTTATTTTTATTGTTTATTAATTGTTTTTTATTAACATTTTAGGGTGCGTACAAAAACCATTCTACTATCACACGCACATATGTACAATCGCCATTGTTCCGCCCATGCTATGGACGTATGAACTCTACTTAGTGTGCGTATATACCTATCGCTATAATATCAGCAATGAGTGGCGTTATTTTAATCAAACAGGTAAGTCCCGTCTGCGACATACAAGGTAGGCGTGTGCACGTACTGTGGGCATCGAGGACTGAAAAGACGAGGAGTGTTGAACAGAATGGAGCACGAGGCCTCAGCGTGTATGATGCTTAATCAGACCATTACGGAGATTTTTTTATTCCTATTTATATAGATTAAATGGTATTACCCGATTCCATATATAAGAGAAATTATACAAAATCTAAGTATCATGGTTCCAGTGAAATTTTTACACCGGTTCATTCTGTATTTTCAATAAAAATTATAAATACATGTTACTTATAGCTTTGTAACAACTTGTTCAGCCGTATATATACTGAAATTATAAGAAAGTGTCTAACAATTGTCATTTTATATATTTCAATATTTACAACAAAAGAGACAATATATCTACACAAAATGTAATAGCTTATAAAGATGCCTTCTGACAACACAAATTAGCACAATATTATATTGATCATATCAATATATTGTAATCAGATTTAAATTTTAATTATGTAGGTACTTCATAATACATTTATACTTATATCTGAGTAAAATGCCATTTGATATAAAACATTACAATTCTGTAATGTTTAAATTTAAAATTATGCTAGATTTATTGTCAGAGGATGCAACTTTACGGTTTTGTTTGGGCAAACAACACTCTTCATGATGTAAATAAGGATTTTTGGTAAAAACTATTTATATACAGTTGATAGTGTTTGAACATAGATTAACATGAGAACCAGGAATAAATGCAGAGCAAAACATCGTCTCGATCGTATCAGTATTAAACTGACAATATTATTGAGCCGTGGGCCAGAAGTACTAAATATAAATAAAAATATCTTTTCTAGTAGAAATAATAATAATACTTTCCTCCTTAACAACTAAATAATAACTATATGTAAATAACTCCACTAACTCGCATACCATAGTTCATAAACTTACTTTAGCATTTTACCTTTTACATTAAGTATCTAACTATATTATAGTAAGGCCCTTACTGTACAAATCCAAATTGTTACCAGAGTTACATTATTTAATAAAGTCTTATATGAACATGTTATTATTAATTTCAAGTTAAAAATAAATAGAATATTCAATGCCACATCTTACGTAAAAAATCAAAATATTGCTAACAGTGTAACTGTTAATTAATAGCTAAAACAAAATGTTAAATAAAATTTGTTCAATTTTATTGAATTATGATAATTCGAAACCATTTCGATAATGTAACATGTCCATATCGGACTTAGTAGCGCGCATAACCAATTTATCAGACGAGTCCTCAAGCAAACAGTCCTGGTCCTATTGAGATTCTATGTGTTGTATAGATTATATACCATATTCCCTCATCTATGTTATTTGGATTTATTTTGTCAGCGAGACAGGGAGACTCAGGATGCGGCAGAGAGCGCGGTGTACCTTCACCACGTAGGTACTGTGCAGGTTCGCGTTACATACTATTGTACACGTGCTCGTTATTCAAAGTTCGAGTTGAACATATTAATGTTGAGGTCCTCGAAGGTGGCGGTGCCGCTCTGGTCCAGTATTTGCAGCATATCGGACAGCTCGTGCGGCGCGTGGCCGCCCTCCGCCGCGCCCGCTGCCGGGCCCGCCGTCCCCGCGCCTCCCCCTTGCCACGACCACATACCTGAAATACATTGCATATTATACTATTTCACAGATTAAATAGTATGAAACAAATACTCGAAAAGGTTCCATCCTTTTAGATTGAAAAACAAATCGCGTAACATATGCACAAAAAGTATACAATGATACTCAGTCTTTTTTTACAAAGACACCAGTACTCACTACCCAATCTTTAAGCTCCTCTGCATCTAAATCTTTATCTTTACTAACATATAATGTTAGCAAGCCATGACTTGTCTTTAATTTTATCGATCTGTGTTTTTTGCGATTTATCCAAGGCTTCTTGATTAGATTATATTGTATTACTTAATAAACAAAATTTCTATGGATTTTAAGATAAAACTATAAATTTCATTAAATTATAATGGGCTTATAGAATTAAAAAAATTGAAGTAAACGGCGTCACTTCTAACGGATCTCTTGTGAGAAGGTGTCCCTCAAAGATGAAGCTTGGTCCCTTTTTATTTTTAGTGTATATCAATAATAGTAGCAAAAAAAGTGTTTATATTAAATTTATGGTAGGTAGGAATGTACTGACCGTGCGGATGCGGGTGTGGGTGGTGGTTGTGGTGGTGGTAGTGCGCGGCGGGAGGCAGATAGGCGGGCGCGGGCGGCGAGCGTGCCGGGCTGCCGTCCGCGGCAGCGCCCGCGCTGCCGCCGCCGCCGCCGCCCGCCGCCTCGCCACTATACGCGTACGTCTCGCCGCCGGTACCGCCCCCGCTCTGATAATAATACTGATTATTATCAAAAAGGCTACTCACTAAATAAAATTATCATTTAATTGTTTCAAACTAAACTCCAAAACAAATTTTTTTATTTTCACAATTGAAATACAATAATTATTTCCTTATCTCCTTTGAACCTTATTGCTATGACATCTTATTTTACATCCGCACACAAGTTATACACGCTCTTACATTTTACTGCACAGATATTATAAGATCAATTAGGTAACAATTAAAAAAAATAATTATTAATTCAATCCTGTACAAAAGCGAACAAATTGTAACGGCAGATGCGGAGGTACTAACCGGGCGGAGCGTGGTCCACGTAGTGTGCGGCGGCGTGTTGGCGGGCCGGTGCGGCGAGTAGTCGGGCGCGTAGTGCGGCGCGTAGGGCGGCGCGGCGCCCAGCCCCGCCTCGCCCGGCGAGCGCGCCGCCACGCCGCCGCCGCCCGCCGCCGCGCCGCCGCCGCCGCCGCCGCCCACGCCGCCCGCTGCCGGACCACATACCATTAGCTTATACAGCTTTGAATGGCAAACAAGCTTACGGCCCACTTGATGGAAAGTGGTAACCGTCGTCTATAGACATGAGCAGTATCATGGACATAACAGAGTATACTATTTCGCCCATGATACCCCCCATGCGTTGCCATCTTATAATTGTAATCATGTAATCTTCCACCAGACTGATATTTACCCGACAAATGTTAAAAAATACTCCTTACCTACCGGGTTTTTTTAGGGTTCCCTACCTCCAAATGAAAAAACGGAACCCTTATAAAAATAACTTCGTTGTCCGTCCGTGTGTCAAGGCCCTTTTTCTTAGAAACGCGTGAAGGTATCAAGTTGTAATAAATATCATATTGTCAAGTCTGCAATCTCTTAATGCAGTAAAAAATATCAAGCTTCTAAATCGACGCAATCAAAAGATAAGGCCGTTTATATTTCATTTATATCGCATTTTTTACATTCGCAAAGGGAATCAAAACCTATAGAATAATTCCCGTTGATCTAGAATCATGAAATTTGGCAAGAAACAATATCATGCAGTACAAGTAAAAGAAAAATCCGAAAACCATAAATTTGTAATTATTTCACAAAAAAAATCTTATTGATTATCATATTATGATAAAAACTATCCTATCCCTCAAGATTAAGCAAACAATAAACATTTACAAAATTTCATTAATATCTATTGAGCAGCTTCAAAGATTAGCATGAATGAATATCGTGACATGGAATTATTAGATATTAAAATCTTCTTAAGTGCCTGCAAATTCAAGCGATCGGGAGATATTTATTGCTAAGTATAAAAAGTAGATATGACCCAATCCCATTTACTATGGTTATGTTAAATTCCATTATGACTGATTGTCACACAAAAACTAGTGGATTCATTTTGATAAAAATATAAAATATGGTTATAGGTTAAAATATGGTTAAACATAAACAATCTAAAATCTGCATTAGACATACTACCATTTTACAACTATAAGTGTATTCCTGAAGATCTTATTTTCATTTACATCTATGTATTAAAATAGAAACATATAGTACCTGTCTGCGCATGATGCTGCTGGTGAAGAGCAGGGGGAGGAGCCTGATACACGTCTCGGTGGCGCAAGTGATAGTCGTAGGTCTCTTCTGCAACGGGTTCCGTGCCCGCATTTCCTAACGAACGACTACATGAAACAAACAAACCATAATTATCATTAGCTTGTATTGAGGACATTGAATATTGTTCCGAATTCATGATTTCTAGTGATAAACTATAATTTTAAAGAACACTTTGTATAAATCTTATTTGCATTGGTATTTATCCAACACATATATCAATTATTAAGCAACTGTGCTTGCAGCTGTTTTTCAATTTGAGGAGTGAGATCCAGACATAAAAATAAAAATTTAGAAGCATAACACCCTAATCTTCAAGAATAGCAATTCATGGGGAACATCCATCCGTGTCTATAGATTAATGTTACAATTTCCCATTCCGTCGACAAATGGGTCTTTGCTATACGCTACTCAAAACTCCAAAAAAAAAAAAAATTATAACCTACCACTAGTTTATCCAAAAATCTGATACTATAATAGTTATTACACTCATTATCAAATAGATGAATCCAAAAGATAACCTTTTTATAATTTTAGTTCAATAAAAAGAAAATTATTGTTCTGAGGAACTACTAAAGTTTTTAATAGAATTGTGTCAGAATAACTTCATATTTATTTCTCGGTGAGTCATAACATACTGATTAATTTTTAATATCAAATTAAAATTTCAATTCTCAGGTTAACTTTAGGTAATTGGGTCTTAGAAATGATGCCAAACATGTTATAATGTAATTAATACTTACTTTGCCAAAGTGTTTGTACAGACGATATATTCTACATCATCATTGTAAGGATTAAGGAATGCAAATGCGGAAGTTCTCAGCCAAACCCATTCTTTACTTTTTGTACGAAATCGATACATCAATGAAATTATTTGGCCCTTCAATTTTAACACTGAAATAAAGATAATACAATTATGAGTATCGCAGTCATACTATTGTAATAGCGATCAGTAATGATCATCAATTAATTAATAAATTGCAAGAGATTCATTAGAAATACATACGAGTAATAGTAATAATTATTAATTTATATAACAAGAATATAAAGTTTCGTAACTAGTAATCCACGCATACCTTGATCAAAATTATCTCTCATATGCTGTTGGTCCTCAAGATGATAAAATTCGTAGCAAAGCTTTCCCAGTAAATCGGCGGGGGCGTAACCCACCACTTGTGTAGCGCGCTGGTCGGCGAATGTAAAACGGCCGTCCACTGAATGACGAGACACAAACTCCACGCCACCCGTCGATAAACTATTTTCTGACGCATTGGGTGTCGATGTTACCTATTTCAAACAATTTTACACATTAAAAAATAAACATGGTAATGGGGTAATTAGAGCGAGAAGTTTTTTTTAATGGGGTGAAAATTTAAAGGTAAATCCGCCTGCACTATCAGTATACGCTAGCAAAGTACCAGTAAATGAACATAAATGAGGATAAAGGCAGATCAGTTGGCCCCTTATGGGAAATTTACTAGGAATTAACTACAATGGTTTCCAGGACTAAGGACCAGAACAGACATTACGCCGAGCGCATTTAAATTCAACGGGGCAGATGCAAACCAAATATTTGATTTTCAACATATCTCTTTTTTTTAGAGGATTTAAAGAAAAATTGTGGGCTATAATTAGTAGACTATTATACTATATTAATATATATTATAATGTACCAGGATCACTCAGAAAGTATTGCGAGAAAAAGCTTTTATGTATGTGAGACTGGCCAGTTATAATTTATTTAAAAATATGATTACTTATAAGTAAAAATAGGTACGTTCTAAATTCAAAACTTGACTTCACATTTTTTGCAAGCTAATTAAAATTATCGTTTCTCATTGAACAATGGATTTGCGTCGAGAACATTTTCGCGCTATGATTTTTTACGATTTTAAGTATAGCCTGAAACCAGACGAATTGTACGATAGACTTCAAATGGCATTCATGGATGAAGGCCCTTCTACCTTAGACCGTAGACCTAGAACCTAGTTTCACGCTGGGTGCCGATAACCTCACCGATGTTCAGATGCAGGCAAGGGTGGAATGGTGCCATGATATGATAGACAAATTTGAAGCAGGCTCGTCTTTGCGTGTTTACGACATCGTTACAGGTGATGAATCCTGGATTTATCAATACGATCCAGAAACAAAGCGCCAGTCCACGGTTTGGGTGTTTCAAAACGAATCAACACCTATCAAAGTAAAGCGACCTAGAAGAGGGGGGAAGATTTTGATCGCGAACTTTTCAATTTTACTGGCTACTTGGTGTCAATTCCTTTATGAAACCAAAGAAGTATTATCGCCGAATAGTATACTACCAAATGCTTGGCAGAAGTTTTCTCTGTTGTGAGCAACAAGCGACCTAACATAAGGCTCCGCGGGCTACTGCTCCACCACGATAATGTGCCCGCCCACACCGCAATCAAAACGAGGGATTTCCTAGACAGCCCTGACCTAGCATCGTGTGACTTCTTCTTATTCCCAAAAATAAAAAATCTGCTCAAAGGGATATAATTTTCGTCGCCGGATGCGCTTTCAGCGTTCGAAGCAGGCAATAAACGAGGTGTCTGTGGCGGACTGGAAAGAGTGTTCCGAAAACTGGTTCAGACGCATGTATAGAGGCTAGTGGAGAGTACTTTGAAAAGATGTAATAAAATATATTTACCTATAGAACATTTTGTTAGTGTCGCAACACTTTCTGAATGTCCCACGTATATTGATATATTAAGAGTGTCTGTAGCCATTTAATATATATATACACTGCTCTCTAACGCCATCATCTTGAATACAAGATATTCAATAGTAATTTTAAGGTGAATAGTTCTTTTTCCATTTTTAATTTAGAACTATTTTCGTCCCATCCTATTGATATAGAATGTATCATGCAAACATATAAAAATTTTCTAAAATTCCTGTGTCCTCCGTTACTTCGAAATTTCGAAGTATATAGATACTACCATAAACTAAGAATATAAAATCACGTATACTCTCCTACATTCAATTTTTTTATAACCTGACTCGTTTTATCACAATTTTTATTTTCATTTCAATAATTTTTATATAAACATAGAATTTATACAAACACTTTGTTTATGCTTAGAACATGGCAGTTTACTAATAATAAGTACTTTGAAATTTAATTCCTTATAAATTTTGCCCCTATTTTTACCTTTAGCTGTAAGCACTAGCCAGATATAATGAAAGAGTAAAACCTCCTTAATTATAAATGATTTTTAATAAATTTCTAATTTAAAAAAGTAACAAAACTTTCCGACAAAAATAGAACTGTAGGTTTTTGTATTATAAATAAGGAAGTAAAATACAATATTACATCTGTAAGGAATGTAATAATAAAAATTACCTGTAAACGTCCAATTGCTACTAGACAACAATGAGACGCGTGAAGTTCGTCCTCTACTGGTCGATCCATCTGCATTCCTGGAAACAGATCTGATGTCCCCAAATACATAAAACTATGGTTATAAAATATCGTATATTGCAAAACTTTGAAATAGACCTTAGTTAAATTTGTTAATTTCAAAGGTAGTTGAACTAAATAATATGTTGATAGTTCATCATCGTTAACTACATTTATTATAGTATGCATAAATTCGATATTTTAAATATGTAACACAATAATCTTCGATGTCCATTATATAACATTATTGCCCATACAAATGGAAAATATAAAATTACAAAATGGAGTTTTTCACGAAGAAAATCTTTCATATACGTTTAAGATTATTAAACCATATAAACAGATCTCGCAGGAAACAAACACGAAGAAACTGTTGATCTCTTTTAAAATTTATTATATTTAGTTTAGGAAATAAAATAAAGTATGCAAATTGATAGTTATTCGTGCAAGATCTGTAAAATTATATTAATACTAATACCTAATAAGTATACTTTTATTCTACATATAGGTACAGACTATTAGCTTTGACAGACAAACAGACATATGAGCGAAATATTGATTTATATTTCACTCACACAAAAACCTTAATTATGAACAATCACCTCATGTCTCATTACTGACTTTAAAAAATTTTACATAATTAAATTTATTATTTCTATTAATGTAACACTAACTAGGCATCTTTGTAGATTTTTTATAGCACTGAGGTGGCAAACAAGCATACAGTCCACCTGATGGTAAGTGGTTACCGAAGCTTATGAACGCCTGCAAAACCAGGAACATTATGCGCGCGTTGTCGACCCTGAAGAAACTTCTTTATCTTTTTTTTTTTAGGAATTCCATGCTATAGTCTCTTGGATAAACCACGACATCTAGGCTCTAAGGTATGGAGGTACACTCCCTGTCAATGAGAGCTATACGATGGCAGAAAGTGGCCGTGGGCATCATGTTGAGCAATTTCTCTAAACATAGTCCTTTGTACAAGTGGTAGAATACGCAAAGACAAAATTTCTCCTTAAGACTTAAAAGTTCGATACCGCTTCTAAGTCTATGAGCATCAACAACTCTGATAGCTCGCGTCGTTGCACTAAGTACTTTTCACGAAATCCCAAAAATAAAATGGGAATAGTGAAACTTTATATTCTTACTCAATCACCACATAACCTATTCATCGAACAGGGGACACTGGTTTATTTGTGTGGCCATACTTTACCTGTGGGGGGCCAATTCTTTATGTATCCGGTGCAATGCACTACGGCGTAGTTGTGTCCGTCGTGCGAGGGCCCGAGCGAGTTGCGCGCGCGCAGCCGGCCCAATTGCGCGCCCTCGCCCGTGCCGCCCACGCGCATGCGGCAGATGAACCCACGTCGGGAACCCATCACTTGCCGCATCGACGCTGCAACACGTCCCACCCATCACACGGTCATCTCAAACACAAAATTTCGATGATCGATACTAGATGTCCATTTAAGACATCGAAAACGAACATGCGAATATCGCATCACTCGCCGACCACGTTGTTATTTTAAATTAGTTTGCTTTTATTTCATTCGACGGAAAAAAACTTCGCTATATGATTTGCAAAAAAGATTTAGATTATATCGATATAAATTCCAATTGATTTGTTTTTTCTTTTCAATACTGTAAGCAGACGATGACTATAGCATTCAAGTTTACGTCATTGTAACTAGATAATATGATACTTACATTGGTGTCCTTCTTTCTTAACAGTACCAGTCTTCAGATCTAATATCCGTCCAGTATTTTGTGGCTCTTGAGTACTTAATTGTTCCCGAACTTTTTCGACATCATCTGGATGAACTTGATCGTATAAACAAGAAGAATACCATTCTCCCTAAAACGATATTAAATAAATGTTTAAGGTAGGTACTATTGAAACCACCTAGGTAGTAAAGTACAACTTAAATACGAATGAGTATCTACACACTTCTGTGGCACGATTCCCACGATGAAAAGCATAATAGTATGAAACAGTCTTTGAAAATATTCATTATGTTTAGTCAACTTTAAATGATGCCGATTATAAATTGGTTTAATCGATAACGATAATAATAATCCAATGACATAAGTCATTGGATTATTTTCCTATTAAATATAACTTATAAAACCAAGAATCTATTTGTAATATTTATCTATTGGAGTGATTTATTTTTTAATGCAATCTAAAAGTTGTAACAGTAAGCTAGAAAGCTATAACATCCATTATTCCATATAAAAGTTTCACTCAAAATTTATATCGAATTAACTTGAAATATAAGAAAACAAGGCATAAGTAGAGCGAAATATAACATTTAAAAGAATATTACTACATATTTCACTACAAATGTCAAGATGATATTAGAAATAAGTGCAAAATTTGAGTTAATGTACTGATATAGTGTCGTTTTTGGTCTCCGACTCTGTATGCTTTTCTACAAATATATAGCAGCTTTTGTATTGTTAAGGTAAGATATAACTATTGCAATAAATTTATAAGTAATAGTTTTTACTCACTTGAGAATAATTTAGGACCGGAGCTATACTGTCACTAACATAAATAATACGACCCGTATCGCAACTGACTACGAATAAAAAGCCATCGGCTGCTTCAAGTATTAAATGTTTTAATTCTTGATCTGTTAAAAATGATGGCTTGTAAGTTCCATCCGTAGAAGTATTTCCGGTACCTGTGAAAAATACGACATAAAAAAACAGTCTCGCAAAAATAGATACACCAGCGATATTCCTTGGAGTAATTTATGAATAGAATTTAAGTGTATAAATTTAAACAAACACGAACAGAAACATTAAGAACTACACGAAAGTGTTTTACAAATAGGTTTGATTGATTGATCAATAATCAAATAATATCATTATTTAAAGTAATTTCGTTACCTCTCAAAGCTTTCATATGTGCCACTGCCATACGTAGTATGGTAAGTTTATCGGGCTTGCGAGCTAGAGCAGAGCATGTTGGAACCATATCAGATAGTTCCGTAATGTATGCTGTCATCTTGTTTCTTCGACGACGTTCAATTTCACAATGGTTTTCCCGACTACAGAAAAAACATTATTATAATTAAATAAGAATTACATTTTTTATTAAAAACAAAATTAATTATGTACCTATCTTCTAACATTATTCTGAATGTAATAGAAGCTATATTATATAGTTAATGTTTTTCAGTGAACGAGAAAATTTAAGCAATGCTAATAAGTAATATCAATGAGTATTTTTAAGAAAGGAAAGGCGCGCGTGTCGCGTGATAAGACACGTTTTCAATCATCACACGGTAAGTTGAACAATGGATGGTATGGTTATGGGAATTTAGAAAAGTATCTATGCGTTAAGCATGTTGTTGATGTTTAATTGACTATAAATCAATTAGCTTTTCTGTATAGAATTTATATAGGTATGTAAATTTTGTATTACCACATCGCTATTTAAACAACCGCGATAAATCCAAAATTAAGATTTTGTATCTATAGGTTTTTTAAAAGATTATGCCAATATTATTATTACATCAGCCGTTAACTGTCCAGTGCTAAACATAGATCTCATAAAGGGGGTTTTGCCACGTAATAAGTAGTTGCCACGCTTGGCAGGCGAGTTAACAACCGCAGTTAAAGTTTGGTGATGTTTTAAAGGGGGGCGTTGTTGCCTACCCCTCAATCACAAAGTACCCTTAGTCGCATCTTACGACACGACAAGGAAGGGGTGGACCAATAGGTCAATAACTACGACTTAATTATAACCAAATTTTTTATGATATTATAAGAAGAAATGTTTGATTGTTTGCGATAGGGTGACTCTGATGATATTATACATTATTTCGTTTGTATATTTGTTTTAAAACATTATTACACAATTAGCAACATAACAACATTACAATGTACCTACTCTCAGGCCAGTTCAGATTCGTTCGGGAAATGCGTGTAATTTTCAGAACTCTGTATAAAATTTATAACTACCTAACTACCCTTATATCTATCGGTTTGTGTGTCTATTCTTATATCACGCTATCAATAAAAAAAATGAATATACATAATAAAATCGTAACTTGTCGCTGTCTGTACATGGAAAATATATAATAAAAACTATTATAGGGGGCTTTATGAACGCAATAGAACCCAAAATTATGATTTTTAGAATTTTGTCTGTTTGTACGTTTCTGCACGCTAACCTCAGAAACGGCTTAACCGATCTGAAAGTGGTTTTCACTAATGCGTTTTGCTCCACTTAACTTAATGTTAAGTGGAGCAAAACGCAGTTTGTTTTATTTCAATCAGTTCATAAATAAAAAAGTTACAAAAATCTAAAGAATCACATATAAAATGCTATAAAATAACTGATTAGTTGAATTGACTGAAACTTTATGAAGGTATTAGATACGTAATTATCATTTAAATATATAAAACAATATAAGACCGGATTCATGAAGAGTTCCAATAGGAATGACATACGAGAACTACATAGTTAAAGGCAGACAATGCCGCTGGAAACGGCTAGTATTAACTATATTTATCATCCTAGATTTAAGTTTATATGTCATTTGAGATAAAATACTATTTTACGTAATTATTTTGCTGTTATTAATTTAAATATCAAAATATAAAATTTATCATGATCAATCATTGATCAATGATTTTATTTTGATTTATAATATAAATTGTAAAGCAAATTTGGGAATAGTATGTACCTTGCAAATCTCTCTTTGTCTTGAATATTGTCCTCCTCCATCCTTGTGTATTTTCCGCCGCTTGCGTCGTCTTCATCGGATCTGTCATAGCAAAGTCATCATCATTAACTTTTACTTACGCACTAAATGTTTTATAATAACGTCGAGATAATTCAAATAAATTATCATAGTAAAACAGTTTATTTGAGACCGGCCTAAAAGAGGAGCCGCAGTTGCATAGGGGATACTAATGAGAAACTGCAGTGACTTAGGAGGCCGGGGTTGCAAACAAGTGTGTCCATATAGATTACTAGAAGAGAACACCCCTGGCAGAACAATATCAATATATTGTTTATAATCAACTTCCTCAAGGACTAGCTGGTTGTTTTTATTTTTATAATTCTGAGAACATATAACACCAAATTCTATTGCCATATTTAACCAAACAGGACTATTGACGTGAAAAACTTTAGCAATGGCAGTGGCAACTGTGCTGCAATAATAGGGAAAGCAACTATCAACAATATAATAGTCCTTTGTCAGTCAGGATTTACTTTTTTAGTTACTACCAATTACAATGATTACTAAGTAGTTTTGTTTATTGACTTTCTTACCTCTTTCTGTATTTATTGATTTTTTACCCTAATTTTAAAAAAGAACCTTATACATGTATATTTCAATTATATACAAACAAAACCTATGTAATACTTTCAATTGTTTTAAAATGGTAACAAAAAAAACTAAAAATTATTTTTACTAATGCTCAAATTTATACTTAACTATAAGCCATTATCACACATTTGGTTAATAATTGAGTGTGTCTTTTTCTATACTACTTGGAATGGTAAACAAACCGACAGTCCATGTGATGAAAAATAGTAACAGTTGCCTAGATGTGTACAGGTACCACAAATTGAAAATAAAATACACTTGCAAGTGCAGCTGCTTGGTGGAAGAACCATAAAGTTTTGGTCTTAAACACAGATGATATTTTAAGGATAGTTAATACAAAAGCAGGATAACACCTACCTCACAATACCTTGGAGGAGGAGGAGGAATACCTTGCGCAGAAAATATGGTTCATTGGAATGGTTATTAAGCCTTGTTTAATGGCTCACTGTTTACCTATCAACTTAAATTGGATGTAGTATAGATAGATAGTAGCGATGTAACCCCTCCACTAGATAAAAAGGGGAGGAAGTTGTATGTTATTAAGTTGATCATTGTATGTTAGCTAAGTAGTCTTTTTAAAGACAAGACTGGTCATTTTTGGTTATTCGCCTGGAAAAATTAATAAGTATTAAAAAGCTAATAAAGGTCTACTCATATCATTTAAATGAAAGAAAGGTCATGGATGTGCATTTTACATGCACAGATATACACATAGGTTGCATACCAAGAGATAGGTGGGCCAAAATTTGCATATCTTGACTACTGGTACTGGTAGCTGATGACTGTAAGAAGTGAAAGATTTTGTGGGTTGTAGGACATGCTAAGTTATAAATAAATGATGACATCATTTATTAAATATTATATAATAATATTGAATAATACCATTTATGTAGGAATGATTAATTTAAAGCAAAAAGCATAAAATATTTAAATAATATATTTAAATACAACAACTTGTTTAATTTGTTATTTATATTTTGTGTTTGGAATCACTATAGAAATATGTTTCAAGATAAACTTTAATTTTATTTATATTGTGTATCTTTCCGAAATTATGCAGTTTATTTCTTATAAAATACAAGGAGTCATGTTGTTAATATTATGAGCTGTAAGTTATCACACAATTTAATAAAAAAGAAATTAAAAATAATACATAATTTATGTAAGTTTTTGTAATATTACTAAAATTAATAGTTACAATTTAAAAGACATACATATTATTAATTATTACTAAAAATTTTAAAAATATATTTAAGTATAGCACACTTTTTTTTTAATTTACTTAAATTCAGAAACAAAATTTCACAATCCAGATGCAAAGAATTTTTATCGGACGATCGCAGCGCGCCTCATCGAGGTTACTTTTACTTTGCCCAAAAGATAAGTTTGGCAATCCAAAGAGGTAATGCTGCCAGTATCTTGGGTACGCTGCCTCGGTGTGGTGCGTTGGGAGATTACTTTTAATTGTTATTAGTATTTAAGGAATTTTGTAAAAAAAAAAAGAATTATATTTGTATTAGATTTTAATTAATAGATGATTCCGAAGTAAAAATCTGAAGCTACAAATTAAACAGACTTGCATCAATTCAATTAAAAGAATAATATCCCAAAATCTACATCATTGTGATTACTTTACAGAATAAAAATAGATTATCTGAATTATAATAAAACAAATGTTGCAATATAAAAAATATATTAATAGTAGAATATGCAATCTTTCATAGTTAATTAATAATATACTTTTATATTATTATTTTCTTTATGTGAGGTTGTAGAAGAGATTGACTTTTGATAAGATTGCAATTGAAACTTATATTTATTTATTTATATATTTACCAACTAAAGGAGCTTAAGTTTCTAAATTGCATTAGTAATTACAATATATACAAACATATTTATGTTTAATTATTGGACATTTTATAAATAATTTATTGCCATTCAGCAAAACTCAACAAGTTTACAAATAAATATATCCAAGTATATTATTCCTGTCTGTTGATTTAAATAATAGTAAAAATTAAAGGAATTTGAATATGCTGTATTTGTGATTTCAAAAATTTAGCCTGTTACAGCTTAATAATTACAGATTTCATCTTACCTTCATTAATTTTTTTCATTTCACCTTCATTGTTTTCATTTCTAAAGAAACCTGTCTATATTATATAAACTAGAGAATAAATAAGATATAACAGTTTACCAAATTAAGTCTGTTCTCTTGCAAATTCATATAACTGACGATTTCCACACACCAATTATCAAATATAAAAGAAAACACAATAGTATGGTAGTTGGCATATTAAATAACTGAAAACTTATAGCTCTGAATCTATTGTATATATTACATCTAGGTTAAATGTCATTTTTTGAAAAGTTGGGTAAGTAGTTAATCTAATAAGTTCACTTACCCAACACTGCCAGCACGGCGCTTTTGTATATCCTTTGCAGGGTCAGCCCCTATAAACATAATGTTAATTACTTTGTCTTGCTACATCCAATAAAGTCAGAAAGCCATTTATATTTAATAAATAATTGATGTAGACAAATTCTTTAGAAAACTTATATTATTTACAAATGATAATATATATACTTTGTCCTGGTCTGTTATCCAATCTAATAGTATATAGAATTATGAAGGTCAATAAAATTTGGTGATATTTATGTTCTCTTAATAAAAATAATTTTATGGATTATATTAAAATGCAAGCTTTCATAAACATTTAGAATAGCAAACTCATCACTTAATATATTAGCTACGACAAAAAATTTTTACTTATCAGCATCATGAGTGTTCAAAAGGTGATTTCAGATATTTTAACATACCAAATAACAATTACTAATTTCATCGTAGCTATTCATATATTTAAACATTGTCATAAATTGGGAGACAATTTCAATAGATCGGTAATTTATAATAAATTTAGAAAATAATAAAAACGAAACAATCTTATATTCTCTCGTTTCACAGGAAACAACGCGTCACATAGAGCAACGTCAAATTAAAAAAATAGGTCGATAACTTTTATACTTACCGAGACATAAGATAATAAGTTAACCTATATCTGTAAAAAACTATTGCTACACGTAAAATGTTAAATAATAATGGAAAAGTGTATATTATAATAATATTCAATATTTAAAATAGGATAACCAACCGGGGATAGTTGGAGCCACGGCAGACATCGGTCAACAAACTCATTAGTTCTTTCAATAAGTTCACTAACTAATTTTATGATTAAAAGTACACAATATCGTAAAAATCACAGAAGAGAAACACGAAACACATTCAGTATGTTTATATCGTATGCTCTTCAACACAACACAGACGCCATTTTTGTCATTTATGGAAAATGTTGCCCATTAACAATTCTGAATTTACACAAGTACAATAAGTGTTGCCAAGTAAAACAAAAAATTAGACCCATAGATTAAGGATAATACCTTTGGTGTAAGCCATTTTGAAGAGATTATTGCATTTGTATATGGATTGGGATAAATGAGTAACAGAAATACTTCAGCATACGTAGAAACTTGTATATATACTACCTCAAACTTAACATATAATTTGCTGCACCAAATCGATGAATTCATTTATGTAGTATCTGGAAGATTCATAATTTTCATTTTCTTGTTAACAGCTTTTTTTATAAGATGACTTTCTTTGCAGGTCCACGACTTTTGTAAAATTTTTGGAAGGGTCTCCCAGACAATTTTTTCTTTTGCTGTTTTGCATGACTTCACCAATCTTATCTCGGATGATGAAATTATTAATAGTAATTCGGCTTTGGCAATAAATCTTTTTCTGTATCAATGTCATTTGAGGATAGACATGTAAAAACTACTTTGATAAGTACAGTCTCTGCCTGTATGTATCATAATTTGTTTTATTTAGTAGTTCGAAATCAACTTGAGTTTTCAATCGATCTCTGTGTTCTGGGCTCATAACCTGATGGATGGAGTGTTGCGGGAAACTAATTATTAAATATTATTTTATATTTAAATATTTTATTACGTAGGTACTACGTAACAGAGAATATATTTCGTGACAACTTAAATGTATTTTTTTTATTAACTTATTGAGCAATAGATCTATGGCCGTGTATCACCAGTTTCTTACAAATCCAAAAAAGACAAATCATCAAATTGGTACAGCAAGAACCTTTCCACTATAGTACCGATTTTAATGATTTATAGCTTGTTTGATAGCAATTATTAATTTCTTTAATACGTATTAAACATTAAAATTATGTCGCTACATAATAATACTTATGTATCAAAGACTATCTGTAACCCGTAGCTTTGTCATAATGTTGAATAACCTTCTTCTAGAAATAAGTTATCATATGTAAAAACAATTTTTCAAATTCGCCTGAAAGTTGCAAAGACTAGCGCGTTCAAACAAACTCTTTTGCTTTATTATACGAGTATTGGTATAGATATTGAACTAGATTTAATAACTGCATAATATTTATTCTTTTGTTTTAAAAAGAAATTATTTCTGAGATATCAATCAATAATTTCACATTCATGATTTGTCTATTAAAATAAATTAATTCAAAGATATTTTAAAGTATACAAAATTATGCCTATTATCACATAACACTGCAATATCTGTAATAATAAAGATGGACGGTGAACTAGAAGCGTTATCTGATACTGCAACCAATTGTAACTTACCATCCGCTACTGAAACGATATCAGATTTTAATCAAGCCAAACTAGACACTTTAGAGAAAAAAGCAGTCCATCTAAGGTCGGTATTTATTATTTTATATACCTAAATATAATAGGTCTTTGTAATAACTTTTCTGAAATACGTTAATTCTTATTTTCTATGCAAATTTCAAAAAATGCCTTTATCCTCACTGGCGCATATATATATATATATATATATATATATATATATATATATATATATATATATATATATTATCCTTTAGTAATCGATGGAGCCTTACGTGGATGGTACTGATGTAATGGATTCAAAGGCAAATAGCGAGCGTTATTTTTATAATCCGTTTTAAAATATGTAAATAATAATAAAATGTAAATATTTCTCACTCAAATATGAATCATGTGATAAAAGAAATATATAAAGTTTATGTCACATTGCATGTTTCGATGAACATCTTTTAGGAAAAAATAAAACAAAGGATAACATTCTTAAATATATTTATTATTTTATACAACATTACTTTTAATTTAATATTATTGATAGCAAACACAAGTTTTGAACATTTCCAGTAATGTCTGGTTAATTTCTAGGTAGATCCCGTAACAGAGTCTACATTAAATATATATAGTCCTAATTCCACATTAAAATAAAAAGAAATACATATAAAATAAAAGCTAAAATTGTTCTACAAATAGTTCAGATGGCAGCCATTTGTATTGTATTTGATTACATACTATTGTGATTTCATAATTTAACTAAGCGGTGGTATGATGTTTCCTGACCAAACTCATACACTAAAAGCTAGTATGAAAGTTACTCAAGACTGTTTACACATAGCTTAAAGCTTCGCTTGCATCTTAGGGTGCGCACAACCTATTCGTGGGGGGAAAGGGATTGTTAGCAATGGAGTTTGACAGCCCCATTGTTAGCAATTTGCCCTATTAGGTCGACCTCCACGTGGTTCCCCCTGGAAACCATCGTGAACAATTCTTATTGAATTCGTCACGATGGGCTAACTGACCTGCTTCATCCTCACCTATCATCCTTCACTGATGCCCCGCCGGTGTATACCGTTAGCGCGGGTTACCATTCCATTATCACCCATTAAAAAAAAACAACCAATTCGTTCCTCGTTACATTTATGACATATTTTCTCAACCATTTTTATGTCGCAATCTATGAAAAAGCTAAAAAGTTAAGTAAAAAGTCTTACGAATCCCTCACTATAAAATTATTATTTGATGAGAATAATAAAAATTAAGTCCTTTTCCTAAAAAAAAGACAATTCAGCAATCGGATCGACTCGACTTTGTTTGGACCGACTCGTGCATGAATAACTAATAATAAATAATGAATGATTTTTGTTATTAGTAGAAGCGTATAATTAGTGAAATTAGTAATTAGTAGTCGGATTAATAAAGTCGGGCATCGCTTTATTAAATGAATCTTTCGAGGTCTTATTTTTTTTTACCAAACTGCGACCCCCTTTAATAACAAACGCGTCCCCACCAAAACTCAGGGCCCCCCAGTTGAGAAACGATGGTTTATGATTATTATTACAAGATGTTGAATTTTATTTTTATCTCTCCGAATTCCTACTAACATGTAACATTTATTATATTTATTACGTAATATCATTTTATTACAGATTGGTTTTGGAAAAAGATTTTAAAGCGGCTGATATAAAGTGGAGTTTATTTGTTGCAGCAGCGTTCAGTTTTCGTTACGAAAGCTGCCTTAGACCTTTTCCACCATCCTTTTTGAAAAATGGAATTAAAGATATGGATACTTTGGTATACCTATTTATATTATATTACTGTGCTACCTTTTCTACTATTTGTATCCTGCAGCTTCGGCAGTGTGAATCAAGTATTCTATATAAAATTACGATATAATCTATCCATGTACCGAATTACATTCAAATCTGTCCAATAGTTTTTGTGTGAAAGAGTAACAATTATTCATCCATCTATTCTCATAAACTTTATGTTTATAAAATATAGTAAAATTACGTAGTTCAAACTAAAAGGGCTTTACTCGTAATTGTAATGTGCGGAAGCGCTAAACCGATATTTATGATATCTACACAGATTTTGATTTATAAAAAAATATTAGAAAATATAAATTACCCTGAAAATATATAATCCTTCGAGAAGGATTTCCTTAATCTAGGTCATGACTATGGTTAAAAATCTATCTGAGAATTAAGTTACTATTTAAGGTACACGTTACATCATAAAATCTTTCATTATCTCTTCTTTTTCAGCTCAGTGTTATTACCGATGTCCCAGCATTAGACTTGGTCTTACAGCATTTAGAGAATCTAGAAAACTTGGCCAACATTGCTGATATTATAGATTTATTATTTTACGTTTTAGTAAGATTAAAAGAGCCCTGTTTGAAAACAGTTCCTGTAGAAGCGGTATGTTAGGGATATATTTGAATAGTCTATAGATAACAGTCACTCAGTGACCCATGGAGAAGACTATGCTCGGATTTGAAGAAGAGATGCTCTATTTCTTGGAGATATTGGATTCAAAACAATATAATCTAACAAAGAAATTGAGTTGTTAATATAACCAATAGAATTAGTATACTCAAATGGCAATGGACTTGTCTTACTTAATACAAACGCGTTCTAGAATTGAGATCGCATTTGGACAAGACTAATTTTTGGTACGACTGAATGCGTTGTTTACGAGAGGCCTGTGTCTACCAATGGATTGCTGTGAGCTGATGATGATGATGAGTATATAACAGAGGTTTCCAAACTTTTTCAATTTACGACGGGTTTACAGATTTTATTTTCCTGACATACATATATTATTTCGACTAGGGCAGTCGAAATAATGTATATATACAATTATAAAAAAGATATATAGGGTTATACCGGGATGCCACTGTACATACTTTAGGAATCTCTGATCTATAATACGTCTTTTATATTCAAAGTTATTTAGTTAATTAAATTAATAGAACACACTTGTTTCAGCACGATAGTATTATAACCACTGGACGCAGTTCTGCAGCTACCCCACGACCTCAATATATCTTTCAAGTTAATAGTTCGTGCAAATCAACTACAGAAAATAAATGGAAAGAATTGGCAAAAAATCATCATACATTTTTTGCGTACCATGGTAATCGTTTAGAAAATTTTTACACAATACTGAATTTCGGATTGCATCAACATTTGAATAAGGTAAGTAATAGTAACTTGTACGATAAAAAAAAAAACATGACATAAACACTTAAAATGGATGGTATGATAATTGGCTTCATCATCACCATCATATCAGGCATTAACTGTTCATTTCTGAACATAGGCCTCTTCCATAAAGGTGGGTTTGCCAATAGTTGCGACGCTGGGTAGGCATATTGGCAACTGATGATATTGGTGATATTTTAAGAGGGGCGTTGCTGGCAATCCCTTGATCATTAAGTTTCCTTAGTCGCCTCTTATGATACCCACGGAAAGGAAGGGATGACCTATTCCATGTCGGGACCACAGGGCAATTACTTATAATTGATAAATGACTCGCTACCTAGTTATTAGATGTATCCATCAATAGATAAATTATTATAATATTATAATTAATTATTATAAAAAAATACGCAGTCACCTCGAAGCAGAATTAATAATTAATAATATTAATATATATTTTATTCTTTGTGATAAATAACAAGGATTTAGTTTTTAATATGAGACCCTATAAATTAGTGAAATATTACTTTTTATGTGCAAGAATACACTACTGGGTAACGGAGTTTATTTGTCACCGGAATTAAATACGTCGCTACCCTTTAGCCATGGAGGATTTGGATGGGGAGCAAGTTGCATCGGTGGACATTTGTCTTGTGTAGCAATGTGTGAAATAATTGATGCTCCTGAAGGAATTAATTACCAAAAACCTGTCTCAAATGAAGGTAACTGTAAAAAAATAAGTCTGTCTATTATTTTCGAGTCTGATGAATTCGAACCCACGTCTATATGCTGTATGAGTTCAAATTCCATTGGATATCGAAATGTATTTTTTCAGTGCATTAATTATCTATATAGGATTCACAAACGCAGAGTTCCGAAATATTTGTAATATTGTAAAATATATTATTACCCCCTGAACAAATAATGCATTATGCAAAATGATATCATTTTGTCCCAATAGTGGACCTATAGGCTAATTCTTCTATGAAGAAAAAATTATATCAATACCACATTGAGTAGTCGACTTTGAATGGAATTGTATTTCAACTTTACACTACGTTACTTCTTACGGCATCCCAGGAGCGAGAAGGAACAAGTGAAACATCATATTGTTATTTTATCACCAGACGGAGTGATTTAACTTGAAATCCAGCCCGGGTTTGCATGAGTAGATAAAATTTTCCAAAATAATATATAGCCTATGTTATTCACTAATAATGTAGCTTTTTATAAGTGAAAGTATTTTTAAATACTGTTGAGCAGGTCTTGAATTTATCCATAACATACTCGTATATATGTATATATTGTAAATTAACTACCTCCTTTATAATATATATATAATTGTTTTCATGTAAAAATACAGGAGACGGCATATATGAAGATCAAAAAAACAAATCAATAGAACAGGGTGCTAATGGAACAAGCACGACGCAATACATTGTGACAAACTGTGATTTAGTCAGACTCCGTTATCTATTAATATATGCCAAACAAACTGCATCTATGAGATTCCCCACTACAAATTCAAATCGAAATGGTAAGTTTTACCAAAATCTACAGTCTAGCCGCTATAATTTTTTTCCCCCTGGGTGTCGTAAGAGGCAACTTAGGGAACTTAGTAGTCGAGAGACGGGCAGCAGCGTCCCTTTTTATATATCATTAAAGCCTAACTGCGGTTGCCAATCCGTTTGCCAAGCATAGCAATTAATGGAAACCTCCTCCAATAAGAAGAGGCCTATGTTTAACGACGGACAGTTAACCGCTGATATAGCATGTGGCATGGTATTAAAATCAAAGAACACGGCGTAACCTCGGCCAAGTCGACCATAGCAGTATCTTCATTTTTTCTTGAAGCGACTTACAGGTTTTAAATTTCCTGAATCTTCATTATGGATAAAGTAAGAAGTTAGAATTTTTAGTGATCATTCTGTATAACGATACTATAATTATAAAAAAAAAAATTAATACAAAATCTACCATTTCACTAAGTAAATCTAAACAGCACTTAAGTATAAAATATTTTATTAGTAGGATATGTTGCCATACAATTACCAGAGGAAGACTTTGTACAAAAGTGGATTGCTTGGGTACCTCTGTCCCATTCGTGTTTCGCCATGAAGCAGTTGTATTTGCATGGCTGTGTTTCGATTTGAAGGGTGGGATATGGCGTAAATTTACTGGGTACAGAGGAATAACATCTGAGTCCTCAGGAATAACAACGCATGGGGGGTATCATGGGCGAAACAGTATACTCTGTTATGTCCATGGTACTGCTGATGTCTATAGGCGACGGTTACCGCTTTCCATCAGATGGGCCGTCAGCTTGTTTGCCATTCTAAGTTGTATAAAAAAAAACTGAATTATTATAATTATTACAGAAATAAAGATGTCTAATATTATTATGGTCAATATAAATGTTAATAGGTATTTCATTATGTAGCAATCTATAACAAAGTTGTTGAGTAGATGCTTCCATAAACAGTAACCAAAATAAATTATTTGCCTTTGCATGAGTTTTCAAAATCATGTAGTAAAAACTGCGTTGCGTTTTAACAAATAATATAGATATTATCTAATTAATATTATCTATATATATATATATATATATATATATATATATATATATATATATATATATATATATATATATATATATATATATATATATATATAGTTATTTCTTATTATTGTTAGTTGTTATTTTTTCTTATTGATTACCTGTAAAATTTTTAAAAATAAGTTACAATTACTTTTTTAGAATTGTCTTTTTGTCATATAAAAAACAAATCACCCGTTGCTTTTTTTTAACTTGGCTGGATATGCTGCCGCGTGCCTAGATATTACACGAAAAATAAAAAGGCCTTACGAGAATAGACACACTCTATGTTAAATAGATAGATTAGCATGCCGTTCACGTTAATCGCGATTAACACGAGTTCAACCACAGTTCAACGGATGTCATGTATTTTTATTCTTTTATAAATTTCAACTTAAGCTTGTATTTAGCTATCTGACTACCATTCCACAAATAAAATAATACAGGTTAGGTGTATATTGAATTCACACGCCGAGAAATCCGTATATAAAATAATCTATAAATAAGTATTTTGTTTCCTTTAAACTAAAAATTATTTGAATTATGTATTAAGATATTATTCGAATATACAGGTTCATACCTGGTATATTCAGTATCTCATGATAAAATTAATATACCATATTGTCGCCATAAAATATGACTTACTCCACTTGCATCTACAGCTTGCTTGCACGGGGTCAACACTCAAGAATCTTTCCTTCTTCCCCATTGATTATTGGTTGCTCAAGTTATGTAGCCAGCCCAGAAATAATTACCCAAATATTTTGCTATGCAACTTAGAACGGTAAACAAACTGACGGACCACCTGATGGAAAGTGGCAACCGTCGCCTATAAACATTAATTAGGACAATGGACATAACAGTGACAAAACATTCAATGATGTATGTAGTAGGGATAATGAAAGTGATGTATTTAATAATAGTAGCAGTTATATAATAAAAACCATCGCAAATTATTCATTCAATGATTTTAACGACGTTTAGCTTGTGTTTGCACACTTTTAATAAGCTTATTGTTGTCATATATATTTAATTATTAAATAAATACAGTTGTAATCTTCCGTCAAAAAAAAAAAACAAATTATACTGTCTTGTCCACGATACCCTTCATACGTTGTTATTTCTGAGAACGAAGGTGTTATGTCTCTGTATAAATAGAAATTATTATTAAGATATGAGAATTATATTAAAAATATGTAGGTAATAAGCATCTTTTTTTAAACTTGATAAGCTTATCTATATTATGTGAAAGCTTATCATTAACAAATCGTTATCAAATTCGGTATACACCGCTCTTATTCTTAAAAACGTCAAACGTCTCACAAACCTTTTATGCTACATTCCCAATTTGAAAGAAAGTGACAAAACAGTACAATAGCTAAAATAGGTTTGAAGTAAGTTTTAGTTTTTATAAATAAGGGGGCTACTATATAGGATTAATCCTTATTCATTCAAAAAAGTAGCATGTGTCCTTACGCATGCTACTTTTTATCCTAGTCAATCGACATATCTCAGTCATGCGGTCGAAAACGCATATGATAGTAATAATGTATTTATACAATTTTACCTCTACATTTTTTACTTATTTCAGTTGGTGGTCTCCGACATTGGTTATCAAGACATAAGCTATTTTCTATATTACTTGGCTATGGATTAATGCTGGCAACTATTGGTTTTGCTAATAATCAACCCATACATTACTATTATAAAATATTACTCAAGAAATTGGATTTCGCATACAGTAATGTTAAAATATAATAAGCAGGTAGCTAGCTACCTATTGTAAACAATAATATCCAGCTATTTATCTATTCTTTTAGTGAAACGCAGAATGCGTTTACTGTACTACGATTTTGTAAAATTTTAAATTTAAATTGTAATGTTTTATCAAATTATACTTACCTATTTAAATATACATATTTCATGGATATTATATTTTATTTTTCACAAATAAAGTAAATCAAATTTTTAATAAAAGTCTGTCATGTGGAATACGCTGATTTTAGAACAATAGTCCCCATCGTTACGGTGCTCTCGTCATGGACTAGAGCGTAATCATTGTACGATCTAATTTTTATTGTGTCGAATGTTCATCGAAATATAATGGAAAAGCACCAGTTTCAACTCATAAAGGTCCTGTGTACTAGTGTAGTTAGTACAAGTGTCACTGCGTTGTGTATATTAAAAGCAACTAAATTTACTTACTAATGTAATAATTTCTAAAGATTTTTTAATAAATTACCCTTTTGAATAAAAATATGGGATTTGTATTTATATGCTTATTTAACAATCTGCTCATAATATTATGGACTTTAACCATAACATACGTGTTAACTCAAGATCCCGTGGCAATTTTACCACAAGGCCGAATTGTTGGGGTAAGTAAGATCACTCTTTTCGTTATTAAAACTAGTTATATACATATAGGTATGCAATTTGGAATACTATGTTTTCAGATAAAAGTATATACAGAGGATGCGCCGACTCCTGTTGAAATATTTTTTGGAGTACCTTATGCCACTCCGCCTATAGGGAGATACAGGTTTTCTGTAAGTTTTCATTCGTTCTCAGAATATTGTTTGAGATTTACACAAAAGCACAAATTTTTGATCAAATTATGCAATTATTTATGAAATACTGGCTGTTTTTACACTACATTTTATTAGCTTTTTCCTTGTGCATCACTACATAAAGTTAAGACAAAATCTACCTATAAACCTACATATGTCAAATTTCATTCGAATCTATTCAGCCGTTCAAGCGTAACTGAGTAACAAACATTCAAACATCTAAATAGCCAAATATTTTTACAAATTTCCATGTTTATAATAGTTGGATTTATAATAAAAATTATTATGTTATTATATATTTATAGGCACCAGAACGTCATAATGGTTGGAGAAGAACATTTTTTGCACATCGCATTCCTCCACATTGTCCTCAATTTGGAGATAACGAGAGTGATAAGTTCAGTGAAGACTGTCTGTTCTTAAATATATGGACACCACGGGTTAGACTATTTATTACATATTTATGTTATTTAATATAAAATGGCTCGAATTATGACTCTAAAATCAAATATTTTCAGGTAGCGTGCAGATGGGAAGTCGCTGCCTGTAGTAATTATATTGTATAGTGAATCATGGATACAAGGAGGAATCTCATTGCCTTGTCAAGAATTGGCAGCGGAAGGCATTGTTGTTGTTACGGTTGCTTACCGGTTACATTTATTAAGTTTTTTTACACTAGGCTCTATATCCGCGCGTGGAAATCTCGCTCTTTTGGACCAGTATCTGGCTTTGCTATGGATACATGACAATATAGCAGCCTTCGGTGGTGACCCCACTGCGATCACTCTTATAGGACACTCTGCTGGCGCTGAAAGTGTTCTACATCACATTGCTTCACCTCGTACAGTTGGTAAAATGATTTTCTAAATACAAATACATAACTATTTATTTCGTCGTTAATACTAAAAAAAGGGAGTCATATATTTATTTAGACAGATGAAATCGAAATCATTTATTTTTTGTCGTATTTCGACACATATTTCGTTTTCTTCAGCAAAAACTTTGTTTCATAGACGATGCTAGTGATTTAGATTTTATCCCGTATTCTTTTGTACAAAAGTTGTTTGCTTGGGTACCTCCGTCCCATTCGTGTTTCAACCGTAAAGCAGTTGGGTTTGCATGGCTATGTTTCGGTTTGAAGGGTGGGATATGGCGTGAATTTACAGGGTACAGAGTAATAACACCTGAGTCCTCAGGAATGGCAACGCATGGGAAGTATCATGGGCGAAACAGTATACTCTGTTATGTCCATGGTACTACTCATGTCTACAGGCGACGGTTACCACTTTCCATCAGATGGGCCGTCACATTGTTTGCCATGCTAAGTTGTATAAAAAAAAATCTACTACTACTACTACTCTCTTTAATAATCTAGTCCGAAATACTCGCTCGAATATGGCTCTTTTACATTGTGCATTCTAAGAAAAATTAAACATTTCAAATACGTAAGGGACTACTCACACTTATTCAGCTCCATTCGCGTATCGCTGAACGATTTTAGTCACACATATACAGCTCTGTTTCTATCAGCCGCGTACAGCGTCGTAAGAATGAGAAAAGCCGTCATAGCGTGCTATCTCCGCTGAAACGTTTGTCTACTGCGTACGACGTTGAATATGCTGCATTTCGTAAAAATTAAATAATTATAATTACTATAAAATACGTCTGCATTCTTTAATCCTTGCGTACATATTGATTACGCAATAAATCAAATCAATCCAGAAACAATACAGGTCGCAACTTGTCGACAAGGAGTCGCGAAACATCCCTGTAAAGAGCTGTTTCGCCGTATTCGACGGTGAATGCGGCGGAACAGCGCTGAACGCTCTCTATAGCATTCGCTAAGTTCGATAAATACACATTTATCCTCATTTTATACTGAGTTGCCGTGAAAGCAGAATAGACGCGGAAAGCTGAATGGGTGCGTACACGTCTCCATACAAAATCGTTGTTTTCTATGGACAAAAATTGAATAGAGCTGAATTAGTGTTAGTAGTCCCTTACTTTGAAACATTAGCATACAGGTAGCGTTTAGGTAGAACACTACAATCATATGATCCAAAATTGAAGATGTTCAACATTACGCCTCTTTACACCAGACTAAATGAAGATAAGAAATTATATAAGAATCTAATCTAGTATTTTTGCACAAAATAATTCACTCAATTGTAGTATCCCCGGAGATGCTAGGCACATTGAATATAAATACCGTTTATAATTTGCGTAATCTAAAGACATTTAGTTTACAATCTCAAAATATTTGTGTATGACACTATCAGCCCTTGCTTAGCGTGTGTCGTCTATATAACCAGCTTTCTCTCCTAGATAAATCGAAAGATGAGTTAATGCCTGATATTTTTGACACCAGATCATCCATATACATAAAATTATTTAAAGATTATTGGTAAACAATTTAACGAGCACAGTTCCGCGAGAGTTGTCATAAATAATTATACATTTTGTTGATCTAAAGTACTATTATAATAATATATTTACTGCCGCTTGTATCTTTATATAAGTCCATTTTTTTACTAGCTTTTACCGCGGTTTTGCTCGTTTTTACATTGATTTCATTAAAATATCCTGGTTGTTGGAATATGTAGAGGTAAAATAATTAAGAAATATTTAAAAGGGCGGTAAAGAGGTTTCTTCAGGGTCGGCAACGCGCGCGTAATACATCTGGTATTACAGGCGTTCATAAGCTACGGTAACCACTTACCATCAAGTGGGCCGTATGCTTATTTGCCACCTCAGTGGTATAAAAAAATAAGAATCCCTAAGGGGAGCAATTTGAAAAAAGAAATGTGTATTAATTTTTAAGACAGTTACCAATTATTAAACCATTTTGAGACTAAACTTACTGACTGGCTTGAATTGTAAAATTTAAAATCAAACAGATAAGGAATAAATACATCAACAGGCACAAAATGTAACTAATCTACTAACATATGAATTATTCATTAACAGGTTTGTTTCAAAGAGCGATCATAATGTCACAAATGAATCCTTGGAAGGTGGTGGACGACAGACATAACGTAAATTCTAATGATGCTATACGAATATCTCGTGAAATCGCACGACGCTTAGGATGCGATAATAATTCAGATCAAGAAATACTAAATTGTATGCGAACACTTTCCATAACAGATATTGTAGCTCTTTATTCCGTAAGTTTGTTAATCATCAATTTCTTTACAGTCAGTTAAACAAAAAAACAGTCAATTACCTATTCGTTAATATTTATTGTTATGAATAGAATTCTAGTTGGAGCAAATATATGCAACCAGTATCTGACCAATTTTTGCCAGAGTCCGAACAGTATTTACCAACATCATTGCCAGCAGCTTTATCGGGTGTTAACCAACCCATCATGGAACTCGACCTACTTTTGGGAGCCACTGACCTTGAATTTATAAACTATAATGGTTTGTATTGCGCATATGATGAAATTTTTCCAAGGTCGTTGATTGATAAATAATGCCGTATCAAATTTATCTATCTTATTGCAGATGAAAACTACCGACAATTATTACGATTAAACTCATCGCAAATATCTGAATACATAGACAATAATGCTATACCAGATATATTACGAAAATTTTCTTTACACCAAACGGATGCCATAGCGCTGGTAATAAATTTTGTTATTTTATATTTTATTAATAATAAAATAATACCTAAATTATTAAGCACGTAAATGTGTGTCTACGCATAAGGTCGATACTGGTAATAATAATAACGTGCACAAAATCTGTGGGATCAATTTATAATATAATGTGTGGGCAGTATGATCAGCTTCTTAGTGGGTCGCCGTAGGATGCCCTTGTTCGTCCGCACGTCGACTGCTCGAACCTCGCCGTCTGGTCCAGGGTAGGTCGCCACCACCACGCCTCGCGGCCACGTGTTGCGAGGCAAGGTCCCATCAGCTATCAGGACCAGGTCGTCCATTTTGATGGCTCCGTGTGTAGCTCGGGGCTCCCGCCGGTGTTGCAACTCGGGTAGGTACTCCTTCACCCACCGGTTCCAGAAGCAGTCAGCTAGCCTCTGGCTGGCACGCCACTCCTTGTGTCCCGCCGCGTCGCTCTCTGTGAAGCTGCCTGGCAGTGGGACGCGCGATGGACCGCCCAATATGAAGTGATTGGGGGTTAGGGCGCTGTCGTCGTCTGCCGATGTTGACACGTGGGTTAGCGGTCGACTATTGAGGGTGTGCTCGACCTCGACCAGCAGAGTGTGGAGGACCTCTTCCTTGGGGGCCCGCTCGTTCAACGTAGCGGCTAGTGCGGTCTTCACGCTACGCACCAACCGTTCCCACGCACCTCCCATGAAGGGTGCGCTCGGGGGAATGTAGCGCCACCGGATGAAATGGACTGATGACTCTTCTTGGATGGCTTCCTCGGCTGCTTTCTTCAGTTCGACGTCAGCACCTCTGAGGTTGGTGCCTTGGTCGGACCATAGCTCAGTGGGACACCCTCTGCGGCTTATGAAGCGCCGCAGGGCCATTATGGCGGAGTCCGTGCTGAGGCTGCCGGCGATTTCTAGGTGGACTGCGCGCGTCGTTAGGCAGGTGAAGAGCACTCCGTATCGTTTCTGGTGAGTGCGGCCCACTGTCACGGTCATAGGCCCGAAGTAGTCTAGGCCGGTGAACGTGAACGGTCGTTGATGATGCGCCAGCCTGCTCTGTGGATGGTTGCCCGTTGATGGCTGCGCCGGTCTTGCTCTTCGTAGGCGGCACAGCTGACACCTCTTCAGTTCACTGCGGACGGCGTGTCGTAGGCGCAACACCCACAAGTGTTGTCGCACCTCGTTCGTGGTGATCTCGAAGCCGCCGTGGTGAAGTTTCCGATGCACCCATGCGATGTATAGGCGCACCCAGACGTGGTTTCCGTCGACGATGGGGGGCTCTCGTTGCTCGGCTGACAGATCGGCGGCGGCTGCTATTCTCGATCGAAGTCGCAGAATGTCGTCGTTGTCTATGACGACTGACAGCTGTATGAGTCGACTGGATGACGGCAGCTGTTTTCCATGTTTCAATGCTGCGATTTCGTTGCCGAACGCCTCTTGTTGCATCGCGCGAATCCATAGCCGTCGCGCGCGATCTAGGTAGTGTGTGTCTATGGGGATGAAACACACAGATGGACTATTGCTGTTCTTGATTTTCATCTTCGTCTTCTCTCTATCGACTTTCTTCGTGCGGGTCCAAGTGGGGTCGGCGCTCTCTTTCTTCTTGTTCCTCTTTCGGATGGCGGTACAGCGTTGACTGGTCGGTCGCAGGAGGTCGATGAACTGCAATACCCGTGCTGAACTGCGAACAAGTTTCAACCAATTAGAAAAACGTGACGGATCGGGTAATGCTATGGATAACTGCGTCGCGTTCTGTAGCTTGTGTACGCGTTCTTCTCCCGTTTCCACTTGACTATCGTCGCTCGTACTATCTTCACGCGGCCACTGCTCTTCATTTTTGTCGAAATTCCTTTCGACCGGTCGGAGACGTCGCATCGCTGATTCGTAGTTGTCCGGCGGCACAGGGTCGTCCTTCTTCCATAATAACCCCGTCTCGTATCCTCCCGCCGGTAACGGACGAGTTTTCTCTTCTAAAATGCGTAGGGCGCGACGTTCCTCTTCGTTGTAGGACCTCTTCGGTGCGATCCCCAGCGATTCGAGCGCGAAATGTTGCTTCATCATTTCTTCCATCGATTGTTCCTCTTCATGTGTCGTCACTATGTGGCTGATTCTGTGCACCTGCTGTCTTGTCCTGCCGCGACTCGTACCGTGCAGTACCCATCCCAGGTCGGTGAGTGATGCGACCGGCTGCGTGTCGGATCCTCTTCTGACTTCGTGGGCCAGCAGTAGGTGCCAGTTGTCTTGCCCCAGCAGTACCGTCGGTTTGCCCTCTTCATAGACCAATTCCCTCTCTATGTCTCGTAGATGTGGACAGCCCTTGATGACGCTGCGTGGTACCGACTGCGGTGATAACTGCAGTCTGTCCATCGTCCGTGCCCCCACTGTGTATTCTTGTGAATTCCGCCCGCGGATCTTGAAGTGAACACGCGTCGATTGAGCTGCGTTGATCCGTGCCCCGGCCACACCTTCCATGTAGAATGGTGCGGGGGGACCCGTAGCACCGATTCGCTCCGCCACCGCCGTCTCGATGATGGTGCAAGTCGACCCGTCGTCCAGTAGCGCGTAGGTGTCGCACGTTCCCGTGGGACCGGTGACTCGTATCGGCAGGATCTTCAGGAACGCGATCTTGTCGTTTCCCCTTGCCGATGCGGCGACTGCGGCGGACTTGTCCTCGACGACGTGTGTCGTTACTTCATTCTCCGGCTGTTGTCGCGTGGTGTGCAGCAGAGGGTGATGAGTCTGCATGCACTCATCCACTCCACATCTCTTGCTTTTGCAGGCGTGGCGAAATCTTCTTACTTTGAGGCAGCGGAAACACAGCCTATGAGTCTTCGCTAACTCCCATCTCGCCGATGTGTCTGCTTCCTTCATCGTCTTGCAGTCCGATGGAGCGTGTCCCTCTCGTCGACACATCGGGCAAGGTGGTGTAGCGGGTTTCTCCTGCGTCGCGTATGTCTTCGCCGTCTTCCTAGGAGCGGACTCCCGCCGGTCTTCGGACGGTATCTCCTCGGCGGGGGCGAAGTTTCCACATCGTGCGGCGGTCCTTTGCAGGAACTGAGAGAGTGTTATGAGGTCCGGTTGTCCCTCCGGTTGGTCGTTGGCGAAATCGTAGTACTTGAAGCGTAGTACCGACGGCATCTTCTCTGTGACGTTTCTCACTATTTCTTCGTTGTAGAGGTAGTGGCTCTTGTTCAGCGCTCGTATCGTGGCGACGACGTTCTGCACCTTGCTTGCGAAGAGGCAGACGTCTCTTGCGTTGTCCGAGAGTCGTGGTAGCGCGCGGAGTTTGTTCAGTTCGGCTGTGACGAGTGCTCCAGGGCGGCCGAACCTCGCGGCTAACATCTTCATTACTTCTTCTGCGGTCGTAGACCCGACGAATAGGGAGCGTGCCGCGTCCTTTGCGGCCCCCTTCAAACTTCTGCGCAGTCTTGCTAGGTTCTCTTGTTCTGTGAGTTGACTTGCGCTCTCTTCATAGGCCATCTTCCATGGTAACCACTCGCTCGACGATCCATTGAAGACTGGCAACTCGGTGACTCTTGACGCTGTGGAGGGCAGTATGTTGCGAGCGGCCATCTGCATGGCGATCGCAAACTCATTACAATCGATGCCCACCTTCAGCACCGGTTCTTCCTTCTTCATCGACTGCATCGCTGCTGCTATCGTAGGCATGGCGGCATGTGGGTCAACGTGGCGTGCGTGGTCCCGGTGAAGTGCGTCGCTGCTCGGCTGTGGCGGCGGCGCTCTCGAATCCTCTTCAACGGGTCTCGATGGGACGAACCCCTGACGCTTGCCGGTGACTTCTTCTATCTCTGGTACATGCGGCTCCATCGTGAGTGCTAGCGTGCTTCGATGAACCCAATCCGACGTTCGTTCTCTTCTGACGGTAGCGTCGTCGTCTTCTATTTCCTCGTCGTCCTCTGATTCGGCTTCCAGGGCGGCGACACGTGCAGCAGCCAATTCCACCTCCTTTCGAAGTAGCTCCTCCCGTGCCTTGGCCAGAGCCTTCTTCTTCTACGAGGCCGTGGTGCGAACCGTGCGTGCCGTGCCGTGCTTCGGTTCCTTCTTCCTTGCTGTCTCCTCTGTCGTTCCTGTAGCTTCGGTAGTCTCCGTGGCTCCTGTGGTCGTCGTATCGCCGGACGTGTTCGTAGTCGATGTGGTGGCGGCGGTAGACGACGTGGCAGCGACAGAAGGCATTCTGACAGCCGCAGACGACGTGGTGGCAGCAACGGACGGCGTGGCAGCGACGGACAGCGTTCCGGCGGCCGTAGTCGACGTGGTGGCGGCGGACGTTGTGGCTTCGGTGACGGCGATTTTTTGTTGCGACGACTTCATGTTTCTCGTAGTCGGCATTTCAGCGATCCGGCTTCAGAATGGTCTTCCTCCAGCGATCCGGCTTCTTGATGTACCAACGGTGTTCCTCCAGCAATCCGGCTCGAAGGACCACGATGAGCGGTGTGGACTGCCGCACGGTGAGCGTGGACTGTAGGGGCGTTGGTTCAGGCTGGAGTGAAACACAGGGATTACTATTCTGAAGCCTCCGGTACCGTCTGAAGAGAGTATTTTTTCTTCTTGTCCTATTTCTTCTCGAGTGTAGTGTGTCGCTGCCCGGAAGCGAATGCCGCTCGACGGGAGGCGGCCTATCTTTATACCCGCCCGCTCGCACGATAACGTTTCCAACTCGCGTTAGCGAATCTGCGCGAGCGGGACGGGGCGAGAATGAACGAGACGCGTGTCTCTTCAGATCGGTACTCTATAGCGTTTATTTATGTATTGCAATTTACAATTTCTTAATTCTATTTATTGTTACAATTTCTATTTGTATTCGTAGGTAATAATGACAACACACAAAGAAATACTTTATTTAACTTACACTATCTTAAATCTATGCAAATCTATATAAAATAACAGAATACAAAACGATTAACTAGGACTTAACAACTATAAATTACGATATATACAAATAATGTCGCGAACATAATGAAAGTACTTAATTTCTTTTTTTGTTTACACTAATTATTAATATTATTAGTATTATACATTATAGATGAATTCACCAATATCATGAAATTGAGAGTTTTTATAATTCAATTGACAACGGCAAACAAACTGACAACGCACCTGACGTAAAGAGGTAAACTATCATCTATAGGCATGAACATCATCTCGTATATTGTGACGCGTATAGTACCACTCATGCGGTGCTTTTTCTATGGATTATGGTGTTATTCTGCTTAGCGCGGTAATATGTATCTAACTAATTTATTTAAACATTGTACTCAATTATAATAATAATAATAATACCCTTAATAACAATCTTACCATATAGTTATAATAATTTAGTTATTTGTTTGACACCGGTACGTGAAGATTGTCTTGCTGTCCAGCATAGGCCTCCCCTAGAGTTCGCCATTGAATGCGATTCTGCGCTTGTCTTTTCCAGGTGTGTCCCGCTATTTTTTTGATATCGTCTTCCCATCTACGACGCTGTCTCCTTTTTTTTTCTTTTATATTGTCTCGGACACCACTCTGTAATATCCTTAGACCATTTTTCTTTATTTATTCTAACTATATGTCCTGCCCACCTCCATTTTAGTTTCTTGATACAGTAAGTAACATCCGTGAATTCAGTTTTCTTCCTTATAGTGTCCAGTTTTACTTTATCTTTTAATTTGATGTTCAGTATACTTCGTTCCATACTGTGTTGGCAAGTTTCTAACTTATGTATGTTATGATTAGTTAAGCTCCAGGTTTGGCATCCATATGTCATAACAGGCAAAATACAAGAATTAAATATTTTGCTCTTCGCTTTCAGTGGTATGAGAGGGTTTTTCATTACCTCCTTAAGAGACCAGTATCTTTTCCATGCCAGCGTAACTCTGTTGTTAATTTCTTTTGTTGTTAGGTCTTTTGGAGATATGATCTGACCGAGATATGTGTATTCCTCCACATATTCCACTGTTTTACCGTTAACCGTTATAGGGATGCTTTCCGAATTTGACATTATTTTGGTTTTCGTAGTGTTCATTGATAGCCCTACTTTATCACTTTCATGCACCAGTTGGTCCAACATCTTTTGTAAACTTTTTGGATCAACGGAAATCAATATTAGATCATCTGCAAACCTTAAGTGGTTTAATCGCACACCGTTGATAATCAAACCGTAGTTTTCCCAGTCCAGGCATCTAAACACGTGTTCGAGAACAGCTGAGAATAGTTTGGGTGACAAAGGATCATCACCTCTTTTTATCGGAAAAGATTCACCATCTCTTTCTGTTCTTATTTTTACTTTCATGTTCTTATATATATTGATGATCAGTCGAATATACTTTTTCTCCACTCCTTGTGTTTCTAGAGCTTCCCAAATTTTTATGTGTTTTAAGGAATCGAATGCTTTATTATAATCTACGAACGCAAGTTAAAAGGTAATATTATATTCACTGCATTTCTGGATTACTTGTTTTATAGTGTGAATATGATCTATTGTTGAGTACTCAATTATAACCATACCAGAAATTAATATTTTATTACTGATACTATGTCATACCACGTAATCAATGTACTGTAAAATATGTTTCTTGGGGAAAGTTGTTCACTTTAATTTTTTATGGTGACTCAACCTTGGTGACCCAAAGTGAAACCATGTCGGCATAAGTTACTACGGCTCTGTAAAGTATACGCTTAGATATATACGAATACTTTACCAAAAACTGATTTTAAATTTTTAAACATTTTTTAAACCAGTTGACACATGCAGTTCGCTGGGAATATTGGGAAAAATACACTAAAAATGACAATGTAATGGATTCTCTTCTGGCATTAGAAAAGTTAGCTCGAATCGAATCTACAGCCAAATGGGACGCAGGAAATGCATTAGTCGCAGCAAGACTAGCGCGACGAGTATCACGTCTCTATGTATACCGATATTCACAATCATCTAGCATTGATTTACAAGGTCAACAATTGAATTTTACAGGTAGGTTATCTATGGATAATTTAAAATTATACACTAATATAAAAATTACTTTATATTAACCGAGTAAAAAAGTTTCATTAGGTACATAATTGTTGTATTTTTTTTCAGGTGCAATCCATGGAACAGATTTAATTGCTCTTTTGGGCGACGCTTTAATGCTGCAAATAGGTCGTCGTCGTAGTACACCAAATGAAAAACTAGTATCATCAATATTTCGTCAATATATTGGAAACTTCATTAAATATGGGTAAGCAAGGCGATTTATCTTAATGATATATCAATTAACGGTATTTAGGTACTTACTGACCTGGTAATGTTGCTGTCCCGCTACTACCATTTTCTTATCGGGGTAAAAATTATTTATTCTATACTAGATATATTTGTATAGGTATTTATATCAAATTGAAGCAAACAATACATATTTACAAAATTCCATTGAAATCACTTGAGTGGTTTCGAAGACTACTTTAAACTAATATCATGACATGGAAATTTTATTTATTTAAGCCATTCAGACGTATAAATGAAAAACGAAAACTATTAACAAGAATTCTATAGTCTAAAGTTATAATAACGGTGTAAAATTATTAAACGATACTTAAGAATGTAATCAAATTCTAGATCTCCTGGAATAGAAAATGAATGGAAACGTTACAAAGTTGGTGACGCTCAAATTTATGATATACAACATAGTGAGAATAATAATGACAAATTCAGAGCTAAAAAAGATGGAACTTTTTGGCTACAATATTTGCCACAACTTTATAATCTTCGATCAATCTCTGAACACACAGAACAGTTAACATCAGAGAAAGGTTTGTAGAAATTAAATTATATCTACGAATAATGTGTGATTATATTTAACTACTCTTTACTCTCCATATCCACGATTAAGAATAATTGTTTGTATTTATCACCACACCTTTATCTTTATCGTAAGAAACGAATGAAAGAAAAGGCATAACATTATATTCTCATGTAAGAGAAGGAAAAAATTAATTGAAATAAAATTTTATTCCTAAATCAAGCGGCTGATCCGACGTCATTTCATTGATCACGCCGTTGCCTACCTGGTACCCCTGGGCAAATTTTTGATAGCGTCCCACTGATAACAAAAAAAAGTATATTACCTGTCCTGTATGTTAACGGTGCTAGTCGGCTTCCCTGACTGACGACGATAAAAAAGGATACGAACTGTTCACTTCAAAGTTGAATTTGAAGCAGTCCTTTTGAACCTCTATGCCTTTTTGCATTATTTTTCCTAATCGTAATTTCATAAACCTACATACTTACACAATACACAATTCAAACAGGTTATGGTAACCTTGAAGAAATAAGCGATAATAATAATAATAATATTTTTATCATTGGAATATGTAGAGGTAGAGGGAAAAATAAATACCCAATTTATTCTTATGGTTTTACCCATGAGCTTTATCGTTTACTAGCAAGTATATTCTTAAATTTACTTATGTCTGCAATTTGTCTGATTTCTAGGTGAAACCAGATTACGTGGAGGTGTCTTTGCTATGTGTGGTGTTTCTGTAGTCTTGCTAATACTGCTATGCGCCTGTGTTATTTTGCTGCGGAAGGAACGTACACAACGTTCGTCTATTGCTGATGAAAGTCATCGATGATTAGTAAAATATGTTATTTTTCATATGTATACTTTTATCTTATTATATTATTAATGCGTTTTTAATGTGTTAATGATTATCTATACCTACATACCTACTTATTAAGGAATTGCCGAATATTCGTAGTCTTTTCTATACCATGAATATTCAAGAGAAAAAAAATATTCTGCTATATTTAACGTATTCTGTATTTTTGGTACATTTTGTACGAGATTTGTACATTATTAGGTATTATTAGTAATTTATTCTCTTAAAATACATCCATAACTACACTTTTAAGTTCTTACAGACATTGTTTTTCGACTTTCATTTAATTACTCTTAAGCGCACAAATATAATCAATTCTATCCGTAGTACAGTAAAGTAGTAAACAATAAATAAAACAAAAATCTCGTGCAAATCGAAATATGTCGCGTTACTAACGTGAAATCGTAACGCAAAGATTTCATGAGGAAGATATTGTTTGTAACAGAAGCTAGCGACCACGTTGCTAGCATGTACATGACGTACTTGCATTTGACCGATTTTTTTGAATATTACGCAATATTATTATTTAATATAGGTACTTATATTAAATACCTACCTGTAAGGGAATTGTTAGTAATGTTACATATAATACAAGCGACCCCACATTAACTAAAAACTAAATTACGTTTCAACATGTAAAAATAATCATAATTTGTTCATACTTCCACTGAATCCTTTGCGAGCTTCTATTGTGTTAATGACCACTTGTCTACCTCGCTTTAAATTGTATGTTACTAAAAAAGTGCATAAGGACATTATACGGTTTACCACTATACGCATCACACTGAACACGTTTCAAAGAACTTGGCCTATTAACACTTCCATCGTTATACATATATGAACTAGGTTTTTGTAGAGCAAAATCATAGATATATAATAATGAAGAAGATAAAGCATAAGTTGAAAGTATGAGTAAGATATTTCTCTTTTGCTCGTTCCTACAGTAAAATAAATGTTTAAGTACCGTCTTTTTTATTTTCATTACTACAAGTGTAGAAAAAAGGAAATGAAAATTGTAAAGTGCCTATTTGTGTAAAAGCGTAATTTATAGAAATATACCAGATTGAACGGCATGTAAACATCATTTTTTTATGTCAACGTATCATGAATTATAGAAATATTGAAAAAAATACGTATTGCTAGAGTGTGTATTTGCAAATAATATTTAGGTAATTCTCTGAAACAGCATATTATTATAAAGAAACTTTGAAATAAAATGTAAAATTATTGTTTTTATGATTTACAATAAATATAGGATATGATTTCATGTACATTCTTTTGTAGGACGGGTGGGGGCCGCATTCAGGTCTTTCCCATTCTCGATAATGCGTCCATTGCGACATTTTTTGAATCATATCTACGTTCAATGTCAAAGTCGTATTCCTTTAAACATGATTTAAACTGGTCAATCTATTATTAGGTTCTTTGTTACTAAATATATAAACAGGTAGTTTAAAATTTGTTTGAATTGCCTAAAATGCTTGATAGTCCACACAATAGTTAGCACTTCTTTTTTTTATACCACTGAGGTGCCAAACAAGCATACGGCCCACCTGATGGTAAGCGGTTACCGTAGCCTATGAACGCCTGCAATACCAAACTTCTTTTTAAATTGCAGGATACTTTGATTCTGCCTTATTTAATTATATTTTCCAAAACTTCTGTCTGAAGTTTATAAGTACCATTGCGAATAATTCGCACATTATAAATAGGCTCTCTAATTATTCTTTTTAACAAATTGAATGACTCCTGACTCTCCTTTATCCATTAAAAAACAACATTCTTTTTACATAACTGACTCAATTGATAAAGAACGGCAAATATTTTTTTTACATATTGACGATAATTGTTTACGAGTGCTATAAATTTCTTGACTTATCTGCTGACTCTGGCACAGGATACTTCTAAATCGCTTCAATACTATTTTTATTCGGAGGAGTAATATAATTTACATTATTCTCACTTTTCTCGAAGGGTACACAAATTCTACCAATTGGCTTGTGGGGTTTAACTCTCAAGTATCCCGATTCGTATTTAAATTCCTTTAATAAACCTTCATCCAATATATCATGGGAACTGTACTTTAACTCTTTAAATACATAAAAAATATAAATACATAAAATATAATTATCTCATTGTTTAAACAATTATATCTCACAGTATTATTTGTATTAAAGGCTAAAATCTTTATATCCGTATTCTTATGACACAAATTATTTTAAAACATTTTCTTGCTGTTTTTAGTATCAGCTGATGCTTCAACGTAATTTATATATTTGTTTTTATTAATTGTACGACCTTCCTTATTATACATTACTTGATTTTGCTGACCGCGCATATTATAATTATTACTTTGCGCTTGACCTTGTTTTCTATTAGGGTCATAATATCTTGCAATATCATTTTTCTTTTAAATAAATTTATCTGTTTTGAAATTAAAACACGCTTATGAGGCCTACGGAATTAATTCTTCTTATTCTTTCACTAACATAATAGCTTAACATATATTGCGGATACAAGGCACTTAAGTGTTCCCCTGAAATTGGCAATTGGGCAAAGCCAAATGACAAAGTTGAAGACCGACACCGGTAATATAATTTCCGTCGCATTTGAGATTTTGAGTGACATTAAGAAGTTCTATGGACAGCAGCGAATAACGACCAAAGAGCTAAAGCCATCGGACACTATACCGATGATATCCCGGACATCGGTTTATAAGAAATTGAAATGGCTCTAAAACAGCTTAAAAACAGCAAGGCACCTGGGGAGGACGGAATTACAGCAGAGCTTCTGAGAGCGGGTGGAAAACCGGTACTTGTAGTCCTTCAGAAGCAATGTAATTTCGTCATCCATAACGATGTTACGCCAGAGGCATGAAGCAGAAGTGCGGTGATCCTCTACTTCAAGAAGGGTGACAATACCCTATTGAAGAACTATACACCGATATCCCTTCTGTATCGCGTCTACATATTGTTTTCGAGAGTCTTGACCAATCGTCTTACGCGCAAACTCGACGACTTCCAGCCACCCGAACAAGCTGGCTTCCGAAAAGGTCTTAGCACAATAAACCACATACATTTTTTTATGCTATTTATATTGCAGTTCTTGAATGGCGACCGCGTACGGGTAAACGTAGTGTAGGACGACCCCCCACTATATGGAGTGAAATGCATTGCAGGGAGTCAGTGGATGCAGGTGGTTTAGGATCGTTCTTTATGGCAGTCTATGGGGGAGGCTTATGTCCAGCAGTGGACGGATAATGGCTGAAATTATGATGATATGTGAGATTTTGCGAAAAATTATATACATATACAACATATTATCATTTAATTCATATGCAAATTGCCTAATTGCAATTTTTTTATTAATTGGCAATAAAATATCATATGTAGCATGAGGCCTCCAGCCTGAACAGTTGTCAATTCCATTGCCAAATTTTAAAATCGACCTATTATCTGACTTATATTTTTGTAATTAGGATAAGATACAGACATATGACTTCTTTGGTAACAATCATTTCTTAATATCGTCTATTAATTTACCAATGGTGTCATAATTTGGTTTTAATTTTATCTTGGCACCTTAGCTAGTTTTAGTTTAGCTAATTTACCTTAGTTAGTTGGCAATTAGCTAGTTTTTAAAACAAAACAGCAGTACCCATCTGCGGAGTTAGTGGTACTTGGAGACTTTAATGTTCACCACTCCGAAAGGCTTCGTTCTCGGTCCACTGACTGCGCGGGGAAAGCTGCTCATGAATTTGCTCTGACTTATGGATTCTCTCAGCTGGTTCAGTCTACAACGAGAACACCAGATAGAACCATACAAGCTCCTTACTGGACCTTTTGTTAACAACACGCCCAGATGGATATATTGTCAGAGTGAATGCGCCAATTGCTTAAACTATAGGCCGATTGCGATCGCCTCCCTTCTTTCTAAGGTGATGGAGCGTATAATTAACGCACAGTTATTGAGATACCTAGAGGATCATGATTTATTGAGTGACCGCCAATACAGCTTTCGCCATAGTTGCTCAACTGGTGACCTTTTAGTATATCTTACGCACCGATGGGCATCAGCCATTGAGAGTCAATATGATGCTCATGTCCACTTTCTACCATCGTACGGCTCGCCATCAACAGGGAGTTCTTCCTTATATCATACAGCCTCAATGGTCGCGTACAGCGCGATTTCAGAAATGTTTCCTCCTACGAACACTCAGGTTATGGAATGAGCTCCCTGCCGAGGTTTTTCCAAGAACCTACAGCATAAGGTTCTTCAAAAGGGGGGTAAAGAGGTTTCTTCAGGGTTGGCAACGCACGCGTAATACCTCTGGTATTGCAGGGGTTCATAGGCTACGGTAACCATTAACTATCAGGTGAGCCGTATGCTTGTTTGCCACCTCAGTGGTATAAAAGAAATATAAACATTGTAAGGGAAATGTTTTAAGCATATTTTCAGGTGAAGCATAAAATTGTACATATTTTTTTTCTGTTTTATATTACATTCAAGTAAAATACATTCAATGCTAACTACATTCACTTAAAACCAATTCCATTTCATTATGAAAAAAATATTAGAAATTATTTTGTTTATACTCTTGGTAAAACAGCTTAGAGCATATATTGTGCAAGTTATCATCCTATTGTCACTCTTGCTCTATCATAAAGGTTATCGTGTAATTCCTTTCTTTTACATTGCCAATTCTATATACTTCACAATCTGATGTACTGTATTACTCTGTATTTTCCTTTTTACATACTATACATTCTTCTTTTACAAGACTTCATATTCTAAAATTTTATAAACGCTCTGCTTAAGAATTAAAGAGCTCTAGACCAGCAGTTTTATTACATTCTCTTTCTCCGGCTATGGATAGAACGATTACCTACTACTCTGTGAAGTAGTGACAACTAGTATATCAGGCTAATAATAATCTGTCAGTCAATGTGTAAAAATAATTTTATTCTGAATCTTTGAATAGTCCTTAGTCTAAGGACAATTGTAATGGTTGACTAAGAACAAGGAATTACATAGAAGGAAGGATAAAATTGACAATTCATAGCAGGCTAGTGTATAGAAAATGTTATACGGCCGTATAACCCTACCAAATTCATATACAACCTGCTTGCGTACTTTCTACATAAATGTGTCAAATATATAATCTAGTAATGTAAAATTTGTCATTGATAAATCAAACACTTTCTATACACTAGCTAGCTATGAATTGAGAAAAATGACAACCGATGGTATATCTTTCATCCTCTTTTTACTAATTATATTTGCATAAGAAGAAAGGAGGCAACCATATTATTTACAGTTTTTATTTTATCAGTCCTTCTATGTAATTCCTTGTTCTTAGATTCAAAATTTTTTATGCTGTTTTTAGACATAGTCTCTCTAATCTGTGGTGTTAATTGTTGTGAAATATAATTGTTTTCTACTTGCCATAATTTTGTATTTTTCAGTTTATTATAATTGTAAAATACCAAAATATCGTCTTTATTAATCGTTTTCTAATCAACAATTAATTCTGCATCATATAACATTAAGAGATTATAGATTCTTTTCCGGGACAATATGGCTTTAGCACTTCAGAGACGCGCAAATGTAAGTTTATTAATTTAAAAGTTCTTCTGATTTTTACTAAACTTGTGAGCGTTTCGGTCCTCTACACATACAAGCAGTCTATACTATACTAATAACCTAGCCCTGAAACTTTTAGATAAAAGTGATAATATGTTCCATCTGAAAAGGTCATCCCCTGCTAAAGGATAACTACTTATAGACACAATGTATGTGATATCACATTAGTTGATGAGGAAATCCCAAAAGCTATATATTATATCATAAACATATAGCTAGTAAGAAGGCTGATTGCAAATAGACAACTATTAAGATTAAAAAGTTATATTTAAGATATTATTTAATACATTAAATTAATTTGAAATCAATAGGTATACATTAGCAAGTTGAGATCTCTCTTTTGTGACTTTTGTATAACACCCCTTTCCTCTCACTGTCTTCTCAAACATTTGCAGTTTTTAATTTGTATTATACATAAATTGATAATAATTATATTTTTTACTATATAAACCTACTAACTCTATTGTTTTACGGCAGGTTCGGCTTCCTCCTGAAGTGAATAGAATATTATACGTCAGAAACTTGCCATACAAAATATCAGCAGAAGAAATGTATGATATATTTGGAAAATATGGAGCAATAAGGCAAATTCGTGTGTAAGTAATCTATAATTAACCCCTTGAATGTTTATGCATCATATGCTGTACCATATAAAATTGTGGTACCGAGCGCTAATGCAACAGCATCTGTTGCATAACTCAAATTTGCAGCGTTGTTTTGTTAAATTTATGTAGGTAATAAACCCATTTATCTATTACCTCTGATTGAAATTTGGTAATTTCAAAAATCACTAATGCAGTGGGTGTAGCGAGCTAGCCCACTGCTACAGCACAGTTAGTGTATAATAATAAAATCACAAAAAACCAACAGAATTCATTCATTTCTGGTCATAGTGATCAGGACAGTAAAATAAGATAGAAAAAATTTGACTTTTCTTTAAAATAAAGATAACATAGGTACTACTTTTAATATATATTTTGTTTAATATTTTTTTAGGATGGCCATAAGTTGAACTATAAGACGTTTCAAGGTTATCCATTCATTACCAGACACCCTGTATATAGATATCTATTAGTTATTATGATTGATACTACAATTCATAATTTCTTATTCTGAGCTATAATTGTTGTTAAAAAACTGGATTCCATAAAGTTTGTTTTTAGAGATTTTTTATCTCTCAATTGGAAACTTTAATAACTAAATCAGTTTTAAATTGTACAAATTAAGCTCTTTCATATGATACCCCTCTCAGTAAATTTTGAAATTTTGAGTACTCGTTTTGGAACCTGTAGCAAAGATATTTCTATTCTAATATTGATCTTACAGTTTCCTTAGTTATGTCCAAAATTAAAATTTTAATTTGATATCACAATATCTTTATTGTGTGGACTAATATGAACTAATTTTCTTATAGATTTAAGTCAAAATTTTTATAATTTTAATTTATGGTAGTATATAAAACAGTAATTTCATAAAGAGAGAAATTTAGCTAAATAACACCTTAAAATTGACCCCATAATCTAAAACTATTCCAAATTTATAGGATTATAAGTGCTGTGATAGATGGAAGGATAGACTGAGTCTAAGTTTATCATACCTTCCTTGCACCATAAGGGTCTTTTTTTGTATCTTTTTGGTGTAAAGTATCCTAAAAATGTTACTTCAGTGAAATGTAAAAAAATCCATATTTAATAATTATTGTAATAAGGGCTGCCCTACCCGATATCACATATTTAAAATTTACTTATTCAGTCAATTTTAAAATAACATTTACTTCGGCACAAAATTATTCATACAAAATATTTTTACATTACCTGTGTTAGGAATCACTTTACTAATTATATCTCTTTTAAAAATTATTCACTACTCTATCTTCATATTTTTTTATCATATATGTATATTGTATATCTTATATTATGTTATTTTATTCCAGAGGAAATACACCAGAAACTAGAGGTACTGCGTTTGTAGTTTACGAAGATATATTTGATGCCAAAAATGCTTGTGACCATTTGTCAGGTTTCAATGTATGTAACAGATATTTAGTTGTATTGTATTATAGATCTAATAAAGCTTTCAAGGGAATAGATATTGAAAAGAAACAAGAAGAATTAGACACATTGAAGAAAAAATATGGTATATCCACTGATGAACTACGCAAATAGATAAAGAAAATAAAATGTGTACAGAATTCAAAACCTGTATCATTTCGTTTTTATCCCATTGTCCAAAAAAGAAAGTTATAGTTTTTTTAATGCAATGAAAATGGAACGGTAACGGCCAGAATTATCGGTATACACTGACGGGTAGCAGTGACGTATGTATGATAGGTAGGTAAGGATGAACTCAAGTTAGTTGATGTGCTGTTACAGGTACAGTATTAAGGTGTCATAAGTTTAATGAGTCTATGTGTAGCATAGCTGCCAAATAGATCAACCGATTTTGTTGCTGTTTTGTTTGAAAGCTGATGTGATCACAATGGTTCTTACTATAATTCATGTAATTATGTTAAGGGGTTTTAAGACTATATTCATTCCTTTTCCATTTGACGAAGGGATTACACCCGCTTACATATGCTTAAAATCGTCTAAATCAGTAGGTGACACTGATGATATCAGTAGGTGATATTGATATTCTTAGTACTGATAATGATCGGGGCCTTTACTTTTTATAGGTATCGGAGGTTTTTAAATTTTTTATAATTTTGTAGTCTTAAAATGAAGTTACTAATTGGTAATAACAGGTAAACACTGGCCTGTCTCGAACTTGGAATCAGGGGGCCTACCATGAAATGAAATTCCGAATTTTCGGGCTCAATTTCGTGTTTTTGTTCGTACCTAAATCGATCCAGTAAATGGAGCTTAACGTTTCGTTCATCATAAATCCTATCCTAATAGTCCAGAGGAACGATATTTTAATATTTTTAATGAATTTAGGCGGCATGTGTTATGTAATTTTCACATCAAATTTCTATTTCGTTCGTCCCCGAAATTTCGGAAAATATTTTATGGTAGGCCCTCAGGGGTCGAGGTCAGATTATTAAAAATGCAAATTGGAAAAATGTTCTTTAAATTGTATGGTTGCCACTAATAGAGATCGGTCATTCTATTTTCGATGGTTTTAGTACCAGCTTTCTAAAAAGGGGGCGGCCAGTCTTACAAATTATGATTATTCACTAGTTTTTCTCCGCAACATCGCGTGACCTGGATATACTGACCAAAATAAAAAGTAGTCTATATCTTTCACTTCTTGGGATTCTCAGTCTCCATCACTAACAATCCCTTTCCCCCTGCAAAGAAGGGTTAAGGCGTTATTTATTTATTTATGTTATGAAGTAACAAACTCACTTTCGCTTTTATAATATTAGTAATGATGTTATGAGATATAGGCGAGACGCTTAGGCCTTTTTTCGTTATTAATCATGGAAATGGGTGAACTCACGGCATAAATATAGAGCGTGGTGTGGGCTACTTCGAATTGGATGTTTTATCAAATCTGTTTTTTTCGGTTGATTGGAAAGGCGCCGTCAAAAACATGCCTAAGGGCGCCATGTACACCAAGGCCGGTCCTAAGTAGTAATCGCATTGACATATTTATTACATTCATTAGATAAATTAATATCTAACTCGTTCCAAAGGTTGTTCTTAATTTTATTGCGTTACCATACTTACGCAGGTACTGTTCTTGTTAGGAAATGAAAGCACCTTTATTACTACGTATTTCCTTAATTTTTCCTTAGTTACTGGTAAAAAAAAAACGAACGCAATGGTAACCTCGCCTGCGCTACCGGTATAAAAAGACGTAGCACCACTGAGGAATGATAGGTAAGCATGAAAGCATTGACCATGATGGTTTCCAGGAGGACTCGCTTGAAGATAGGACTGACAGGATATGGGAAGCGACGGTAATCTTCAGATTTGAGTATATAAACAAAATCTTCGAGTATTATTGTGTTTATTATGTGCATCAGGAAATAATATTAAAAACTGCTTTCTAATGACAACGTCAAGGGCGTTCATAAATTTTGCTTACCGAAATGCGGTAACGTCGTCAAAATTATCTCTCAACTTTCAAAAATGATTAACATTTTATATCGCTAGCAGAGAACTTTTTAAATAATCATTCAGAAACATTGAAAAATGTTCAATTGTTTTTGAAAATTAGAAAATAATTGCAACGTTGCCTTATATCTATTAAACTTCCACATTAAGTTAACTCATATACTAATAACATATAATTCCAATACTAATCACACACAACTGAGATTATTTGCTGTTTGAATACGCAAATACGATGAATCTATTATAAATATTAAGTAGGCCAATTATAAAGTAGGCTAATGATTGTAAAAATCGGACTCATATAATTATGTTACAATGGTATATAAGCAATCACAATGCATGTATTAAATGTAATTTAGTATATTTTGCGAGTACTATTAAAATATGGAATGAAAATCAATCATAATTTAGTGTGTAATTATAGAATTATTCTATGTTTACTTAGTACATTTTGTCACATTAGAAAGTTGTGCAAACACTAGTTATAAAATCAATCTTTCGAAGAAAAGCAATCTATGTCCACACTGACAAGTGTTACAAAAGAAATAAATGATGACATAAAATATTAGAAGTCATAATATTAATTTACGTTTACTTAATACTAGTGAATGCACATCTTTAGTAAAAATGTTTGTTATGAAATATAAAACTCTATATTATTGAGAAAAGATACACGCACATAATATTTATTGAATACATTCCAACGTCTAGTTTCATTATATGTCTGATCCGATACAATGTGTACTATTCTTAAGTTTAAAAAAAAATAGTTTTTTTTTTTCAACTTGTAATAAATAAACAGTAAGATCAGTTATAATTATATCTATGTAATAACATAACAAGAAACCTACGGACATACACTTGTTTTTGTTTGTTTTATTACATTTTTATAACCATAAATAAGCAAATATAACAATAATGGAATACACAACGGCTATTAGCAAGGAGTAAAATTTATGAAGCAGTTGATTCAAGACGTGCTCTACCTTCGGCTACTAACTGTTTATTCAGATATATGTCTTCATCTGTGGAAGTGTCTATAAGATCAAGAGTAAGTAATGGCTCTGTGGCATTTAAAGGGTCCTTGCCAACATCTTTACAGATACCTACAAATTGCTGTTCAACACACAGTTCTTGGAATCTAATACAGTCTTCTACACTCCAATCTTGATGGAGAGGCCAGACATCTGAAAAAGAACATCAATCTTTAGAAACATTCAACAAACTATTATAAATCAACTAGCTGACTCGGTAAACGTTGTTTTACCATATAAATTATTTCTAGAACTATACATGAAAATATATCGTACCTACTACAATTATTATATTCGATTGTCATATTACAACCCTATTGCGGCATATAAAAATTGCGATTAAACAACAGGAGTTGATCGTAAAAGCATGAAAATTTTAATTTGTAAGTATTTTTCAATGCTAAATCATAATAAAATAAAAATAATTTTTGAAAAAATAAGAAGAAAATATTTAGGGGTGGGTCACCCCTATCATTGAGGGGTATGAAAAATAGATGTGGGCCGATTCTCAGACCTACCAAATATGCACACAAAATTTCATAAAAATCGGTAAAGCCGTTTCAGAGGAGATTGGTAACAAACACCGTGACACGAGAATTTTATATATTAAATATGCTTCTTTTAAGTAAAAATTTTAAATGAAATTAGACTTACCATACAGGCGTGCCTTTACGGCTTGAGGCGGTAACGAGCGTGCTAACGGAGCCCCTGCGGGTACCGGTCTTAATGCTTTATTAGGAAATAAAGCCAGATCTCCATAATCACAGAAATAAACAGACACCGTGTCGGGTGACACTGTCCCAGCTATCGTTACCCTGCAAAACTCAGCAATTTATATAAAATGTAAAAACAGCAAGTGTTGGTAAACCGGTTCACGAATACAATAGTTTAAGTTCAATTTCAGTATTTTATAAGAAATAATAACGAAATAAACAGAAAGTTAGAAAAATTTGACTAACTTATAATATACTTAGATAATAATAATAAAATTACTTGTCAAATATAGAATTATTAAATTCGCCCAAACTATAAAAAACATTTAAAAAAAAAATTGGTTTAAACTTAATTTTGAAAGTATTGAAACTATTAGTGCTATGAAAATATTAGTGGATAACTTGTTGAATAATCTGATTGACTGGTACAGAGCACAGTGATTCGCAACTCGCAGTCTAGGACAGAATGTATTAACCACATCTTTTGTATTTAACCTGATTTGTCTTTCCTATTAATTTTCATACAAATTTAGATCTCTTCACATGTCAGTAAGAACTAGCAAATATAAGCTTGACACTATGAGAATTTTGAAGTCTTTGAAATGATCTTTATATCATTCCCGTTGTGGTATTCGTAACATAGTACGTAATGCTCTTTTCTGCAATATAAAGGCTCTATGTACGAGTATATTGTAATGATAGCTATGGTCCCAGTGTTTAATACTATATCTCAATTTAGACTCAACAAGCGAATAGAAAACCATATTTATTATTATTTATTTAACTCTTTATTACACCAGAAGCATAAAAATATACAATGACAATTAAATAATTCGAGTGAAATACAGTAACATAAATACAGATTGAAATATATATATAAAGGTTCAAAAGGCGGTCTTATCGTTTAGGGCAATCTCTTACAGACAACCTTTGGTTATAGGGGAACAGATAGAAGATGGTAGGTGAATTGATAACTGTAATTGACCATAGTAATGTGATCTATGTTTACTTCATCCCTGAGGGTTCTTAACGCATAACGAGTTGGGTTATTGAATTCTCAATTGTAATTATTTAGGATTTCAAGTTCAGATAAGTCTATATTCATTCTGAAAAATTTGATGCAGTCTTTCAATTTATTATTTTTCAATTTATAAAAAGTTGTATTTTGTGCTTTGCTGTTGATTTGAATAACCTTTGTTTTATCAATGTTAATTTTTAATCGTTCACTGTGAACCAATAATTGAATATTGTCAGTGCCATATTAATTTTAGTATCCGGATCCGATATGTTCCCCGATACTACAGCACTATACCTGTTCCGTTACTCGCAGTAATATTACTCGCTAATATATGTTTAATCATATCATATTAATATTACTCGCTAATATATGTTTAATCTAGGCATTTATAAATTTGGCGTTACCATTGAAAAAAGAAAACAAGTAGAAACTAATCTTTTTGCGATTGTGTAAAAGCCGACAAAATAAATACCTCTAGTGTATCTCTCCCCGGGAATCGTCTGATTTATTGTTTAATAATTCAATGAAAAAGTGCACAAGCATGTCACATCAACATAACGATATTAATATGAAACTACAGAGTTAATTTAATCAATAGTGGCAATGCAATCAATAAATTTATACTTAAAAAAATGGTCTGCGCCCAAGATATAGACAGATGGACTTATTTATTTCAGTAGTGTAAGTAATTACACTACAGAAATAAATAATCTGAGTAGAAGTGGGACTCATGTACTTTATAAGTGCACCTATACCGACAAAATTTACCTCCCTTTCAGCACTCAAATAAGGTTGTTATAAATTTATACTGGTATAATAAATTATATAATCTCTCTCCCGTACGTAACCTTTAAAGGCTTATTGGTTCTGTTAAAATGTAATATGTAATGTATTCTTAAAAATACTATTAAAAAAAGTTTACCTATACCAAGACGCGTCCTTTTCATAATATACAGTATATAATTCTCCATTAGCTGGATTCACAGGAGCATCCAACTCGGACAATTTTGGACATTCCACTTGCAATGACGACATCATTGCTTGGAGCGTATGCCTAGTTCTATTCGGTTGAATCTATAAATATGAAAATTACAAACTAAATTATGAGTCAAATATAGGTTTAGCACACTTTATTAATATTCAATTCTTAATAAATATTAAATTAGTTTATTTTTCTGTTATTTCTTATTATTGTTATAGTTCTGTCATTTGTTCTGTATTTTGTTTTAATTTAGAATGAATGATCATCGTTTTGTGTCCATTCATTGTAATTTATCTCAAAGAACTAAGAAATGTACCAGGTTTATATATTTCTAATAAAAGAACAGTTATTATAAAGTTCGATAATGAACTCACAACAAAATTCCAAGGATTAGCTGCCATCGCTATGTATACATCAAAACACTGGCCTGGAACCGGAAGAGGCGGCGGAGGCAGCGGCGAGCCAGTCCCACCCCCGACTGACGCCCCCGCCACCGTTCCACTCGAAGACTGACTACGAAATATTCGCTCCTTCTTCCTATGTAGGGCTTCTACGTGGTTCGTCGCTTCTTTCTCGTCTTCTTTTAAACTGTCTCTAAAACATGATGGACTCTATTATATTCAATTAGTGTGTCTTAGGTTATAAGAGCTGGCAAATGCGAGTTATTACTGAAATTCAACATGAAAACTGTTTTAATACTTTATACTAATAATAACGTCAAAAGGCGTATATATATTGGATGTACATGTTGTAAATAGTAGGATGCAATAATAAAACCTATATGTATTTGTGATATAAAATAATAAGTTTAGTGAAAAAATACAAGACACGTTTTATATAAAATCTGACACGAAACAAACTTAATAATAATACATTGTTGAACAAACCCTTATTCACATCCACGAGTATAGGTACGATATAATTTAGGTTCCAATAAATAAATACACTCTTAAACTGTACCAGATAAGATTTTATTGTTATTGTTCAATATATTCCTGAGCTATACACAGGTTAGGAATCCTAATATCACGTTGTAGCACACAGATACTAAAATTACAACTCCATCTAGTGGTCAACGGGAGGAGTATTTATGTTGTTTCCATGGTTACAACATTTAACTCAATACGGATTATACAATTGTAAAAAACCTCAGTGTGGACAGGCAGTATTAAAACAGCAAGAGTAGACTCACAGCTGCAAGCACTCGTACTCCATGAGTATGGAGTTGTTGACGGAGGCGAGCAGGTTCTGCGGGGCGGTGCGCACGAAGAGCTCGACGTGCGGCGGCGAGGAGGGCGCGGAGGGCGAGGAGGGCGAGGCGTCGGCGGGCAGCGCGCGGCACAGCACGCGCGCGCCCAGCACCAGCTCGCGCAACCGCGACACCATACGGCCCGCCGCACGCTCCGCCGCGCCCAGCCGCACCTGCAGCGCCTGCGCCGCACACCGCCGCCAGCTCGTATACATACCACTGCTTCACACACTGACACTGACCGCCACAACGTGTGAAGCACGCTACAAACTCATTTTTTAGAGGGAGACTTTATCGCTACTAGGGCTTCAGTACCGCTAAAATTTCTGTCGTGAAGCCGATGTCCTTGTTACAGGTGTGGGAGGAGGTCGGCGGTGGCGGATGGAGTGTGTGCACTCCAGAATTGTCTCTAGTACCCACCCCAGAATGCGAATGGAGTTTTCAACTACGCGTAATAGGCATGCATATCTGAGAGTATGTAATGAGTACTAAGACAACATAATCATTTTTACATCTAAAATACACCAATGGTGTTTACATGGCTGTTTCGGTTTAAAGTTATGGCAATGAAATTACAGAGTACAGAAGCATAACTCCATAATCTTCAGGAATGACAGCCCGCCTGCGCTACCGGAATACGCTGGCGAAGAACTAGTGAGGAACAATAGACAAAGATAAAGCAAGTCAGTTGACCCATTGTGACGAATTCAACAAAAATTAACCACAATAGTTTCCAAAGGCGTGGCGGTCGATCTAGTAAAGTACATATATTGTAAGCATAGGGCTGTTAGACTTCATTATTAACAATCCTTTTCCCCACTCCTAATATCCGTTAAAAATAATATCATGACATAATTATTTGCAAAGATATGTATGTATTGTATAATATGTTTACTATACCTGATGGGGATAGTCGTTCAAAGCTGGAGAAAATGTTTGCAATGGCACCAATGATGAAAGTGGAGCTCGTAGAATTAAACCACTGTCAACTAATTGAGTTCTCACGGTTCCCTCGCCATCCAGTCCGCTTATGATTGTGCAGCGTACCCTGACATGTAAATAAATATATGTTACATAACAAACAAAGATGTTTAAAAATGTAATATGCTTTAATGTGTATACGACAAAGATTTATAAGATACTGAACTTTCATCCGAATGACCGAGATGTGTTTATTGACTAGGAAAAAAGGATGTCTGTGTCCTTCTTCGTCCCATATAGTACCTATTTACCAAAATAGTAATTAAAGGCGATAGCGTGTATACGGTAGGATAGTGGTTAGTTAGGTTAGGAGAGTGCGCACAATGTACAGCATGGTGGCTTTGGACGGAGGCGCGTGCGGCTCGGCGAGCAGAGGCCGGCGACAGGTTCGACGTGTAATGTGTATATGGTAGGAACATGGTTACCAGTCGCCGGCGATGCTGCGCACGTTGTACAACGCGTGGCGACGTAGGCGCGGGCGCGTGTGCCACGGTGATAGGGTCAGCGTTGTGTAGTGTGTATACGGTAGGAGAGTGATTACCAGTCGCCGGCCAGGGTGCGCACGATGTACAGCGTGGCGGCGTTGGGCGCGGGCGCGTGCGGCGCGGCGGGCAGGGGCCGGCGGTAAGGCCCCGCGGTGAGGAGTGCCAGTGCGTTGCGCACGATCGCCGCACCACCCGCACGCGCCACCCACACTCGACCCTCGTCGCTCACGCACCCCACCTCCACCTCACATGGTTTCTGTATATACCACACATAAACACATATTATATTGCGTACATAACTTCTTCGCCACTTCTAAACCAACAATTTACTCCCGGTAGGCCCCATATTAATGCGAGGCGAATTCTTATAGTAGTACAAGTTTCTAACATTATAAATGATATTAAACAGCAGAGAAATTCAAATAACACAGTTTCCAAAAGTAAAATTAAATAATAATCCTTGCTAGAGGGCTATAAATAACATCGGCTGTGCGGAGTACCTGGGTGATAGTGAAAGTGGCAGCGGTGCAGAAGTCGTGCACGATCTCTTTATTGAGGTTGAGGTCACGCTGCGTGGAGGTGTCGTAGAGCACGAGCGCGACGGAAGGGTCGAGCGGGTCGTGGCGCGGGCCGGGCGCCGCCACCAGCACCTCGCCGGGCAGCCGCCGCCGCACCAGCGCCGCGCCCGCCTCGCTCGCCGCCAGCTCCTCCGCCCCCTCCAGCCGGCACAGCACGCCCTGCGACCACACACGCACATCGCGACCTTACATTGCAAAGTACATCGTTTGGTAATGTCAACAATAGTAACATACGAGTACAAACATAGACAGGAAAAGCGTTACTTACACCCCAAGAGGCTGTATGCAATTAGCGTTAGTTATTATCAAATAATCTTATTATTTTTAAAGCATTTAGATATATATTTCTGTTTCAGTGAATGTAGTTGGATAAGATATAATACAAATAAATAATAAAGAAAATTCACAATATTTATAAGTTAGAATGCTTTAAAAGTAATCTACTATTTATATAAAACCACTCCAAAAAAATGTATAAAGAATGACAGAAAAAATTTTTGTACTTTATTCAAATAAAACTCGGAATGCCCACGAATTGAAGTAAAAATAATAACAAATACCTACGCAAATATAGACTATTAAACATAAATTACTAGCAAATAAAAAAATATCACACGCACGCATTTGTATTATACACACACTAATGTCTTTTTTAATAATAAGTGCCACACAATCACACCAATTGTCTGGTCAGTTATCTTGTATTATGAGGAGTTAGACAAGTAACATCTAAAAAAAATCACGCACTACACCCAGACCAGAGATAATTTTGGAAAAGACTGAGGGTCTTTTTAAATTGGCCTGACCGGGAATAGAACCCGGGACCTCATTACGGAAAAATGCAACCAAAGTGGTATCAATAGCAAGAGAAGGGAACCCAGTAACTACATGCGAGCACGTAGACGTCACTTATTTGATTTGATTGGACATTTGATGTTCCGTTAAGAAGAACAGAGTTGGCTAAGCAAGCTTTCCTGTCTCTTGCATTGAAACTATTCAATATTTTGAGCCGGTATCCGCAATTGAACGTACATATTTGCCTCCAATTGCTGAAGTTTCGTCGGATGACCACAAAGTGTGTTCAGAGATTTAGGCTCTAATGCAATGGCGTAGCTACCGAAGGGCTAGATGGGGCAGTGCTTCGAGGCCCCCAAGCTCAGAGGCCCTTGGGACTCTGACTTATAAACTATAAATTGAACTAGTGAAAATTTCTCCCACATTCGGAATTAAATAAATCCGATTTATTTAAATATAACTACATATTTATATTTTGACTTGTATTGATAAAATTTTAGAGATTTATTGCGTAACCCAGATTCGTTGTACGAATTGATTTTTGTCTCCCTAGTATAATTGAATTTCCAGTCTGTCAGTACGTGAATTCGTCTATGGTACAAAAGTACTTACGTACATAGTAATACGTACTCACATAGTTACAGACTGGCAATGCAATGGCTTCTGTAAAACGAGAGAAAAAAAAAACAATTGCATTAGTATGAGTGTAATGTCAATGCGTTCATGTAACAATAGTTATTATTTTAAGTTCAATTCATGGGCGTTAAAAGGTTAGTTATTTGGTCCCGGCAAAGAATAGGCCACCGCTTCCTTTCCCGTGTTGGGTGTTGTAAAAGGCGACCAACGTGGGTGTTGTAAAAGGCGACCAAGGGAACTTAAAGTTCGAAAGAAGGGCAGCAATGTCCCTCTTAAAACATCACTAAAGCCTAAATGCAGTCAAGCATGGCAACTACCGGTAACCATCCCTCCCTTTTCCATTTGACGAAGGCATGTTTATAACACCAATACATACATGTAGTACAACTTTGTAGATTTAAACCAACAAATATTTTAAATGTACAAAGATTCCGAGTTTTTCGTATTCAAAGAAATCGATTAAGTAAAAAATCAAAATGGCCGTTACCTGTACGCATTATTCTTGACAAACAAATAATTAAATATATAAATAAAGCTAAATATATGTTATTATTTAATCCTAATAACATTTTAAATTACGACCTACATCTATTTATCTTAATTTATAGTAGTAATTTCTAATATGATAACTCTTTTACGTACACAAATATTTGTATGGAGACATTCTATCTATATAATCTAAGACCATGAATGACATAGCTTTTATACTTTCCAGCCCATGTCATAACTTAATACAGACAATATCATCAAAGTTGCAGAAATCAATATCTGTTACCATAAGACGTAAATAACTTACGAATATGTGAAGTATTTATTTATTTTTACCTTACACACTATTTAGCTACTTGGAATTTGCAAATTACCTGTGCAGGCAATCTTCTGAATTGAGGTTCTAAAATCTTTATTTTGTCTAACGATACGAAATCATCGTCTCCATGGTCTCCCAAGAAAACGGTCGCAGTGTCGTCATTTATCTCTAATATTTTCGCGCGTTGCCAACCGCCGTCGTCTAAATTTGCTGCATACCTACAATATTTTTTTATATATTTATATAAAAAAATTAAAATTCAAATTGAAGAGAATATTTATTTACAATAAGATTTTGCAGACTTATTTAACACGTTATTTGACTATCGAATTCAGAAAACAGAGTACCAACACCATGGATATCACAAAATGCGATGCCTATGACATCCCTCATCACATTTTGCTAAAGACTAGTGTATGCCTCCTCTATTCTGTAATTTCACTACCAGAATACAAATAAAAATAAAATTAAATACAAATAGACACTTGTAATTAAGATTCACTATCTTAAAATCAGATTTTTATTTTCAAATTAATGGAAAATGTAACTGACAAACGATGAAATTCCCTTCATTACAATTTAATTTTCTTATTATTCTTATACATAAAATTAAAAATACAATTTTTTATGACTCTACGCCCATTCACGAAAATAACGGATATAGATAGTATTCCACGTTCTTCCATATTTTATGGAGCCCAACAATGTGGCTTAGCCCCCTACTGCCAGTCAATAAACATATTTCTAGTTCAACTAAGTAACCTTAGACTAATAATTAGGCTATGCGTGGACTTCGTTAAGTCTCACTGCCGTAGGACTTCCCAAAAACCCTTTAGCCCATCCCAATAATAACATCTCCAATAATCTATGTCAGTTCATTGTCTTTCTTATTAATATACATACAGATATTCTTAAATTCTTATTAGATGTAATATAACCACTTACACTCAATTTGCAAAGCAATAATATTATATCAACATACCAAGCGTTGATAACAATCATGGATTTGTCGACGGAAGTACCAGAGTTCTTATAGTAGTTTGCCATGTCGGCGAGCAATTCTTCAAAAGCGCCCTGCGTTAAAAAACATAATATTGATTCTGTTGTATAAAAACTTCATAATTCTTTATTATGAACAATCAATATTACGATAAACATACAATAGTATTTTATCTATTATTTACAAACAAATTCAAAGCGCGTCTGTATTCTTCAAGTCTTTGAATAACATGATGACCTAGTGATGAATCTATTATTTACAACACTATGCATAATACCTATATCGTTACATATATAGGTTATGATAACACCGCTTACCATCAGACGAGACGTATGCTTCTTTGTCAATATAGCAGTATAAAAATAAACAATTTACCACATCCAAACAATAAAGTCAAGTGATAAATACATGTTTAGATATCTCACTACAAAAAAGCGTTTAGTATTATATATTTATCTACTAGTTTTAACGAGAGGTAACAGGATTAAGAAACGGGTTCTCGTGTAAGCTTATATTTATTTTTCCTCATTTTCAAACAAAATGTTTTCGCATTTTTATTATCACCGATACAGGGATCGATTATCAAAGGCCTTTACTTCACTTTACCACTACACTACACTTTAGTGACCCTTGCATGCAAAAAGGTTTTTTTTTTTTTTTACAACACAGGGGGCAAACGAGCATGCGGCTCACCTGATGGTAAGTGACTACCGCCGCCCATGGTCACCCACAACACCTACGGCATTGCAGATGTGCTGCCGGCCTTTTAAAAAGGAATATGCTCTTTTCTTGAAGGTTATGTTGTCGTATCGGTTCGGAAATACTGCTGCTGGAAGTTGATTCCAAAGAGTGGTTGTGCGTGGAAGAAAGTGCCTTGAAAAACGCACGGTGGAGGACCGCCACTCGTCCAGATGGTTGGGATGAAATTTTAGTTTATGGCGGGTTGTACGATGGTGAAAATCTGCAGCAGGTATCAATCCGAACAATTCTTCAGAGCACTCCCCATGATAAATTCGGTAGAAGATGCACAGAGATGCAACATCTCTACGCAGTTTCAGTGGGTCGAGCCGGACAGTAAGACGCCGATCGTCAACAATTCCTATAGGTTGCCTAACCCTGGTTTAAACTAATACATTTTATTATTATCTATATATTTTACACACATATAAAATTACAAATAACCCTTATAAAACCAATTAAACAATGTTTAACACTGTTTAAACTGACAGTATTTTAAACTATTTTTATAACTAAACTGAATATATTTATTTTAGAAATAAAACTGTATTAAATATCCATTTGTTGTATTGAAGTTTAAAAATATATTTTTACTTACACTATATTCTTGTCCAATAATTCTAAGCCAGATTTCGAGTGTTGAATTAGCAACAGTTATATAGACATTCCAGAAATCGTCTTCAGGGAATTGCAGTGGAGGTAGGTCGCTGTCTATTGGGTCACCCGGCACACTTGCCTCCACGCCCTGTCAATGATTTCTTATGGTAAACATCAAAGTTAGAACTGGACGGGTATTGCTATAGATAAGGAGAAGTGAAAAAAGATGGAGGAGGCTTTTACCCTTGGGGACCACGGAAGTGGATAAAAAAGCTATAATAATAATAATAATAATAATAAACATCAAAGTATGGTAAACGATTATATTTCTTCACCCTCGTCATATTAATCTAATAATTATGGCATAGTACATGAAATGTTCGACCGCTGGATGACACCTTTGCCGCTAGGTATCACGTATATACGTATAGAGTAGGAAACAGTAGAACAGCATCCTTATACAAGTAGCAATCTATCGATACCTATATTTTTGATAAAGCATGCAAATGGTAAATCTACGACAGCGATATCCAGCCTTTGCTTTACACGAGAGCCAATTAAAACTTATTTACCGAACAAATTTGTTTACATTTGTCTAGTGTTTAGTACACATTAATTTCTTTTATAATTTAGTTATTGATAAAGGTAGTGACCTTAGTTTACATGCGGGTAGTTATTATTGTCCATATTAATAAATATTTCGATTTTCAATCCAGTTCAGACATCTCGAATGTAAAAAGTAAATTATAAACAGAAAATAGAAGTAACTATTATGAACACCTTACCTCTTTATTAGGAAGAAGCACTAAAAGTCCATTCACAACTCTGTCTTTTATAATTTTAGGACAATTTTCCACCAACTCTTGCCAATTACTAGGTAAATTCTCTCCATATTTTTCCCTAAAATTGAATTATAAATATATGTATATATAACAATAATAGAAATTATAGGTATAAAATTAAGTTTACATTTTAAAAAAATGTCGTTAATCGACGCAAAAGAAACCTTAAAATCTAAATACCTGTACAAATGAGGTACGGTACTAGCCCAAAGCCCAGCTTCATGCTCTGCCACGAGTTCCGTGAGACACGTCAAAGCTCTGCTGCTAGAAGAAGTGGGCATTCCACCAACATCAGAACTTTCTATTATTGCTAGTAATTTAACAGCAGCGACTTCTTTCGCCAAGTCGTCCGATGGTGAAGAATCTGGATATGATGACGATGAATATGTGCTTCCAACCTAAAAACATTGAAGAAATATGACATAAACATATTATTAACTAAAATTAATAATATTAGTATTCATTATATATTTTATACTAGCGACCCGTTCCAGCTTCGCACAGGTGTAATGCTGATACTAACTAGCCCCGAGAAAAGGATGGTGTGGTACAGCTGGCTGGTAGCGCTGGAAGATATGTGGGTTTAATCTCCACAGACATTTTTGTACGACCTGAAAGCTAAACAAACTGGTGGCCCACAGGATGGTAAGTGATATTGGTCGATTAAACAGCACCATAGGGATCAAAAATACAAAGTAACAATGACGACTATTATATTCCCTCATACGTGTTTCTATTTTTGAGAATTATGGTTTTATGCCTCCTTCTCCATACTCAGGAATTTCACTAGGCACCTACCTAACCGTTCAAAGTGAAACACACCAGTTTAAATATAAATTAGAATTAATCCATATTTACTTTCACCGTGCAGTCATAACTGATAGGGCCTTTTTTGGGTCGAATATCATATACTTTGTAAACAGGCTGTGGTAGACCTAATTTTCGACATGTCCACTCCAACTTGATTGCTGATGAAGTTGAATCAGGTGGAGGTTCTAGATTGTGTGCTGGTACAACGTTAGTCACTGGTCCACTGCTTTCCTAAAAACAATATTAACGTTTCCTTCTATGTTATTATAATCGTGTACTGTCAATGCATCGTACGTGGCTTAAAAATAGAAAGTCTACTTAATAGTTCTAAATATTTACGTAACTAAACTTCATTTTTAATAAAGTTTAAAAAGGAGGAAATTCTTGATATTTTTTATATGCATTTTAAATTTATACTAGAATCGATGTCCTCTAGAAAGTTACGCCCACTATATGGTCTAAGTACTCAGGATAAAAGTGCTATACGTCCATCTCCACGCCAAAGACTGCGTGTGAGTCAAATTTTGTGAAGATTGGTTGACCTATTAGTACCAAGAAGTAACAAACTCATGTTTACATTTGTAATACTTAACTAACCTTATTTACGATTAAAAAACATCCTCCATAGGCGATTTTGTCATATGTATAATATATTGCTGCATCAGCGGTAAAAACATTGCCTATTAATGCAGGACCATTGTATCACATAACAAGAATAAATTTAATATTACCATTTTATTTAATAGTAGCTATTTCATTATTTAAATCGACTACGTTTATTAATTTCTACACATTTTTCGATCCTTTATTTTTTAGACAATGGATATAAATATTTAATAAAAAATAATTCATACTAACCATGCACTGGTTGTTTGCGGCTGGCAATTGTAATGGAATGAGATCTGGAACTGTGTTTAGTCTGTCTCTCAGATTAGAAAGCCTTTGGGAAGCCGACACCTTTCCGCTATGTTTTAAGTCAACATCGTGATCAGTTCGCGTGGAATGTTTAATCTGCAAATTTTAAAATATAATTATTTAATTTTATATTAATAAAAGGTGAAAATGACTAGTGCTTCGTACATTTAATGATAATGATTAAGCAACTTGCCTCATCTTTAGCATCCCGAACAGTTTGTGAAATATTATTAATTTTTGTAGACAAATTTAATCCACTTTTATCTGAATAATCACTAAGTGACCTCGAGATTGGTTTTGGATTCTGGCTTGTATTTTTTATTTCATTTGATTTGTATTTGTAATTGCTGCTAACCTGAAATAAAGGATATTTAGAGGAGGATTGCGTACAGACATAAACTTTTTTTTTTGTAAAATAACTACAAATTTATGGGTTTGGATTTTTTTCTTTACTTGTGCTATGACCTTGTTTCTTGCCAAATTTCATGATTCTAGGTCAACGGGAAGTACCCTATAGGTTTTGATTCCCTTTGTGAATGTCAAAATATGCGATGTAAATGGAACATAAACGGCCGTATCTTTCGATTGCATAGATTTAGAAGTTTGATTTTTCACTGCTTTAAGAGATTGCAGGCCTGAGTATATAATATTAATTTCAACTTGATACCTCCACGCGTTCCTAAGAAAAAGGGTCTTGATAGACAGAAGGACGGACGGACAACGAAATGATCTTATAATGGTTCCGTTTTTTTCCTTTGGAGGTACGAAACCCTAAAAATTAGGTAACAATACTCATAGTATCAATTGAATTATGATTATGACATCAAGTCAATTTAACAAGAAAAAAATTAATTTTATCAAAATGAATAGAAGATTTTTAGAACCACTATTGATAATGAAATTAACGTAAGTCACACAAAAAAGATCAGTACACTCGACATTTTTTTTTTACAGATCCTTCAAGAAAGATCAGGTTTTTTAAATAATAATAATATTTTAATAATAAATATATAATTTATTTTTTATCATCACAATTTGTAGTAGTAGAAGATGTGTGTGCATGTGTACATGTGTGTGCGCGAGTGCACGTGTGCGCGTGCGTGAGTGCAAGCGTGCAAGCGTGCAAGCGTGCATGCGTGCGTACGTGTGTACATGTGTGTGTTCCTTTTATATTTAGTAAAAATAGTAAAATATTTACCTTGTTATTATAATTATTATTAAAAGATGTTCCACCTTTAGCTCTGTAGTACTGGTTAGAATACTGATTATTGTAAACTGTAGGATGATTTGTTGATGCGCTTGGTTTACGCCATGAACCTTGTTTCTTTGGGAAACGATTCTACATAATAAAAAAAAAAAACCACCACATTATAAAAACAATATAAAAATAATATTTATAGTCATAAAATAGTTTAACTTGATTGACTTATAAACACAGCTAAAACTACTAAGACAATAAAGATGAAATTTAAAAATAAATATATATATTTTATAACGTAAACATCTGCCTAAGAAAGAACTTTTGATATTTAAAAATATGACAACGATTAAGGTATTGTTTGCAGTGGGCAAACAATACCTTAATCGAATTTATTATGGAAATAAACAAAATAAAATAATACATAGTTATTTAATTACGAGCTCTTTAATCTTTACAATCCTGGTTTTGTTTGTTTGTAACACTTTACTGTACAATAAATTCTTCAATAAAATTTAACCTGTTACCTTAAATTTTATTGAAGAATACAGAGTCAAGAATTGTATCACCCTGATAAAAATTGCAATAACAGATTAAGGAGAATATTATTAAATTGATTCGAACCGGAAAGACAGACAGACGAGGACTTACTACTACTAGTCGTACAATTTTTTTTATTTACAATGGGAAAGACAAAAGAACTAAGCCATACAACTTGTTCTTCAGTAAAAAAAAAATGCTCTTCTATGTTTTAGAAAGGCGGAGTTGACATACTTTTTGCGTTAGTTCCATACTCACTTCATCCGACGAACTTGTGCAATGAAAGAATGTCATATTTCTAAAAAAATCTCGCAAATTTTATTTTTAAACAATTAAAAAGGTTTTGTGGTTTATAAACTATATCATTCAAAATTCAAACAGTTGTAACAAACCAAAATAAAATAACATGACTTACTGGATAGTTTAATTTTATGGCTTTCTTGCTTGATTTTTGACGTGAGACCATAGATGCAATGTGTTGTGACTCTTGGCTGGCGATAGCATCGACATACCATTCACCATTTATTTGCGTTACTTTGAAGCCAGGAATATCAAGAAAAAGTTTATCTAATGTTGGATATCCTAATTTTTTATATGGTATCCAATCGCCTTGAAGCTCTCGATAATCACCTAAAAATTATAGACAATATCGAATTATTCTTTTAATTATAACAATATTATTTTTCACTTTTTCAATTAATAATGTGGATGAGTGGATGAAATATAAATTAACAAAAACATTTTTCCCGCAAAGTAGCGACTTTAATTACGAACACAAACACATCTATGAGCCGACCTTATACTACCTGGCGACATGTAAATAACCTTTTACCGAAATACTAGCAATGTAGCAATTAGATCCTATTACTAATTATCCCTTTTCCCCACATATAAGCGTTAGGCATAGCGATTGCCAGGTCGGCTCGGGATTACATTGATATTTGGCATACACTTAAAATTTACAAGAGGATGGGATTATTAGTAACGGGGCGCTGGCGAACTAAATTAAAAAAAAAATAATTGAAAATTTCCTCCTTTTTGAAATCGGTTAAAAAATCTAGAATTCGTTGTTTAGTATTATAATTACGAGCACATTAGTCAAATGTAAAAGGTTTTATATTTTACAATATGTACATTTATTACAGTACATGCAGTACAGTATGTAAAATTGATTGACTGGTTAACTCTCCTGCGGTGATAAATAAAATTTGTTGAATAAATTAATGGTCGCGGTCAGTATACACTAACTAAATTAGATCTTGAAAACCACCCTGGGACTGATTCTGTTACACTATTCTCTAGAGTCTATTATATATTCTCTAGACTTATAACAAAATTTTGAGTTTCACAAAAGTACTACTTTATGGATTTATTAAATTATAATATGTAAATTATATTTACGTATAATATCTCTAATAATTATGCCCGAACTTTATTAGAAAATTAGTTCCTATTGGTCCTTAAAATAAAGATTTTGCTGTGATTAAAATTAAATTTTAGAAATAGGTAGGTTAGGTTTAGAAATAGGTAGGTTAGGTTTAGAAAAAGGTAATGGTACTACAGTTTGAAACCAGAGGGTCTACCATGAAATGAAATTCCGAAATTTTAGACTCAATTTCATTGTTTCGTTCATACCGAAATCGGCCCAGTAAATGGAGCTTAACATTTCGTTCGTCATAAATCCTACCATAAAAGTTCAAAGTCACGATATTTTGACATTTTTACTATTTTTAAACGCTATATATTATGTAATTTTATAATAACATCAAAATTTTCTTTTGATCGCCCCGAAATTTCGGAAAATATTTCATTGTAGCCCCTCTGGGCATAGAATACAGAAAAAGAAAGCTACTAGGAAACATGCTGGAACGGGAGCACTAGTACAAACAAGCGATTCTTGTGTACGTGGAGTATTCCACGTGTAATAACGCATGTCGTGTATACGCCGTGGTTGTCGTTAAAGCCGTACCTCTACCAGGCAATAACGAGGAAATGACTATAGGGATTGACTAGGCAGCTGTAGGTCAGAATTGGGTTGCGCAGTTGAACGGATTTTTTTTTACAATTTTGAATGGCAAACAAGCTGACGGTCCACCTGATGGAAAGTAGTAACCGTCGCCTATAGATATGAGCAGTAACATAGACATAACAGAGTATACTGTTTCGCCCATGATACCCCTCATGCGTTGCCATTCCTGAGGACTCAGGTGTTATTCCTCTGTATCCAGTAAATTCACGCCATATCCCACCCTTCAAACCGAAACACAGTCATGCAAACACAGCTGCTTCACGGTTGAAACACGAGTGGGACAGAGGTAACCAAGCAATCGACTTTTGTACAAAGTCTCCCTCTAGTAATTAGATTCTGAAGCGGTCGTCACCCTGAGCTATATGACAGGCAGCTGAGAACAGAGAGACAATACACATCGTGCGGGTCGTGGTCCATGGCTGCATCACACGACCCTAAACAGTGGCACACACAACCTATGAGCTCCGTGCAGTCTGAGTGGTCTGAGCGGACTGAGCGGTCTGAGCGGACTGAGCGGTCTGAGCGGTCTGAGCGGTCTGAGCAGTCTGAGTAGTCTGAGCGGATTGAGCGGTCTGAGCAGCCTGAGCAGTCTGAGTAGTCGCCTACAACCACCCCTTACAGCGACCCCTGTCCTCACAACTGAGCAATAAACTCGATGGCAATGCTACACTGAGATCCTGGACATCCTCAACGAGGTTTAGGTTGCCTTTGACGTGATAAGGCTGAGTCAGTAGGCTGATACTACGTGGAGTTTCATTAAAGTCCTTTTAGCTAACTTAGAATACATTGGAGGACTCAATGGTGAATGTATTTGACGTATTAAAAATCAGACAGAACTTACAGTGATAAACCCAGGAAAGAAATACACCTATCCCCCGATTTACACGGTAGATACGTTCCTAAGAAAAACGTGTAAATCGAAAATTAAAAATTTTCAAGTCAAAACCGTGTAAATCGAAAAGCTTGCAGAAAATGCATAATTTTGCTATTTAACAGTTGTGATTTTTTTCAATATTTTTAGGTGTACACAGAAATAAAAATAAAATGCATTGACAGGTTAAAATATGTAATATATTACGGAAACTGTTTTTTTATTTAATTACAATACATTAAACGATCCAAAGCGATCCAAAATTTCGATTTTAGTTTCTAAAGAAATAACTTTTCTTTTAACTTCTTTCGACATTATAAGCCTATAATTTTTTTTTAATTTATGTTAATTTATAAAAATCTTAATTATGCACTCACTTGTAATTTACGAATATGAAAAATTAAATCTTTCTGACACTGTGAAACTTTCACTCAAATACAATTTTCCGTAGATAAAACTTTAATTTTATGCGAAGAAATACAGACACAGTGTGCATGTGCAGCAAGTCAGCATATAAGCTCGGGATTCCCCGTGAGATGTGTACACAGCGCACGTGTTCAAACACAGTAGCATTTAGTAGAGTGCGATAAAAACAAAAAAAAAAACTTATTTGGAAAACCGTGTAAAAGCGAAAACGTGTAAAACAAGTACCGTGTAAATCGGGGGATAGGTGTATGCAGTTATCGATTGTGGCTCGCGTTCCATGTGTTCCCTCGAAAGCCGTCGGGGAAAAACATGAAAATAATGCTCCGTAATCCCATAGACAACAGGCTCTTTGTGACATCTGTCAAACCCACAGATGCACGGTCTACTATAACTTCCGAGTCTGTGGCAAGATCTAATGCACGAATTACACGAGTAGAAATTGTTGAGAAAAGGAATCGTGATGATTCGCAACAGTGTTGAAGTGATTGGAAACTGGTCTAACCTCGTGCAATGGCTGTGCACAACTCGAGGAATACATGATGCCTGTCCGTTTGTGTAATATTTTCTAATATACAGTGCAATATGCAAAAATAAAAATAAAAACAAAGTACATCTTTCTTCTAGTTATCCTTAACTACGCGGATACCTACCTACCTATGCTTATGTATGTATACGCATAAGCATAGTATTATGTAGTGCCGTTGATATAGAATTTATTGTTCTATTTTATAATAATATAGAACGTGTTTTCTAAAAAAAAATCTAAATCATATTAATGAATACTAACACCAGTTTTAAGGAATGGGTTACATTAATAAACATATTGCTTTACTGATGATAGTTAATTATAAATTTCATTCATATGCATTGCCGGTCAAAAGTTTGAGACCACTAATATAAAACTTTTATTGTTTGTAAATATTTCTAAAATATTGGTAATAAAAAGTAATCTGCACACCTGCATACTCTATTGTTTATAAAGATTGCATAAAAGCTTATTCTTTTGTATATAAGCCAAACAAAGGGCAATAAACATTATTTCCAAACTTTTCAATGTGAGCCAAGGAAGAGCTAGTCCGATAATCGATTGTAAAAAATTTATTACCGCAACTGACACTTTTTTATTTTACATCAAGTTTTAATGCAATTGTTCTAAATTCTTAAAATATTTCTAATGTTTATTTAAACTCGGTATTACCAGGGTTATCTACTAATATCCGCAGTTTAATTTCGTGATTTCTACAATCAAGACGTTTTTAAAATAGGAAAAGTTCGTGAAATTAGTATTGAAACGCGACCTGCTTTCGTTATTCTCCATAATGAAGGTAAATCTGAACGTGAGATTGCATCTCAACTTAAATTATCGAAAACTTATGTTCATCGCACTATTGTACGGTACAAACAAACTGGCAGTAATCAAGATTGTCCGCGTTCCGGGAGACCAAGAGCTACGACTTCTAGTAACAATAAATTTATTGTGATAACCAGCAAGCGAAATAGACACCTAACAGTCCCAGAAATTCGTGTTAAACGCAACAAATCTCGGGAAAAGCCTGTGTCAATATATATACTGAAAAGACTGTTGCGAGACGCTAAGTTGTTTGGTTGCGTTGCTGTTCGGAAACCTCTTCTAAAATGGCAGAATAAAAAAAAACGGTTGCAATGGGCTCTAGCCATCGAGACTGGACTGAAGTTTTTAAGAAAGTGTTATGGAGTGACGAATCTAAATTTGAAATATTTGGTTTAAATAGAAAAATTTAAAAGATAATGACACAGTGTGTATTCCCGACTGTCAAGCATGGTGGCGAATCTGTTATGGTCTGGAGTTGTTTCTCAGGCTATGGAACTAAAATCTGACCCAAATTTAAGAAATTATGAAAAAGGAGCATCATAAAGTAATTTTGGAGAAAAATGCTATTCCCTCCGGACTAAAGTTAATCGGTTAAGGATTTAATTTTCAACATGATAATGATCCAAAGTACAAAATTATGCAGGGGCTATTTAGACAAAAAAATGTCGGAAAGTGTCAAAAAAGTGGCGAAAACATGACACGGCCACCCCAAAGTCCCAATATTAACCCTATACAGCTTTTCTGGGAAGAGCTTGACCGAAACGTGCGAGAACAATGTTCTAATTCACAGTAGGTCATGTGGAGTGCGTTAGAAGAAAGCTGGAGGAATATCTCGCAAGAAAGTATTAACAAATTAATTGCTTGCATGCCAAGATTGGTAAAACGGGTCATAAAAAGCAAAGAAGGATATTTTGATGAAAAATCTCTCTAAACTCTGTTTTTTTTTTTTTTTAGAATATTGTATTTGTCAAGACTTCATGTTTTTTTTTTTTTTTTTTTTTATTTCAAATCTTGTGTGGAACATTAAAAGTTAAACCTGTTTTTCGTAAAGTTTTAAATATGTTGACTTTTGTTTTCTTATATTTTTTATAGTGGTCTCAAACTTTTGACCGGCAGTAAATATCTAAATTTTAATTTCAGAAAATGGTGTTGCTTTAGAATCAACCCCAATCAAGCTTTTAATTTCGCATATGTATAGATTTATAAAAAAAAATACATTTATTATATTATGATATCAGCCATTAACTGCCCACTGCTGTATATAGGCCTACTAGGATTGCTAATATCTGCCACGCTTCGCAGGCTACTCCTACTACATCCATGAAAAACGAAAGGGGGAGAGGCATCTTCAGGCAATTTATTATATTATATAATAGACTAGAGGCCCGCCCCGGCTTCGCACAGGTAGATATTTTTAAAACATTTCACATTTTTATAGTTACGTTCGCTGCGTAGGGAGCCGACCGCGCGAATGAGCCAACGAATGTGTCCGCCCCCACCTGCCCCTCTACCGCACCGCTACAATGACTGGCTAGCTAGCCACGCGGCTGCCACGGCGCGGGCGGCGGCCGGCGCCTTTTCTATATCTGACTTTTTAACATAATATCTTTAGAATGGAATATACACCTACGATTTGAAAAATTCAAAAAGTACTCTGCAGGTATTGAAACAATTTTGAATACAAAATAATTTATTTGGATAAGGATTAATAAATAGGTATGAATAACATGTAAAACGCGACAGAGTTATTTTTTCTAATTTTATGACTTATTAAATTCGTAATATCTAGTGAATGAAATAGCCGATTTGAACAATTCAAAAAGAAATCTACATAAATTGAAACAATTTTGAAAACAATATTATTTATTTGGATAAGGATTTAAACAGAAGTATGAATAAAATGGTGTAATTTTGGTCGATATTTCTATCAACTTTTAAAATGTAAAAAGTGGTTATTGTGTGACATAACGATATATAGTTGAACATATAGCATCGCGAAGTTTTTTGATTGATATTTTCTTCAATATTGTACAACATACTTTTGTTCTATCACCAATAGTTTCCGCAGCGCACGCGACAAAATATATTTTATAGCATTTTTTTACACCTTGAGTTACATTACTAAAGTTTCAGTAAGGATCCCTAATCTTTTCTAGCAATAAATAAAGCCTATGTTACTCAGGGTGAATATAGCTTCCTATTAGTGAAAGAATTTTTGAAATTGGAAAAGTAGTTTCTGAGTTTATTAATTACAAACATACATAGACACAAAAATACAAATCTTTCGTCTTTATAATTAATATTATTCCTAGGATCTGAACAGTAATTTACACTAATGTGTAAATTACTGTTCAGATCCTAGGAATAACCGTTCATTAACGGGGGAGTCACGTTACTAGCATACCTGTATACCCTGGCAGGTTGATCTCCATGTGCTCTCCCTTGGTAACCAACATGCTGAATTCCAGATGTATTCAGTATGATGGGCTAATTGACCTGCCTTTTACTCTCACCTATCAAGCTTCACTGGTGTTCCGCCGGCGTATACTATTAGCGTAGGCGGGCTTACCATTCCATTATCATCAATTACCTATCTCATACCGCGATTAGTAAATTCTCTACCTACCGACTTGCGAAACAATATCACTGTTAAAAACATAAAGTGAAAGCTTATTTACTGTCCAACCTTACTGAAACAGCAGAATATTAATGTAAATATTGACATTTGAGAACGAAATGTAAAGTATCACACACAAGCCCAAGAGGTTTAAGTGGTACTAGAAATATTTTTTTTTAATCTATTTATGCATGCTAATTAAATAAAAAAAAATTAAAAGAAAACATTCATTAACACTGCTCATTTCACAATTTAACAATCGGAATTTGAGGCTAATATGCAACAGAATAACATAGAACTTCTGATAGTAATAGTAGTGGTTAATCTTCATGTTTGACAGTCACACACACTCTGATGGTAGCAGAATAATTCTGATCAAGTCATCATCTTCCTAGCCTTATCCCAATTATTATTTGGGATCAGCATAATATGTTTTTATCCATATTACAAAAAGATTTGGCTTTTAGTTTTATGACCAGTCACCTGTCTGACATCAACCCTTTTTGGGAAATAATTCTGATCAAGTAACTAGTGATATGGACTTCCACAAGATAACACCTAGTTCAGCAGATATTTACTTAACTGTTACATAATTGAACTCTAGTAATGGATATAAATTTTCAAAAGAAAATTAAATCTCCTTTTAGAAGTCACTCAAGGATATGCCATTTGCTACATATAAATGTGACCAGTACCTACCAAACTTGTAGAAGACATAAAAACAATTATTTTAATTATTACTTACGATTACACTGTTTTATTGTAAGAGCTCCTTTTACTGACAGCAAAGTAGCTCGTAGTGCTTGTATCACCTGTTCCTTGTCAGTCGCCATTATTTACAGCTGCAACAAAATGTTAATGGATACACCTCAGCATATTATTATCATCAATGAATTTATTCATGTATCAGTGCTGGGTACTAACTTTCACCATAGGATGAGGATGTCACCTTACCAGTTTGAGTAGTTATCAAACTTATAATTTCTAGATATCACAACAAGATTTCTAGAAATACAGTATCCTCATAAGTATAAAAACCATAGGTAAAAATTACACTTCCACCAATTCTAGATTTATATTGCATTTGTAGCTCTAACCACAAGCAAGAATCCCTTAATCAGTCAGGACATGTATTCTCGAGTGTATCTGTTTCAGCCCCTATCACTAAGTATTTTTTCATGTAACTAAAGACAACAAACATGATAACCGCCTACGCGATTGAAAATAGTAAGCATTTCCAATAAATATAAACAGTACCATGGACATAACTATGTCGGCCATAATCCCTTCAAGTGTGGGGAGGAAAGAATTGTTTGTAAATTGGCCTACCAGCTCCATTACTAGCAATATATCCTGTCAGATCAATCTCTACATGGTCCCCCTTAGTAACCGTTGTACTGAATTCTAGGCATATTTATCATGATGGGCTAACTGACCTGCCTTTCCACTCTCCCCTATCATCCATCACTGGTGTCCAGCCAGAGTATACCATTAATGCAGGCAGGGTTACCATTCCATTATCATCCTTTAAAAAACCCTTTATGTGTTGCTATTCCTGAATAATAAGGAGTTATGCTTTTGTCCCTGTAATTTATTGCTCTATCGCACAATTCAAATCAAAACACAGCCATGCAAATACAACAGCTTTAAAATTGCTTTGATATTTATTAATATCAAAATATTTTTTATTGAAACTGAAATCTGGTATAAATTTCCATTGTTTCTGCCTACCCTAATGGGAGACAGGCGTGACAGATATGTATGTATGTATGTATTTGTACTGTAATAAAGAGAACAAGAATTATACTTTTTAATCATTAGTTGTCACTCAACACATGACTCACTATTTGCAGCATAGTATCGATTCGGTACATAGTGATTTAGATGCTTAGGTTCGAAACATACACTTACCAAACGATGTAGCCTCTGAACAGCTCTTAGAAATTGTGAAGAAATACTCGCAGTAACAAAAGTACCTACTCATATACTAGACAAAAGGTAACGTATCGATGGGTCTGCATCCAATTAATCCATCCACTCGACATTAGAGTCCTGGAATAGTTTATGACGCGTAAGCAAGAGAAATCAGTCTTAAAACACGAACAGCAACTGACAATTACTATCACTTTCTCCTAAAACATTACAAGTGCCAAATTATATTTTCTAGTTCGATTTTAAAATTAAATAATGTGAATTAATGATTTAAAGAGACGAATTAATATGATTTAAGGACGCAAGAAAGTAAATATGAAGGTAGGTACCTATTAAACAAAATCGGGACCCGTCATCGACATAGCAAAATTAAAATTTCCTAATTACAGAAGTTCACAGAAACAAGTAGTCAACACTGAACAAAATTGCAATACTTAGAATAAAAAATTTTTTATAGGTTCTATGTTACCGTTCCTAGCCAATATTAAATTTAACTGATTTCCATTGTAGCGGCTCATGGTCATCTAGAATAGGTATCATAACGATCAGAGCACTTAGGGTAAGGGTACCATTTCAAAAATAGCGCATTACCTTATTTATTTTTTTACATATTAAAACAACTAATTTGTATTTTGATTAATTACGTATAGTAACAAACAAAAATATAATTAAACTTGTGTTATGTGCAACATTATAGAAAGAATAAGCGACAATTTTAGCACTATTTTTAATATATTTTAACTGGTGGCGAGGTTTAACGAGTGAGTATAAATAAATTTTGCATGTATTATATCACTAATAAAGTTACTTATTCATGGAATAGCAGAGCCGAATGTCTATACTATCAGGTCCTTACATATGAAATTGACGTTTTGTACGGGAGAAATTAAAAGTCTTTTTTGTATATAAAATATATTTAATTAATCAAACTACGCACCGTTATTATCTATGCACTTTTGCCATCTCATAGGTAGTTCATTGATCCCTTTACTAAATAAAGCATGGGGGCGAAAATCAATAAACTCTTTGAAGGCTGTTTGGACTGCCGCATCGGAGTTAAATTTTTTTCCTTATAAGAAGTTGTCCAAATTCCGGAAAAAATGATAATCTGTTGAAGTAAGGTCCGGGAAGTACGGTGAATGTTACTTTTATTTATTTATTTATTTATTTTGTGATACATAGGTAACAATGGATGGTAAAACAATATAAGTCCTCTATAATCAACCCCATCTATCGAGGTATACAAATTTACAATTACATAAGAAAACATTTATATTATATAAAAAGAAAAATCAGCAATGTCACATTTATATAAAAAGAAAAATCAGCAATGTCACATTTATATAAAAAGAAAAATCCGCAATGTCACATTTATATAAAAAGAAAAATCAGCAATGTCACATTTATAAAAAAAAAAAATCAGCAATGTCACATTTATATAAAAAGAAAAATCAGCAATGTCACATTTATAGTAAAAAAATATAATTATGGAACTTTATTTTTTTTTAAGTTAATAACTATAAATAAATATTCGTTTTGTCAGATTTTATCATTAAAGAATTCACATACATTGTAATAACATTTATCAATTAAGAATTTTTTTAATTTATACTTAAATACATTAGTTGGTGCATCCTTTATAGATTTTGGTATTTTATTATAGATTTTTGGTGCCATACATAATATACTATCGTGCATAAGTTTTGTACTAGATTTTTTTAGATATAACTTATCATTATCACGTCGATTGCGTTTAACAATTTCTGAAAGTCGTGGAAATAAATTCTTATTAGTTTTAACAAATACACACACTTCAAATATGTACAATGAAGGTACTGTCAATATATTATATTGTTTGAAATACGGCATACAACTATCAGTATTTTTAAGATTAAACATGGCTCTTATGCACCTTTTTTGAGCTTTAAATACAAATTCTTTCTTCGTTGAATTTCCCCAAAATATTATGCCATACCGAAAATTTGAAGCAGTAATACCATGATACGCTGTAATGAGCGCTGATTCATTTACTGTAGGAGACAATTTATTTAAAGCATAAGCCGAAGAACTCAATTTCTTGGATAATTCATCTATATGATCTTTCCAGTTTAATTTATTGTCTATTATAATACCTAGGAATTTTGTATTCTCTACAATTTTAATATCACTATTAAGGTAACAAGCACCAATAGTATTTAAAGAAGTCCTTTGACTGAAATGCATTATATGTGTTTTATTAATATTTATTTTTAGATTATTATTATTCAACCATTTAACTATATTCTTCAAAGCTTGGTTTACATCATTTTCATACTCATCAATACTTTGGCATTCTATTGTTACTGTACTGTCATCAGCAAAAAGTGACATAGGTTGCTTTGTTATTTTGGGTAGATCATTTATATATATAATAAACAACAATGGACCCATAACACTACCCTGGGGAACACCATACAAGACAGTTCTCTGGTCAGAAATATAAGTTTCTTCAAGTTTGGTTCTATTATTTATTTTATTTATTTGAGTACATTGTTTCCTGTCAGTAAGGTAAGACTTTAGTAAATTTAAAACATTACCCCTGATTCCATATACATATAATTTTTGAAGTAAAATATTATGGTCTACGTAATCAAAAGCTTGAGTCATATCACAGTAAATGGAGCAAACCGGTGTACTTTTATCCATATTTGTCAAAACAGTGTACAAGAAATCATAAATTGCTAAGTTAATGTCTTTGTTGCGTCTAAATCCTTTCTGATCTGATGTGAATAGATTTTGTTTTTCAAAGTACTCGTATATTTGTAAATATATGTATTTTTCAAAAATTTTTGAAAATGTTGTAGGCAATGCAATTGGTCTATAACATTCCATTGAATATTTATCCCCTTTTTTAAATATTGGTCTTACAATTGTAGTTTTTAAAATTTTAGGAAAAGTACCTGAACTTATACTGAGATTGATAATATAGCTAAGATGTGAGGCTATGTATGTTGAAGCAGCTTTTACAACTTTTGTAGATATTTCGTCAATGCCAACACTGCTAGTGTTTTTTAAGTGTGTTATAATTTTTAATATATCATGGGGTAAACTAGGCGCCATAAATATTGAATTTTTACTTGTTTTTATAGTACTCGTAACCTTATTTCCTGAGTTCAGTATAGGTGTAACTTTGTCGATAATAAAGTTATTAAAAGCATTACATATGGCCTGTAGGTCACAGATAATTTTGCCTTCTTTTTTTACTAAATGCATGGAACTCCTAGCTATACTTTGTTTGTTTTTATTTATTATTTGCCAAGTCGCTTTAGTTTTATTCGATGACATATTTATCTTATGACTATTTTGTGAACGTTGAGTTAGGTTAATAATTTTTTTAAGTTTTCTAGAATATTTTTGTAAGGCGTCTTTGCTTGTATCGTTTGGATTAAATCTATAATCCCATAGAAGTTTCCTTTTCTTTCTACAGCAAGCTTTAATTCCACGCGATATCCACTTTGGCTTTTTAAACGGTTTCTTAGTAATAAGTTTATTTGGAAAGCATAAGTCATAAAAAAGTTTAAAATGGTCAAAAAAAATATTAAAGGCTTCATTTGCGTCATTAGTATCATAAATGTCAGAAAAATTGTAGGATTTTAAGCAATCTATAAATTTTGTCATGTTATCCTTGCTAAAGTCACGTCGTTTAATGCGCCAATATTTGATACTCGTAAATGTTCTTTTTATTCGACATTTTAATAACTGAGATGTATGATCAGATAGTGCAAAATCTATAATTTCTGATCTACACTTATTTCCTAAATTGTGAGCAAAATTATCAATACATGTTTGACTTTTTAATCTCGTGGGTTGGCGAATTTCTAATTTGAGATTATAAGTTGAAAGTAGACATTCAAATTCTAAGGTGAGATCGTTCTTTTTCAATACATCAATGTTAAAGTCACCTGCAATAATTATGTTTTTACGACTTTTTTTACAAATTACTTCCAATATATTATTTAGTTTTTGAAAAAATATATCTAAATTATTTGCTTTTGGAACTCTATATATACATACAATAACAGTATCATGAGCGACTAACTCAACTGCACAACATTCAAATACTTCTGATATGGAAAGTTCAGTTATTTTAGGCAGTGATTTCCACTGATGTCCATTTTTTATCAGGATACATGTTCCACCCCTCTTACTACCTTTTCTACTAAAGCAAGTAGCCATATGGAAATTTGGTATATAAAAGAACTTCTCACATCCAGCCATAATAAAATGCTCTGTTATACATATAATATCAACATTTAAATTTTTTTCTAAGAGTTCATCTATACAAACAGACAAAAGGTCAGATTTATTAATTAAGCCTGCTATATTCTGATGTAATATGTATAGAAAATTGTCATCGAAAAAATTTTTTTTCTGATTGATGTTCATTCTTACAATCAATATTGTCGCTTACATATTTATTGTTCAATGACAAGTCAGAGTTATTTTGTAATTGCAAAGTTTTTACTAAATTATACAGATCTTTGAAAACAACTCGAATCCCGTAATCATTTATGCAACCAGTACTATGTATATGGAACATTCTATGTCCATATGATAAATTAAGATTAGAGTCGAGAATGTATGCGTATTCATATGTTAGGGAGTCCAAATGCAATAAACTATTAAAATTTTCAATTCTCCAATTAAACATATTTGAAAAATTATTACATCTAAAAGTTGGTAAGCATATTATTATGTTTGTATGTTCTAATTCCCTAAGCATATTTCTAATATAAAAAATGAGATTAAAGTTGTCATTTGTCGTTTTGAAGTCTTCGTCCCCAATTAATATAATACAGAAATCTTCCATTGTAAAATCCTTTAGCTTCATACTTATTCCATTCAAAAGTACTTTTATTCCACAATTTGGTGTTACATAGTGACATATATCAAAGGTTTCAAATGTATTTTCTGTTTTTAATAATATATTATTAGTATTATTGGAACTCAAAATACATAGTTTGTGTTTGACTGTTTGTTTTTCTAGTTGTTGATCTAAAATTTCATGTCTATTAATTGTTAACTGTAATATGTTTTCATTATCACTGCAATTATTTCTTTTCTCTACGGCATTCTGAACCATATTTTCTGTGGTAAAGTGTTCTGTTTGGGTTTGCTTATTCCATGTATTAAATTTTAGTACTTTCCTTTGTGCAGGTGATTTTGCTTTAGAACCAGGACTATCTGTTACTTTTTTAAGTAGATCATTATTTTTCTGTAGCCTATCATTTATCCGTTTGAGAGATGTATTTTGTAACGATAATGTTTCAATTTCTTTGTGAGCAGATCTTAATTCTAATGATAACTTATCAATCTGTATTTTCAGCCTTTGAATCACATCATTTTCATTTTCAGTATCTGAAAAATTAGGTAAACTGTTGGTTGATTCATTAAGTGTTTCTGATATTTGTTCAATTCCACTAGTATTACATGAATCCGATTGAGTTC